ACTTGATTTATCTACGCAATGCTAATGAGATCAAAGATAGTTACTATTTTACTACAATGTATAGTAAACCTTGAGACAACAGCGTGCTAATTTTTTCTTTTTTTTTGTTATAGGGTTTGGTCCAAATGCTACGCAAGACAATATTATGTGAGTTCAAAGCTACTATTTTGCCTTTCTTCATGTGCTACAAGAAAGAGTTAAAATGATTCAATTTTATGACTCATCCAGATGAACATGTGCCAACAGATAATCAGATAGCATTGTGCACATCAAACGAATATCGATAGTAATGTTTTAAAGCATGACACGTAGAGCGCATTGATTCGTGGGCAGATATTATTGTGCATGTTATAAATCTGAGGTTAACTATAGGGATTGTACAAATCTTTCAGCTTTTCTTTTAGTTTTGTCATTTTTTGTATCATCATTTTTTACCCATGAAAATGAAGACCTTTAGTTCAGTTTTGTTCGCGATGTAAAAGGAGACAGATGGATCAAAAATCAATTAAAATGCGTCTGTGGAAAAATTTGGCGCGTCTTCTTTCTTTTGAGAACAGATGAGAGAGCGACAGTTGGTCGCTGCGTAGATTTGGTCGCCTGCTTGACAGAAACATGATCCTTTTTTTACTTCCCAAAAACTTCAATTTACACACGCGTCACTCAGTCACACATAGCACAGCTTGAGGCTGAGAGGGTAGGCGTAGAAAATGAAGATTTGCTTAATGAAATAGGCAAGTGGGTGGCCTCGCTGGCAAACGCTAACTGAATGATGACATTCACTGTTTAGTTTCATCGAAATATTACGAAAAGATGAAAACTATATTCATTGCGAAATAGCAAAAAGCGCAGCAGACAGAGGCCTCGAAATAAGAAAAAAATCGTTCGCATTCAGCAAAGTTTTAAAGTAACTACTACTGACTCTCGTGTAATGCTCTATATGTAATTAGAAGAGTTTACTAAACATTGGTATTTATACTCATATTTAATGTTCCTAGTTTTTGCATAGATTGTTAACTATTTTCTAGATCTCGCTGAGTTATTTTTCTGTACTACTAATAAAAAAATTTCTGGAATTTTATTTTTGAGAATTTCGACCAATTGTCGTAGATCCCTTTTTACTTATGAACCCGAAGCAAAACATTTGTGCAGTTTTTCTTAGATTCTTCAGTTAGACCACTTCAACTATATTCTTTTTTTTGCAAGATTTTACAAAAATCTGAACGTCATGTTTGTAATGAAAGCAATAATAAGTTTGTATCATTTTTCTCAAAAACTAGCAAGATCATTGGCTAGCTGTCTAAACTACTGATGTAAAACAGAATTACCGAAATGATCAAGAATAAGTGAGTGGAATAATTGAAAATATATTATTGAATAAAACAAAACATTTCAACGATAATATCTCTTGACATCGTTTTTTTCTTTTAAGACTCATTAAATGAACCTGTAATGCTATTTTAAAATAAAATATTTTTCTTTCACAGTAAAGTTTATTTAAAAAAAAACAAAATTGTGCTGCCTCATTGGTAGCGCAAATCGATAACTTCGAAAAGGTTGGCATCAATTTTTTTTCTCTTTGCTTTCTTCAATCTGAAACAAGACACATCGTGGAAGACAGCAAAAAGAATTCTGCCAGAAAGATGTTCTCTTTTACTGATTCATCATCGATGTCATAGGAGATGTTGCTATAGCATAGTTAGCTGACTGATGTATCACAAATCCGTGCGTATTTTATCCTTCAAATATCGTTTGTTCATGCCGAGATTATTGCCTGTAAAAGAAATAAAATTCAATGCGTAAACTTACAGCTTAAAATCTTCGTCATTCGATTCTTATTTTGTCTGTTCTCAACAAAAAAAAAGAATGTAAATGTACTTTTCCATTTGCTTACTTAGATAGTGTGCAAATATTAGATTTAGTACTCATATTTAAAGCAAGAGGCATTTTTATGATTTTAGATAAAGCTTTAAAAAAAGTGTTCAAAATTCTTCATTTATTCTATTGAGACTCACTGAAATTAATTTTGTGACTTCATGAATAAATTATATTTTTCTTTTAAAGAAGTTACTTTTTTTTACTCAATAGAAAAAAAAAGTAACGCTTGAGATCGACCAAACTCATAGTAAATTATCTCGGCTATTTAGCTATTGAAAATCTATTATTCAAAAGACTTGAATACGACCGTTAACTATTGTTATTTAAAAATTGCGCTTTCATTATTAGTGAGTACTTATCAAACGCCATATTAATAATATCATTCTATTATGTCTCATGCTGCTTTGGACAAAACGTAATTACCTGGTGAATGTTATACAAGTGAGTGAAGCATGCGTCATCCTCCATTTTATTTTTTCCAGTTCGAAGATTCTTCTATAGAGAAAGCGAAGTAACTGAATAATAACCAATAATTAAAATCATGATTTACAGTAATATTGTATTGAATATGTGCGTCTTTTTATGCCAAATGTCATTAATAACGTTGCAATAGTTTAGAATATTGAAAATTAAAGCCGTAGTCTTACAGGCTTAACGTTAAGCTCTTTTAATTTTTTTGCATACGTAGATCGAATTTTCTTCTATTAGTAGAAGTCATTTTAGTATGCTAGACTATTTTCCTCAAGTACAAAATAAGAAAGGTAGAGAAATGTTGTTCTTCATAATTAACTCAGAAAAGATACGCTTATTAGTACTGTACGATAAAATACATCGGAGCTTCTTTCATTCGATTATGTAGTCGATCATTATATTTGATTAGGTAGCTTTTTTCATCTGCTTTCTTATATTTGAATGCTGCGGAAGAATAACAGAATATGAGTTATACAATGCTTCATTGGCTTTTCCATGGCTTCCTAATATTTGCTTTTGGCGTTATAATAACGAAAGTAACGAACTGTAAGAAGCGTTATACCGGCATTTTTCTATCGCCTTAAGTCTTGGTACTGACAGTTGTAGCTGTGAACGATATAATAGATTTCAAGAAAAAGCAGATAGGTATTTTAACAATTTTTAAACGTTCATTAGGTACGAAAATATCTATCAGACAATAGAACACAACTTAAGACATGCCTATAACACAGTGTGTGTACTGTTCCTGAATAGTTGCATACATCCAGCAGAGACTATAATTAGTCATCTTCTACCCATGTAAAAAAATAAGCGTAAAAATCAACATTTACATGATTTTCATCGATCCGCAGCTCCAATAATCGATGAAAATTTCGAAATTAAGATTTTTTTTTAAATTAATTTTATGATTATAATCGACTTTTTCGCGCATTTGATTCGTAATCAACGTTTTTTCATCCATTATCATCGGTTTTATTACTGACATCTATTAAAACCGATAAAAAATTAAAGTAATCGCTCAAATCCATTCTTTTATTAATCGATTTGAATCAAATTTTACGAATAATTAATTTTCATCAGTAACTGGTGATTTTCTTCTAGAAAATAATCGATTTATAATGCTTTCAATCCATATGAATTGATTATATTCTTCAATCGATTAAAATCTTAAATCTAAAAATCGTCGACAATCTAGTAACATTGAGCATGATTTAAAGGAATCGTTTAGATTTTTGACTCAATTGAAGAATTTTAATGAGTATAATCGAACTAACATTAACAGATCTAGAAGCAGTAATATTATAGAGCTATCAACCGCAAATTCACTCATATTTGTGTGAAGCAAATTCAAAACCAACTAAAGTTGCCGGTATTTTTACAAAAAGAGTTGTAATTACCTTGCAGCAGTTGGCGATGATATTTAACTATACTATCATTGATTATCAGTTTCCCTTGATAATGATGTTTACTACAATGGCATTAGAAATGATTAGTTCTAATCAATGTAAATGAATTTGTTGTCATTGATTCGAAGAATTCATCTTTGGAGTGGTTTTCCGATTCACTTTTATCATTATAGAAAGGATTTTTCACTTAATTACTAAACGCTTAAGTTGAGTGTTCTAAAGATGACTCGAAGTTACTACTGAAGCAAATACAAGAAAAATATTTTAAATTTCTTTATCAGTAGAAGAACAACTAAGATCGTCCGACGCTAATATTCTAGCCAAGATAATAATAGTTAACTACAAAATAAAAACTTTACAGCAACTTGAGCAATGTTCACAATTCACTTTCACGAACACCATAAAAGAAAACCAAAACAAAACAGGATAGTTGTATAATCGATAGTAATAATATTCACTCAATTCATAAGGCGTACCCATGTAGCCGATAATTGATAAATGATAGAAAATGACCCATTATTTTCCATTATTTCAAAAAAAAAACATGAAATAATGCGTTATAATTAGTTATTTTTTGACTTCTCAATGCATTTCAATGTATTATTCCAAATAATGGAGAACTATAAGATAATGCATTATCAGGCATATGTAAAAATTGAGGATAAGGGATTATTATTCAATGCAATATAATGCATTATTTAGAGTAATGTTTTTAAATTAGAGAATTCACGATTTTCGTAAAAGAGATACTGAAAAAGTGATTTCAGGTAGATATTTGATTTGTCCTAACTTTCTGTGTATCGAGCGCTTTTCAATAAGAGTCGTGCAAGTTAAAGAACCAACTAATAAAAAATCTAACCTGAGTTACAGCGTTCCGAGTACTTTTTCAATCCATTTTCCTTAATAATGGAACCCTACGCTATTGAAAACTTGAGTCAAAATGTGATGAGGTATATCAGATTATCCTTTCAGTTTCTAAAATATTTTTCCAGGTAAGCCGAAGGGTTTCTGAGTTTACTCAATCGCTAAAATGTGCACTAACGAACCGAAATCCGATCTCGAGTTTCTATTTGATGGAATGAAAGGCTACTAAAGTTTTGAATGAATATTCGGTAAAATGAAAGAGATCACAATACTCAAACGTTTCAAAAGAAGTTTTCACTATTCGTCATTGCTCAGTTTCGGATGTAACTGGTGAACTAAAACTGCTCACAGTATCAAGTATAACTGATTAGATCATGAATCATTATGTTTTCCAAATCTGAAACCATTTTAATATTATTAACACCCTTACGTCATATATATGTTCTTGAACTGTTTTCGCTTTCAACTACAATTCGATATGATCCAACAGGTAAGTTTGATTCAATAATAGTAAAATTGTTTATTCATTGTCTTTCGTCTTAGGCTCTTATCGATCTGCTCGAAATGGTAAGTTATACAGTTCAATATTAAAATTATTTTGATTTCTTTTTCCTATGTTTTAGATTGACATCGATTATGATCGAAACGGTAACTTCGAATTTAATAATAATAAGCTTATTTATTCATTAATTGTCTTTTGTTTTAGATTCTTATCGATATGATCAAAATGGCATGTTATGGGATATATATATATATAAGAGGGCTGATGAGAGTTAAGGGGTTAAGTTAGAAAAATAGATTAAGGTTAAGAGCATAGATATAGATAAGCTAATTGATTAAGGTTAAAGGGTTAAGTTAAGGGGATGGATGTGCAGAACCGCAGAGATACTTATAGTGATTGAATATCGATTTAATAGAATTATATAGATCTGTGTAGGAAATGCCTAATATGAAGTTTTCAATGTATTATGATGCATTACTATAAAAAAAAGCATTTGGATGCGCTGATAAATCAATACGTTGCAATGGATTATATTAAAAATAATTCATTAAATAGGTTGCATTATCATGTAATTGCATGCATTGCATTTCTATTGTAAAATAATGCACTGCAATGTCTATTATTTCATAAAATCGGCTACATGGGTAGCATCACGTCATACTATCTGCGCATGCTAGATGGATGAATAGTCAAAGAGGATAAAATTTCGAACTAGACCAAAATCATAGATGGTGGTAATAAATAATAGTCAAATAGCCTTTATTTAGATGGAAATGGCTCTAACATTATTAAAGAAAAATCTCATTCTTTCTAATCATTATATTTCAGCTCACGAGGAACAGTTTTATATAATAACTTAGTAGTAAACAACCACATGCAGATTTAAAAACTTCGAATAAACCTAAGACTGAGCAAAACATAGCGTCGTGACAATTGATTTCGTATAATGCTTTCCTAAGACAGCGTCCTTCTTTTTTAAATAATTTCAACAAAAATTTGCTTTTCTGTAAGTATCACTGTTTAATTGTTTTTTCCTTTACTATGAAGGAATATAAAAACATTCGTTTTGTTGTAAGTACTATTGTTAATTTTTATTATTATTATGAAGGAATCTGCTTTCAGCTACTTTCATGCATCGAGATTGTACTTATTTCTTTATATTCGTGAGAATACAGTATTTACTCATGAATTAATGGAATTCAGTGAATATTATAGAAGCGCTGCTCATGAAAGTGTATGATTGATTTTAATCAGCTGTAGCTGATTTTAATCGGTTCGTAACAGAGACGTGCACAGGACAAGATTTTTCGTCCTGTCCTTACCTGTCCTGCTGGCTACTTTGGTCCTGGCGGGCGTCAGGGCAGGACAAAAATCGAAATCTCTTCCTGTCCTCCAGGACAGGGCAGGACAGGACACCAGGACACCAGGACAGCATGACCGCCCTGTCCTGTGCGCGTCTCTGATTCGTAACTGGTTCGGAATTGATTAAAATCAAATTTAATCAGTTTTAATCGGTTATAACCGTTGTTTTTGGATGGTTTGCTGATTATAATCGATTGCTTCTGATTATTAAAGGATTTGGAATCGATTAGTAATCGATGAAAAGGTGTATGATTATAATCGATTAAAAATCAAAAATTAATCGATTGCCATGTAATAAAAACCGCATGAAAATCGGCGGTTAAGCGCGGTTTTACCGATCCGGTTACCGGCTCCCATTACCGCAGAACAGATAAATACCGCGGTTTACCGCAAAAAGTGATCCGACACTTACCGCGGTAAACCGCCGGTTTTGATTAATACCGCGGTTACCGCTAAAAAAAGCGGTTAACCGGTTCGTCTATAATTTTTGACAGAAAAAGTCTTCCAAATCATCAATTAAACTATTATAATCATCCTTTTTTTTTACTTTTACATGTGATAAACATGAGCAAAAAAACGCCGGTTTTACCGGTCCGGTTACCGGCTCCCATTACCGTAGAACGGATAAATACCGCGGTTTACCGCAAAAAATGATCCGGTATTCGCAACATGGGTTATAATCTGATTATTCGCGCTTTTTTTTACATGGGTAGTCTACTGCAAATATCTCATAGTTTTGATTCACCGTTATCCCTATAGTATTTCAACAGTTTATTTATCTTAGTTTCAATGAAATAATGCAAGTTTCGATTAACTTGTATTTAAAACCTTAAGATATATTCCTTGATAAAACGGCGATTGTAAGTAGTTTCTTCATACGTAACACATAATCAAAAATATGCAAGAACTTTCTTCAAAACATATTGCTTGTTCAAATTCGAAATTCAGCTGAGCCTGTGTTACAATTCATGAGTAGAAGTATATATTGGATCGTATCATTCGTTTTCGTTCTACGATAAAAACTATCGGTAGACAATTTAATTATAACCATAGATACTACTTGCAAACATATGTTACATATTATTATGAAAGCAAAGAGTCATAGAACGGTTGATTGATAGGGACCACATATGTCTGTTATAATAATTTTGCACAACACAAGCTTCTTCGAACTGTAAAGGCTACTTCAGAATCTTGTTCAAATTTTTGCATTCTTCCACTTACCGACTCGAAGAAAAAAATCCATATTTTATTTATTACGTTAATCAAGCGTAATAATACCTATTGTGTTTATAGTCAGTCAAATATGTCTCTTTAGTAGACGCTAAAGTCGCCTTCAGACCATGTGAATCTCATTTGATGACCAGTCAAGATAAAGCTTTCCTCATAAAACATCGAAAGTCAAATATTCGTGCGATCGCAGGAGGAATTTGACTTTGTTTTTACATCAAGCATTTTCTTCTTCCTTTTCTTCTTGTGCTATAATGTGGTGTATATTATTTCATAGTAGGTGACTGTTGCGGCCCACTACTCTAATAGCAAGAAAACGACACCGTAATAATGCAGCTACAGGCGTATATTTCTTCTTCCATTCATCCCTTTTATAATAAAACTAAAGTTATGAAAAAAAAAAAGAAACTATTGATCTTTCTTGCAACTGAATGAGTAATACTTTCTCTTCTTTATTTTTAGGTGGCATGCGTCGCGTTTCGTCACGTTTGATTTTAACAGCCATAGGATTATGTATATGTTGTATTCTATTAATATTTGCTGTAAGTAACTACGGTCATAGCACCGAAGAAATAGATCAAAAAACAGCTAAATGCGACTGTACACCATCAGAAAAAATAGCTGTTCAACCAGTTCCATTAGCACCGATTGCTACTGCAACTGCAATAACAACAACAACAACAACAACAACGCAAATATTAAAAGAATGCAATGAAACTCAAAAATCTTCTCCTGTACAACGTGCCATTATTATTTATTATCCACATCATCAAAGTGAATATTTTTTTCCCGAAGTCAGATGGTAAGCTAAAAGAAATCAATCGCTGGAAATTTTTGCTTGAATTAATCCTCTACTCCTTATGGGACGTAAAGGAATATAGGAACACATACAAGTAATTTACTAAATATGAACGTAATTCAAGAAAAGTCTAAACTTTAACTAATAGATAAATATAATAATCAATAATTATTACATGCACATGAACATTTTTATTGCTTAAAGTTCTTTATTTTTCTTTTCTTCTATCAAGGCTTTATCGTTCATGGGTAGAAATGTTACTTAGCCAACCGGCCACATGGCGAACTGATTTTATTATATTTACATATAATTTTTCGTCTGAATTTCGAAGTCTCGGTTGTGTCAATCGTATACGCCAGAACAAAGAAGAAACATCACTTTGTCGTCTTTTTCTGTATGTACCAGTACAATTTCGTCTACCAAATGTGACCGATAATAATTTTCAAAATGCATTTAATAATGCAAAAGCTGTCATGGCATCATACAACGATATGAATGATGCATTTATCGGTGTACCATTAGTAAATGATACCAAGACATTCGATTCGAATCGTTCAAAATCTCTCTATGACAATCTTCGACAATATGGTTATATAGATTCAATTAATGCAATTTACGAAGGTTATTGGACTTTTAAAATGTATGATTTTATTTTACGTACAGATATTGGTAAGTTGATTATTTTTCAAACTGAATATTAAATTATTATCTATGATTTTTTTTGTCATTCGATGAAGTTAAGAAAATAAACAATTTGTTAGAAACATCTTGCTACTAATTAATATGTCAGATGTTCGGATGAAAATTGCTAAACAGAAATTGTCAAATGCGTATTTATAGAATAATGAAGTTTATGTCAAAGTTTTGATAAAGCGAGAAGAACATAGAGGACTCAGTGTGCCAAGTGGTAAAATATTCGCATCAAAATATTAAATTCACGAGAGCGAAAGAATAGAAGTATATTCTAATCGATAGGATTTAATTCTAGACAATTTTTTAGTATCGAGAAAAATTTAAGCTCTAACGAATCTTGTAGTTGTAAGATTTTCGTGAAGATATTTTTTATTGCGATGATAAATTTCTGATGATCTGTGAGTTTTATCATATAGACAGACAAGAACATAATATCGAAATATTCATTCAGCAATGTGAGACAATATTTACCGGTGTTTTTAATGTTAAAATTGTCTAGTCAAATAGAAAAATTTATCTTGTGAGAACAACAAACTCCAAAACTAGATTTAAAAAGCCTTGCTTCTATACCTCAAAATTTCAACCTTCATTCAAATCTCTGTATAATATTTAGTTCTATCATATATAACTTTAACTTTAAAATTGCCTCTTCTATGAGGTTTCATTATTTGTAAAGATTAAAAGACTAACACAAATATTTTTCTATCGGTAATTCTGCATCTTTTCAAGTTAAAGAAAAAAAACGAAGGTTCTCTTGCATATCATGTGACTGTTTTAGTGGATGGGGCTATTTTAAAGAGAACAAAAAGTATGCAAATTCTACACAAATAATTCAAATATGTATACTTCCGTTCGAATTATTCGTGGGCAGTTTATTTCAACGCTCGTGTTGTGAACTCGAAGGAAGAGTTTTTCACCAGTAATATGTACTTTTGAAGAGTTTGATGTTACATAATTATTATGTGCTGATGATAAGTTATGCATTCGCATGCCCAATAGCACAAGTCTGTTTCTCTTGGTTGTTATATGCAGTTGTTATATATGTGAATAGCTGGCTCACAGTCATGCCTACTCATTATGTAACGGACTGAGTCGATATTACAACACAACATGTGTTGATTCATTATCTTAAGTACCATTTGGAGATATTCACTAAATACTTCAAAAAAAGAGGCATCAATCAATAGAAAGAGAGTTCGAAGTAGAAAATTTATTGCTATCTGTCCTTGTTAAAAAAGCAGGATTATTGAATAACTATCACATAACGTCAAATGCATTGACAGTTATGCAAATATTTTCCTCATTATAATCTCGTGAGCTTTATATTCATATCTATTGGATTTTATTCGAAGAACTAAGTAACAAATGTAGCATATAAATACTAAAAGTAATCTGCAGAATCATGACCGACATGAGTTATAGAAGAAATTTTTTCCTATGTATGATTACCATTGAATTTCTTTGTTTTATTTAGATGTTTTTATTTATCGTCATTTCGCAACTTATATTCCACAAAATTGTTCTTTCATCACTGGTGGTGGTGGTTATGGTACAGATTTTAATCGACGTAAATTGAAACGTATTGCTCATGATATGGGCTTTGCACATCTTGGTATATCTGGCATGGGTTCTACTTGGTTTGTTTGAATTCATATTGTTCATATTGAATAACATAACTATTTCATCCATGTCTAGGTATGGTTCACCTTATGATGGATATTTAGTGGCTAATCAAACATTGCATGGCATGTTATGGTTAAATCAGAATGAATTCGCTGCGCCGGAAAGAGAATCTAAACTAGGAACTCTCATGTGGCCAGAATGGTAGACATCCTTTTGTTGCTTTTAATAAACATATACATTAAAACATTTATTTCATTGCAGGCATTATGGTGTTCTACTTTTATATGGACAACATTTAGCTTTAAATCATTTATCTGCTACTAATCAAATTCGAATCATCATAGGTCATAATCTTCTTGATCAATCGACAACAGATGACACTTTGCCATATGTTCAACAAGGCATACGTCTCAATTTACATTGTTGGCATACAAATAATCGGTTTTCTAAGTTTGCTTTTAAACTTGGTCAATATAATCGAACTGAATTAGAACTATACCGAAATGATACTACCGCGAAGGCTTTTGTAAGAAAAACAAATTGACTAAAAATGTTTATTTTTATTTTCAATTTTTAGGCCATGCGCATGGCACTTGAATCTAAATATATGACACTAGAAGAAATGGCATTATATGGAAGAAATAAATCGCTATCATCTTAACATTTATTAAACTATTATCATCGTCTCTTGAAAATTAGCAATACTTTATATACTACTGTAAAAGATCGACTTATTATTTTGCTTATAGTTTTAAGAAGTTTCATAAAAATACAGTTTTATGTTAACTGACTGAAAAATAAACTATGTTACTAGAATATTAAATGTATTAGTATTGTATTTTGCGTTTTGTGTTGCTGTGATATTATTGTTTTATTTTGATTATTAATTAAAAGAAAACATTTGCTCTGTTAGACACCTGATGATATACAGATCAAATTAAACGAGAGTGAGAGAGAGAATTTTTCTTGTGAAAGTTTAAAAAAAAAGATCTGAATCAATTGTTCATGCTTGCTGACTATTCATTTTCGTAGTATATCTGGAAATGGCTTGATCTTTCTGAATGAACCAAGACAATTCTATCATTTAATTAATAGAAATGAAACTTTACAATGCGTATTTCCTTTAATACGCAATAAAAGTTTGAGAAATTTTGACGATAGAACACAATCGTTGAATCATACGTTCAAAATCGACCAGCAAAGGCAACATCTATTCTATTTACTCAATTGTCTGCATTGTAGAAAAGTCATGCTTTTTTTCTTTATTGAAAAGAGCAAACACCACTTTGTTGCCTCATCCGACGCAACTACTTCAGAAATAATTAACTAACTACTCACAAAAAGAATGATATTTTACTGAAGATAAAGTCTTATCGAATTTTCGGGTGCCATTAGTTGGCCTACTCCTACAAAATATGGCAATTAATGTATGTATATCTTAGAAAAAGATCATTCGACATGATCTATTCACTCTCGTGTTTTTCGGAAGCAATTGAGTTCATTTGACATGTCTTCTTCTATCAAAAGAAATGAAAGCTGTTGGTAAAATTTTCTTTTCCTATTCCTAAATTCTGCCGCTTGACATATTTTAGTCCTATCAAAATCATCAACAAAATGCTTAGTACTATCAGACATTATGTGGGAATGTTGGCAGTGGGTAGAATTAGAGCGAGAGTGAAGTGTATTACTGCCGTAAAGATCATATCTTCAGCATAAAAGTTTATTTGTTGAAGAAGAGTATGTGAGCTGTCGACATCCTACTGGAATCATCATCAGACACAATATGACGCACATTATTTTCCAATTTTAGTAGGATTCATTTTACTAATAGGACATCTGTTCTTTTGAATTCTTTCGAACGGATGTCATATTAGTAAAATGAATCCTACTAAAATTGGAAAATAAAGTGCGTCATATTGTGTCTGACGCAGCAGTGTCCAAGAACTGAGAAATATGAATTCCTAATACTGGGTGGAGCAAAAGTTTTCCGGCATTTTTTCTTTTGCAAATATTCTGATACGCAAATAACACACGATTCTAAAGTTCTCATCAGCAGATACAGAATTCCATTCTCTACAAACTCATGTTAACTTTAATTTAAAACAATGAACCAAAAAATATTTATTGGTTAATGTATGTGACTCATCCAATAACAATTATTTCCTACTCAATCTTTTATATATTCCCAAGGTTCATTTCAAATTCTAAGAATGCATCTAAGAAGCTCGATTTCTTGTAATTGGATTCCGCATCATGAGCATTTTCAGGAATGCCTATAAGTGGTTGAGAATAATCTATATGCGTATAAAAAAAAAGTCACATGAGTGAACATCTACGGCACAAATAGCTTTTTTCATAGGATTTAAATCTTTTTTAGCTGATCCACTTAAATAAAGTCTTATCTGAGCGTCTCATAACCAGAAAAATCAATTCTCTATTAAATTCTGATAAAATTAGGTCGATTTAATGATGAGTGCAATTTAAAAAAGCTTTCATTGCGAAAGCATTAGCATCGAGGATGAAAATGTCACTTTTCAAAAAATTGACCTAGTGTCTAATCAGAGGAATGCATTTTAGAAAACATTATATTGTTTGCAATCGATAGAGCTTTTCGAGTTGTGTCTAGCAGTGATTTATACTTTGAAAATTAAATACTTCTTAGCAGAAAAAAAACATGACGAAAAAATGCGTGGGAAATAGGTGTAATTTACTGGGCCAGATACATTAACCAATAAATATTTTTTGGTTCATTGTTTTAAATTAAAGTTAACATGAGTTTGTAGAGAATTGAATTTTGTATTTGCTGATGAGAACTTTAGAATCGTGTGTTATTTGCGTATCAGAATATTTGCAGGAGAAAAAATGTCGCAAAACTTTTGCTCCACCCGGTATGCCGAGGAATTGTCAGTGCCGCTATGGTCATTTCTAGAGAAAATGGAAATAAACTATTGGTTCCCTCACAGTTCCACCATTCATGAAAGTTATGATATTACTTTTTTTTAAATAATTTGTGCACGGAACTATTGATTCTCACAGTTTGGTAGGTGAACATGAGTGTAAGAACATAAATTATTGTGAATATTCCTTATTTTTACCTTTAGTATGCAATGAACTTTAGGGGAACTGAGGAGGAATTCCTAATTTTCAGTCCTTGGACACCCCTCGTCTGATGGTGATTCCAGTAGGATATCGACAGCTCACATACTCTTCTTCAACAAATAAACTTTTATACTGAAGATATGATCTTTACGGCAGTAACACACTTCATTCTCGCTTTTATCAGACATTAATTCCTCAACTAGAATAAATTATCATCATTCTTGTGCCATCGGATGAGACGCTACAAGAATGATGCTAGTTGATGTAGTATCTCGAAGTTTATGTTTAATAGTTCTCTTTGGTTTATTTATATTGGTTTGGTAACATGAGGCGTATAAAATATATCAAGCGGAAGACTGCGGAATAGGAAAAAAATGCATGAATAGACAGATTTCGAAGCGCACTAAGATTCTGTAAAGATCAGAATCTCTCTCCTTATATATATATATACTGCTCTGCTTCTTCTAATTCGGTTGTTAATTACTTGGTAATTAGTGCTGCATGAACTGGTAAAAGCATGTTTATTCTATCCCGAACAGACTAAATGACTTCTTTGCTACATGAAAGAATAACTATAGTAATTAAGGAACTCTTACTTTGTCTTAAAAAATAAATACGCTTAACTCCATTATAAAATACGTCTTTGTATAATTTTTCCTTTTTCATATGAATCGTGTTAATAAATAATAGTCCACTGGTGTACAACAATGTCATGACTTTTATGGAGAAAAAAAAATAATGTGATCTATATACTTTAACTAGAGAGCCATTTTCTCCGACAATGATCAATATTCCGAGTAGCTTTAGAGAAAGAATGATTGCATGTAGATGACCTTTTTTCTCTAATGGTCTGCGATATTTATTGTGTTTATATATCTATATATACTCGTATAAGCCTTGATACTGTTTTCACCATTAGATTCATTTTGTATGCATCATAAACAGCAAGTATAAAGCGAATCTCTCGTTGTTATGATTGTTTGTAGCTTCATTCTGTTCTTTCATTTCCATCATCAGTATATTTGGTGAGCTAAATATACTCATATGCAAGTCAAACATTCCTTTTCTGTTTTATTTTGTTGCTCGATGCTCGAGGAGACAAAGTCACATTGTAGTAGAAAAGTATGGTTCGCTCCTCTCAAGATCTATAGTCTCAATCAATATCTATCGCTTTGTTTCTTGTTCTATTTCAACGTGTTTACCTAGTATTATTCTTTTGTTTCGTAGATCTTGTTTGAACTTGAGCTTGGCTACATTTTTATTAATGCACGGCTAATCTTTCTTTTTCTCGTCTTCATATCGACGATTCTTCACGTTCTCTTCTACTAAAAGAACATGCTAAAGCTCCATTCGCTATTATCTATATATGAAGCAATACTATTGTTTACAAGTGCTGATAACAATTCTACTTCATGAAGTTATTATTCAATGGCGAGTATTTTCTCTGTTGTTGTAAAATTATTAGTAAAGAGAATATCGTAACATAAGAACGTTTGATCTTTCTAATCATACAACTGGTGCGAGAAGACAGTATGACTGATGGCGTTCATTAGCTATGCAGCGTGTTTATATTGATAACCTTGGACATTTAATTTATATATTATATCTATATTGATGCGTTTCTTTAGTTCTTGGTGGGATAATTGTTCATGTATTAGCATACTATCGTAAAAAATATTTCTTTTGGTTAGTAAAAAACGCACGTTATTGAGAATGTAGCAGACAGGAAAATGTCTGTTCTCTAAGAAAGGAACAAGGGCGAGGAGTGAAGAATGGAAGAAGACTAACAAGTGAGAAATACGAACAATGCTAAGCAGCATGTCAGTAGATCTAGGTGCTCATTTATCTATTCTTTGTTTTTTTTCCCCTTTTAATCATGGTTTTCTCTTTTGTTGTTATATAATAGAGAGAGCTAAAGTGTCCCTTTAGGACTAACATGATCATAGGACTAGATTACTTAATAAAAAAAACAAAAGTCTTTTCTCACTGTCGCTTTTTCTGAGCATCATCAATTTCCTCCAAAAAATTGAGCTTATTTGCCGTTGGTAACATGAATAACGATGAATATAATCGTGCAAAAAAAAGCAATATCCTGTTAGATAATTTTATACAGTAGTTGAATCTTGCTCAAAACTCCACTGTAAAGATCATTTTTGTAGTGAAATCTAGTCGAAAATTGTAGGACATTGGTGTAATAGGACTACAAATTTATTTAATGATTAGATTTAATAAATGAATGAATTATGTTGATTGGGACAGTGGCATACAAATATGATAACTCGTTGTAGAAACAAGTTTAATGAAGAATAGCAGACGATCCATTAACATATTATCTGAGTTTCCCAGAACAGAGAACTACTCGCCAGATTATAGATCGTCATATTTTCTCTAGTAAAAGCTAATTTGTTGTTCTTTAATTATTTCTATGCATCATGAATCTGCCTGTAGCACAGAATTAATTATTCTATCTTGTATTTTGTTATAATCTAAACAATTCTCTAGTAGTCAATCGAAACATTCTCTTTTTGATAATCAACCAATTAGAGAGAAAAAACAGTACTCGTATTAACTAGTTTTGTATTTATAACAGACTCATTCTAGTGATTCACTCATGTACATCTTCTATGAAGAAAAGTAGTGCTGGGAAAATATTTTTGACATGCATTCTCTTATCTAATGAATTTATTTCTATTGATATTCTATTCGAATAGTTATTCTCGTTGGTAATAAAAATCATAACAGTCTACTAAGATTTGATTTTTCTAGCTGTATGAGACAATACTTTTTTTTTCAGAATTTCAGTGTATTCTATGATTAGCTTGAAATTTTTTTTTAACAGCAAATCTTAATCAAAACCTTCCAAAATTTTATTTATATTCAATGCGTGTCCAAAATACTAGACTTTTTGATACAGTTGTATTATGTAAATTCGGTCGGAAGCAAAAATCTTATTCATATTTCTTATTAAATCATATAATTTATTCGACTAGTATAAAAATTTTTAACAGCAAACAACAGCTAATCCTATAAAATAGATTCTGCCGGAAGATGTTCATCAATCGGAAAAGCTATGATTCCACTTGAATCATTCTAATCTTTCGTCAATTGTTCTTTTAATATCTTTAAAAAGGATTCTTTTGATATTAATAATTCTACTAATATTTATGAATTTGAGAGATTAGCATTGCAAAATAAATTAGGATAAAACCTGTATCATCCTATCTAAACATGAACATTACTGTCTTGCTGTTGCCATTTGAATATTTTCCTTTTCTCTCTTTTTTTAAAGTCTTGTCTTCGTTTCTATCAAAGAAAAAACTAATGATAAGAAGAATATTCAAAATGTACTATGTAAATATGTAAAATATTCTGTACGGTATAGATTATTTTATTGACATACAGAGTAAACGATAAGAACAAATCTTTCTTCTGCGTTTTATTGTATACACGCACGGGGCACAAATATAAGAATAGGCAAGTTTTTAGCTGTTTTTTCTACCAATAATAACTCATGAGTGTGTCCAAGTGTATCCAGTCGTACTCAGCTCGAAATTATAGCGAAAATTTTCTTGTTCGCTACATCAGATCCGAGAAAAGTTATTTTTTTAATCTTATTTTTGTGACTCAGACTTTCGGGTGATGACAATTAGAACAGGCACGAGAATGCGTTTTTCTCAATGTCACACGATAGAAGTATACATATTGTTAAGTTTTCGAAGTCTTTGGATCAGCCGGTAACAAAAGGAGAGCCCCATGTTTAAAAGTAAAATTCGAGAAATCGATAATTGTAAGCGAACATTTGATTCTTAAACTGTTCTTCGTTAATCAAATAGTATAGATTTTATTAACCACAACATCTCGGTCAGTCCCATGATTTTTCTCACGTAGCCAAAAAACTACAACTGTTTTTCTTCAAAATAATGATATCTGCTCTCAAGTCGGAAATGGGAACTAAGAAAATATGTTTGCATCCTCTCGAATGAAGTACGACTGAACATATGAACTATCATCAATAGAAGAGAATGTAAAGAACTATATAAAACTATACTGTTAAGTATTACTGTATATTAAGGTAGTCGTATTGTCTCTAGTTAAATTTTCTAGCGATTAATTGAATTTCGAGAAAATTAACCTTTTCTGATTATAGGTGCCGATGAATCCATGCCATTAAATACTCTATCGCATAAAAATCTGAAATTCATTGTATTTTTTCTGATTCTCGTTATCTTTCTGTGCAGTTATGTGGTATTTTCATTCATTAATAATTCTTTTGAAAGTTCAAAACAGGTAATAAATAAAATTTAAGTTTCAAGTCGTACAGCTATACGTGCATTTTTACATTCAGTCAAACTTGTATCTTCGGCCACGATCACCAAATCTAGGCTCTGCATTTGTTCAACGAGCCATTTTAATATTTTATCCATCGAATCAAGAACAACATTATTTCCCTGAAATTCGATGGTTATATCGTTCATGGATTGAAATGATGAAAGATGAATCGAGAAATTGGCGCACAGATTTAATTATATATACGGGAAATTATAGTTCATCACTTCAACAACTTGGCTGTGTGCTGAATGAAATACGTTCAAATAGTACTGAACAACCGCAATGCCGAGTATTTCTTTATCTTCGTCTATCAGCTCGTGAAATAGATACTCGAACTGAAAAACAAAGATTATTCGCTAATGTCCATCGCAAAGATTTATTTGATATTAATATTCAACGTTCAATTTTATTGTATAAAAATGTAAAAAAATATGACTATATTGATTCTGTTAATATCATAGCAGAGTCCTATCCAACATATAAATACTATAACTTTATACTTAAAACTGATATTGATGTTTTTATAACTAAACAATTTGCTAAGTTTATACCTGTTACAAATGCAGCATTGTTGGTTGGTCTCGGTGGTTATTCCACGCCGTTTAATACACGTCGTCTAGGACGTATTGCACGAGATATGAATTGGCAACATGCTAATATGACTAATATTGGATCAACATGGTAAGTTGATACAATTAAATCTATTTATCGACATTTCCAGAGATTTTCTTATTGTGATTAGATAATTGATAGCTATTAGTGGTGATTGTTCTTTTTCTCGATAAACACATCTTCTGGATAGAATTTAAAAGCCGTAGCCAAACGATGATATATCACATGAGCTTTTACGCTTTTGATGAAAATTTACTTTGTCGAAAGTGGAAAAGACGAAGTGAATAAAATCACAACTAGATTTACGTATCTAGAATATCGGTAGTAATAAACTCTGGCGTATTCAGCAAAAAACATTTCTAATGTCTGACTTTGCTTTCGGCATAGTGCACAAAGTTCGTGGTAGTGTTTTCTTTGGAGCGATAGTATCTGTAGTACGTCAAGTTCAATGCATAGCAATGAAAAGTCAGACACAAATTCTTTTAAAAAATCTCGTTTTCCTTCCAGGTATGGATCTCCATATGTTGCTCAGCGTATAGCAGATTTAACATTAGATGCAATGCTTCATTTGTCGGATAATGAGTTCGCTCAGGTTGAGCGAGATCGAAAATTAGGAGTTTTATTATGGCCCGATTGGCACTATGGTGTACTCAGTATGTATGGTACACACTTAGCAGTAAATCATTTATTAGTCTCTGAAAAGCTTGGTATAAAAAGAGCCAATCAACTATTAGATCAATCGACAACAGATCCAGATCCAAATAATATAGAAAAAAATAATCGTTTACATTTACACTGTTGGCATACAAATAAAGAATTTTCAAAATTTGAATTCAAAGCTGGAAAATATAATAATATACATCCGCGTACGTTAATTCACAATACGTCTGCTCAGGCTTATGTAAGTTTAATTTGAAAAAAAAAACATAAATTTTAATACGTACTCATCGACATCAATCAATTTTTAGGCTATGAGAATCGCATTAGAATCTAGGCTAATGACGCTTGATGAACTAGCGCAACGGTTGAAGAATATTGGTACTAGCAAAACGAAATAATTTTATCGATGGAAATGTTTTTTTACTGCATTATATTTGTTGTTATTGATGGATTTTATATGGCCCTGTGAAATGTTTCAGTCTGTTCCTTAGAGAAGGTTTTTTTTAAAATAAAGTGTGATTTTATGTAGAACGGTGAGAGAGCGTCTAGGTTAAAGTTTTAAATGAAATAGCAAAATACAAAACTTATTTATTAAAATGATGGATTAAACAACCTAAATATTTGATCTGTTGGTTTTGTTAGTATTCGTAAAGAGAATTATGAGTTTAAGTAAGCCGAAGTCATGTTTTTATGAATATGTCGAATTTAATACAGAAGCGCTCGAAAATAAGAATTTGTCAAAAAGTACAACTGTGGTACTATAAATTATCGTTGGGCGCCAACGAATATATAATTTGTAGACAGTAAACTCTTTGAGACAATCTATTAGCAAACATGTTTCCTTATTATTTCTTAAAATCAAAATCATAGATGTCGCTGATGATTCATCATTGTCTGTTGCACTTTGCCATCTAGAACATATGATGTCACTATTGAAATAAATGGGTCTTCACTTTTCTTGTGATTCTCTTTTTTCTGCTATCAGATATAATATTGATCAAATCCTGTGCGCTACATATTATCGTTAAAATGAGAATTAGAACATGAAATTCATCTAACAAACTTGCGGATGATTGATTTTCTATAAAGTAAATCTTCTAAAAAACATCAAAAATAGTGTAGAGAATATATAGTTTTAATGTATTTATAAGAGAAAATCATGTTGTTTTTCTTTTCATCTAACAATGAATTACATCATCTTACCAATTGAGATGAAAACTGTGAGCAATCATCTAAAGAAAAAATATTTCTGTTTCTTTATCTTGTTCATGTGCTTGCCAGATTTTTGTTATCATGCACTGTGTTGTGCATGCTTTGTCTTTCCGCCATTATCATTTATGGCCACAGATGCACAGCATCATTACTAAAACGAACTGATCTATTAGAGAGAAAACGAGCTATTATTGTTATGCATTGCATTTTAAAACACGTCATTGAGAAAAAATCGTCATGTGGATGTATTTCCCGATTCTTAGAAGAAATCCTAAATATCGTCTTCTCTGTGTAATTGCTATTCTATTATGGATGCTAATTACAATGGCAGTATTTCATCGACCAGCACATACAAAGCTAGTTCAATTTTCACCGTTAGAATTGAGTAATCCAGAGCCGATTAATATTATTAACAAAGAATATGTTCCACTTATTCATCAACCGTTCACATCGTTTTTAATACGAGGTATTGTTATTTTTTATCCACATGATCAAGAACATGTTTTCTTATCTGAACTATTCTGGCTGTTTCGTTCATGGATCGAAATGATGAAAGATGAACCACCATCGTGGAGAACAGACCTAGTTATTTATACAGGAGTTTTTACTAGGAATCTTCAACAACTTGGGTGTGTTTTTAATCGTATTCGAATTGATCGAAAAGAACGACCTCAATGCCGTGTTTTTCCTTATAAACGTATACATTTACGTGATCTAAATGACAAAAAAGATACGGACGATCATCTCTTTCAACAATTTGATCTTGAACGTTCAATATTACTAAAGAAACATCTTCAAACATATGAATATGTAGATTCAATTAATATTATTGCCGAATGTTACACATCATTTGCTATGTATGATTATATTCTACGCACAGATATCGACGTTTTTCTAACACGATATTTTGGTCGTTTTGTTCCATTCAACGCTACACTACTTGTTGGTCGCGGGGGTTATTCAACGCCATTTAATACAGCACGTTTAAGACGTATTGCAACAAATATGGAGTGGTTATATGCAAATATCACTAATATTGGTTCAACTTGGTAATTAATCTACTAGACTAGAGAGAAAAGTTTAGCCTGGCGCAAAAATAAACAGATGAAGGGTTTACAAGTTCATATTGTCTTACCTCACGACACTCATACATTTATGTTTAGCATTGAGAACTAGAAAATTCGTTTATTTATGAATGTCAACAAAATTTGAAAATAGAATAGCATACGAATTTCATAAATGCTGAAAAGAGAAAACTAAAAAACGGATCGCCGTTGAGAGGATTCATTTGTAATCTCACATTTGTGTCAATGTTTAATAATCATATTTATTTGCAATTAAAAATCTCTTCTTTTCCTAATAGGTATGGACCACCGCGGTTAGCTCAACGTATTGCTAATTTTAGTTTAAAAGCTATGTTACATCTTTCAATAAATGAATTTACTGAACCAGAACGACAACGAAAAATGGGTGTTCTTGTATGTGAATCGCGATTTTTTACTATTTGAAATATAGAAAATATTAGCTTTGAATAGCTTTGGCCTGATTGGTATTACGGTGTACTTCTGTTATATAGCTGTGAATTAGCAATAAATCATTTAAAATTATCGGAAAATATTAGCCTAGGCCTGGCTTATACGTTTTTAGATCAATCGACCACTGATACAGATCAATATGATATGGAAAAAAATAATCGTTTACATTTACATTCTTGGCATACGTTTGAAAGATTTTCAAAATTCGACTTCAAAGCTGGAAAATATAATCGTATTCATCCACGTAAATTTATGATGGATGCATCAGCGCGTGGCTATGTAAGTGAGGTTTTCTTAGAAGAATCGTTGATTTTATTCTTATTTTAGGCTATGCGAATGGCATTAGAATCTCGTTTAATGTCTCATGCGGGACTGAAAGCAGAGCTTATGAATGCGAAACAGTAGTGAAGACTGTAGTTTTATTTCTCCTATATCAAACTACCTTTATTTATGTTCTTTTATTACCTACTACTAATAAAAATATTTCTAATTATTGTTACTTTAAAAAAATATTTCAATTTCGTGAAACAAGTCTTTTCAGTTAATAAACTTAATTTTTAGATTTTTTTCTAATAATTATTTGAAAAAATTCTCGATATTAAATGATAGATTTCCGAAGATTTTAAATTAAGTCATTTACACTTTGCCAGAGTCATTGTAATTACTAACAATAGAATCTATTTTCTTTATCAGTTTCTATTCAGTGATATCGTCCTACATAGATATGCTTGACACAAACTCGAAGTAACTTTGATAAAAAAAAAACTGCGAAATTTAATACTTGTATTCTGATAGATCTTCTGATGAAAATCTGTTATTTTGTTGGCTATGAAAGGGCGATTTTATCGTTTAAAATGTTTAATACTTTCATTTCAAATGAATCAAATATCCATTACTTTCTATACATCTTATCCCCGTCATATAAATCAGCTGTTACTTAATGTGTGTCGATATGATGGCAAAGATACTCTGTCAAATGTTTCAATTACTAGTCTTCATTAGCCATGTAGAGCATTGCGAAACCTTGTATTCAAGTACTTCATAAAAGACCCTGGCAAATACAGCCGCGGTGGAGCTGTGATTTAAACAGGAGTTAAGAGTTCCGTCCCATGTATTAGTCTAAAGTAAGAGTAAATTGAATAAATCTTTAGAAAACGTGACTAAATGCATTGCAATCCAATCTTTTTTAATAATCACCGTTGTTCATAATGCGAAAGTATACTTGATGTTCTTGAACATTTTTTTTTATGTATTTTCAAATATTTTGCATTGTGTGAATCTGAAATCGACTTTTTGTTTCGAAAGACCTGTAAACTCCGTCATCTAAACAGTAATCGTCATTTCTAAGATAAGCTGAATTTGACGAGCAGTTGATGAGGATGCATTCTATTGCAGCATGAATGCGAATCCATTCAGATCAAATTAGTAGAGAAAGGAATATCTTCCGATTATAAGTAAATCTATGTTCATCTTTATTAGAATGAGATGAAACAAATTGCAATTGCAATTCGTGTCTCAATCTCGTCTGTGTATGAATTTCTTCTAAGACAATCGACGAGTTATTCATATGTCGATGGTTAATGACCTCTATCGGTATGTTTACAAGCAACTTAGTTTTGTTCTCTTTCAAGTTGATTCAAATTAACGTATCAGATAAAGCTTTGAAAAGAAAATTGACATGGCGTAATTGTTTAGTTCTTCCACTTTGTTTTTACATTTAATAAAACTTTTTCGATCCATACACACACATCTAACTTATTTTAGATGACTTCTATTGACAAAAATGACTGAATTCATCAATGAAAATCATTCTATAACAAATTTTTAATAAATCTTCAATCTTGTTCTAATCATGACTAGCCGCGAAGGATTAAATCGAAATCGCTTGCGACAAGCAACTCCAAATGTTGATCAAGTTTTAACACCATTAGGACGAGTGGTGGCAAGTACAGTTCCTTCTGGTTCAACTTCAACATCTGTACCAACAACAGTTGTACAAAATTCTGGTAATATTCGTCAACGTTACACTTTGCATACGCCGCTTACAGATGATGTCGAAACTAATTCGAATTCCATTGTTATTCTAGGTACATTCGATACATCAATCCAGGCACCAATAATGACATTTGATGCTGAACAATTTCGTTCAGATATTAAAACGCACGGCAATGATGAAAAACGTTTAGAACAATTAATAATCAATGCAATAAATTATTTCATCGCAACATCGAAACGTGCACCACAACAAGTAGTTGATTATACGGTGCTAACATTTCTTGCATGGACTGCATCGTTGCATGGAGAAATTTTTCGATTACCATCTGTATTAAAAGCCATGTGCACTTTACTTAAAGGATCAGCATTAACAAAAATAATGAAAACTTTTCCCACGATTAATAATGGAAATAATCTAGGATTGACAACAACACCATATACACTTGTTTGCCAAATACTTTGGATTGCTTTTAAAGTAAGAACCGATTATTTTCTTCACTTTCTCTTATGTAAATTTTCTAAGTCAATGAGCTAGTCTTTTATTGAATGCAAACCAAACGAGTTCTTTTTAGCCTTTAAAGAAGTTCATTGAGAGCGAATCTGTGTTTACTATTAAGATTAATGAACTGAAAATAATGACGTGTTCATCATTTCCTGCTCAAACGCTCCAATAAATTGCTATCGTGCATCTGCTAAAACATATGACTTAGCCATTTGTTGAGAATATTCTACAAGAATAAGTGTGTTAAGAAGAAAGCAAAAACTATGCTATTCAATTACCGTACTTTCTGGGACTCATATCCTTTCGTTTGGGATTTATGTTAACTTAGAAAATGTTTTGTCCAGGCTGGTCAAAAGGACTACATGCTTTTATCTTCAAGTCCTAACGATATACCTTTTAAAAGTCTTAGTATCATGATCCTGTGTGCCCCATTTATAAAAATGTAAAGATTTGTAGAGACCGATGTTGTTTTTCTGATTGCTCTCAATTTAATCGCTGTTATTTTTCCACTCTAGGATCAAACTCATTGGCCCGATGAATTCATTGAAGCCTATGTTGAAGATGCGTTAGGTGAACAAAATTGGATAAAAAATCCTGATTGTCGACTTTTTGTTTCAAATATTCAAACTGCTTTTAATACTCGTCCATGTACATGGAAATTAGATGGATTTAAACTCTATCCAGTTGTTCCAATGTCTACTAGTACAACAATAACAACACAAATATCATCAACACTCAACGATGAAACTAGTAATGATAGCAATAATAACAGCGAATCATTAACACTACCAGTTACCGAATCGGAATCATCACTGCAAACAATAGATGATGCCATTCTTAACAACAATAATAATAATACAGATATTCAATTAATTCTTTCACGTTATGAAAAGCGTTCTCAGCAAATTCAAAATTTATTACAAAGTTTATTAACTACAAATGCTAAAATAAAATCTACTATTGGAAACTCAACAAATTTAAATACGAATGCATCAATAACAACACCAGCTGGTACAAGTCAACCGCATGAAACCGACAAACTGCTCTATTTACTTGAACAATTATGTGGTCTATCTGATATACGTTTACATATATTATCTCGACTTGATATATGGTTACAAAATCCAAAATTAAACCGTACGGCTGAAAAATTAATGGTAGCACTTTGCGAAAATCTAACTAAACCAACAACAATGAACAATCATCATCATCAATTGACCAATGGACATTCGATTAATAATGATTTATCTTACATAGATGAACGCGCTATTGAACAATTAGTTAATTTACGTTTTAAAGTACGCGCATCAAATGCCACTAGTAAAATGTACATACTATGTATACGTGAAATGGTTAAAATTGATGCTAATCTAGTTGATATAATTGTACGTTTTATTGTGCACAATGAATTACAGCAAATTTCCATATCGTCAGCAGTACTATCACAAACAACAAAAAATCCAAATAATCTATCATTGCTTCATGCTTGTTGTCAATCACAACCTGAACATACTTGTCAATCGTTAGCATATTCAATACAGAATATTCTTCTTTTAACGAATGTAACAACGACATCGAAAGATTATGATAATTTATTAAAACTTATTCGGCCATTCATTCGTGATCTTATGCGATATGCAAAAAATGAGTTCGATTCAATGAGATTTTGCATGTATTTAATTGATATGCATTATTCTAATAATTTACAGCAACAATTTTGGACTATGGTTCAACAACCAGTAAGAGGAATTTAGTTATGATTTGCTCCTATAATTTCTTTTAATGTTCAAAGCTAACATCGTGAGAATATATTGAAATCGTAGAGAAAAAGACTAAAATAAAATTTTATAGTTTTATGATATGACGTTTTCGTGGGTTATTATTTAGATTCTATTTTTAATAGTTTATCAGGCTGAGATGAAATGGTTGCTTCATAGAAAAAAAGCTTACATCGAAAACAGAAAAATCAGGAGCCATTAAAATATATATCTTTTGTCCTTTAGGATCCTCCAAGTAACGAAATAACATCAAATCGTTTATTGAAACGTCTATTAGAGTGTGATATGTCAACACGTGAACGATTTCTCTATGCTATATGTGATATAATTCCCATGATAATTCTCGCATCAGCTCAAGCATTTAATTCAACAAATAATACAATAAATCCCAATGCTCCAACAACACGTTTAATCGCACCAATAAATAATGAGCAATGGTTATTATTTATTCAACGTATATCATTTATTCAATGTAGTTCATGTTTATTTTTTCTCTATACATTGCCACGTTTATTCGATTCAACATCATCGATAAATCCAATAAATTACGTCACATGTTTATATAGTATATTATTCACGGCACAAGTCAATTCATATTTGCGTATTGAAAATTGGCCACCAGAAGAACCACTTGGTTTACGTAATGATCTATTTCGTTTATCATCTGAAATTCCATTACTTGGTGAAACTCTCTATTTACTTATGCAAATTGGTTTAACACCACAATTTCGTATAAATCCATCGATTATAGTTGATTTAATTGATCTCATTGTCCGACGTACATTAAATGTTGAACAAAAAATGCCGAATGATTATGTATCCCTATATCTTCGTCTACCTGAAAATCGTTGTGAAATACTTCTTAAGAAATTTTTCGATCTAACTCGCTATCATATTCCTATTCAAATACAATTTCCATCAACATATCAAATACCGAAGAATTTATTTATAACAGAAATCTTTTGGAAATCATGTCTAATATGTTTACTATTAGCATCGCATGATCCGCAAATGTTCGGCCGTTTTATATGGACATCAGTACCTCAAATACGCCTATTTATGGAAATGCTATTAACAGGTGATTATACATATCCACCAAAATCAATGATTGAAACAAAAGATTTTCTCGAGAAATTCTATGCAAATGAACGTTTACAATTGCGTGAAGAAAAAGATTCAATATTAGAATTAGAAAAATATTTAGCATCACCGAAAATCATCGATGAAACGAATAGTCAATTATTAGGTAAAATTATCCTATTGGATTTGCAACAAATTAAACGGCCTGCAACACATGAGAAAAATGAAAAGAATTTTTATAATCTTATACAGGGTTTTAATAATTTATATAAATTATCGTCGATGTTATGTCGTTGTCGTTCGCCAGATTTCATTTTAAATGTATTAAATAGAAAAGAACAACAAGGAAAAAATGCGTTCGATTCACAGACATCATGGTTAACGAGTTTAATTGATTCGAATATTGATTGTTTAAATGTTTTTCCAATTATTTGTCTATGTGATTATTTTCAACATATGATTATGATTTATAATAATAAGTCTATTCTAAATTCACCATCGAAAAAAACTCTACATGCACTAGAAACTATTCTAATAAGATTTAAATCTATTATTCAAGCAGTTAAACAACAAATTTTGTCAAATACACAGGTAAGATATTTAGCAGTTAATATGTCTTTACAAGGAATATCTTCGAAATGATAAATTTCATTCGAATCAAAACTAAGAATTAAACTCCCGATTGTACTCCTTACTATTCTTATCATAAAAGAAAACGAATTACCGATCCAGTCAATAGTTTACCCGAATTTTCTTCTACGAAAGTGAGTCATTTAGAAACCTACAAAAAAAAATAGGCCTAGTCCCATCGCATGCTGCATAAACTTCGAAACGACCAATCAGATTTTCCTATGACTGTTCTTCTCATCTGTTTGATAAAATAAATGTGTTTTTTTTTAATTTCTTTTAGAAATCAACTTTAAATTCTCCTCAAATCGATGATATGACATGTATTCTCAATTATTTTTTCAATTGTCTTAATTCTAATATATCAACAGTGCGTACAAATGCTTGGCTTTGTTTATATATAATTCTCAACGAAAACCATCAAATTCAAAATATTGAAAATCTTCTATCGAAATTCGATCAATTGCCTGAAACATATATTGAATTAATCTTATCAACAATAACACAATTCAAATCTCTAGATCACACTCAACTGTTAGTAAAACAAACTCTATCGGAAACATGTCATTTTGAAACTAATATATATATATTACATTGTTCCATTATGTATATTATTGATAATTGTCATATTGATTCAAATAGTGATATATCATTACTATCAAATTTAGCACGAGCATTAAATCGGCGACATTCAATACTTTATTTACTGATTCAATATGATAAACAAGAAAAAATTTCAAAATTAATCGAAAACTTTTTTCGTTTCATTATTATTATGTTAATGAAAAAAATTGAATATTCATTAAAGCATCCAATTGAGATTAATAGCGATGAGAATTATGATGAAAAATTCTCAACCAACACTCAAACATACCTAATGTTACCAGGTTTAAATGCGGAACAAATAAATATTATTAAACAATTGGAAAATCATGTGAACTTAAAGGATGATTATAAATGGTCAACAAATATGAATAAGCATTACATACAAATTGATTCAGTGCTCATTGAATTGTTGTTAATCTTTTTAGCTTATTTTGATTTTAATAATTCAAAATTGAAAGCGTTAGCTGATATAGCAAGTTTACTTCAACAATTTTTTCTTAATATAAAATCAACACCTTGCTTTACAACAATTAAACAATTCAATCCACCGGTACCGGTAAAACAATCGCAAGACGAGGTAAAGTTTCATTCTATTTTTAGACCTCAGATTGGTCCGAGAGTATTGGAGTAGCATTCGGTTAATTAAAAACTTGTTTTTTTTTGATAATTTCACTGATCAAAACAAAATGAATTCGATCACTTCATTTCGTTCTTGTTTCCTATGAATTATTTGTTATTCTTTCAGAGTAAATCTGTTGACGACAGTAAAGATGATCATTTTAAACAATTCGCCATAGAAGATATTGATCCACCAGAACCTACACGTAAACGACGTAGATCACATACGAATTCGACTGAAAAAGTTTTTGTCGCATCTTCAACAAAAGCGAACTATCGTATTGTTCCAATCAACAATGAAAATGAACAATCATTATTTCTTTCGGATGATTTACAATATTTTATATTTAAATCAAATAATTTTTCATTGGTTAAACGATGTATTGATCAAGCATCATTATCAACATGTTTGAAAATGTTTAAAATATCTGCAACATCACATGAAAATATCAATTGTTTATGTCAACGTCTAAATCAATTAATCGATCTATCATCCAAACAGATTCATACTTATATTAAGCAATCTTCATTTATACTTCCTTTAATAAATCGATGGATTATTGAACAATTACCGGAAGCTATTAAACTTGGTGAAAAATTAAGAAAGCTGTCAGAAAAAAAGAAAAAATCCCATAGGTAAGTAGAAATCCTTTCACAGTCGTCTAGTACTGTTAGTTCAATCAAGAGCAGCATGAAAGTCGTACCCTGATGAAAATTATCTCCTTTCATTAGGTCAAGACAGAAATCATTGTTAGTTGTACTCAGGGAAAAGTCTTTCATCATAGATCTTTTCCTTAAATTCTTCTATTAAACTAAATATATATTTTCTTCAGTGCCACTCAAGAAAAATCATCTGATAAAAGCGTTCGTTTAATTCCAACGAGTTCACGTATGTCTTCGTCAATAGTCGATCAAATTCATTCGTTTGATATTCGTATAAATGATTTATGTAATAAAAAATCGTCTGATGAAATTTCAAATGACAATCGAATGGATACATCGGATATAGAGTTTAATATACCATGGAAAAATTTAGATGAATGTGAAGAATTACTTAAATATTTAATCAATAAGAAAACTTCTTCAATAAAACGTCGTCAATTACTCGTCCAACTGCAATGGTTAACAAATATGTCCGAGGACTATTGCTTTCAATTATGTCAAACGATGTTAAAATGTTGTTATTCAACATATAAACATGAATTTATAAATAATCTTAATCAACAATTCAACTGTTCATTTGTTCTATTGGGCATTCTAATGAAAAGTAAATTGTTAAGTAATGATTTTGTTAAACTACTCAATTTATTAGAATCTGATTGTAATTCTAATGAAAGTTTACTTCTAATGAAAATAAAACAATTGAAACGTATGACCAATCAATTAGAAGAATTAAAATTAACAACGAAATCCAATGTAAATTTACTACCAGATGAACAAATTAAACAGAATCTAACTATTGATCATATGTTAAATATATTCATTAGTTCTGATTCATTAAACGATTGGAGAATTGAACAGCAATTTTATAAATATTTTAAATCAAATAATGAACATGAAGATGAATGTAAACATTTATTAATGAATGTACTTGTTGAAGCGGAATACAAATTATCGGAGCCAACTATTGGAATGATTCTAGATCAATTAGAAAGAATAGATTACAAATCTTCAAGGTAATCATTTTAAACTGATACTCACAGAAAAGAAAGATAAAGATTGTTTTGTTGATAGTAGATTATGTAAATTGGAAAATCGCTGTTTTATGTCATTCTAAATTTCATAAAAAAAAATTTAGGAAAATTATTAATGATATGCGCTATTAATATATCTAGATGAGTTTTTAAAATAAGGTCTCCTTGAATATTGCTACTATTATTTGGACTATAGTGCTAGTATGAATTAGCTATACAAATAAGAGAAAAGTTTCTAAGCCACCACACGTACTTTAAATCTAGTTATGCCTTAGAATTGAAATAGCTGTGAGATTCTCAAAAGCTACTATTCTTCTTGACGTCTGTCTCTATGCAAAATCTTAATATAAAATTCAAAACATTAGTTTTCCTCAAGACAACCATAGTATTCATTTAGGCGTTAACATGAAAGTATTTGCAACTCATTTGGGATTAGATACTCGATGGAAGAAAATATTGATTCAGCAGTTACTATAACAAGCATGCTGATTTGTACTAGAAAGAAAAAACAACAACTAATCAAATCCTATTGATAAAATTATTTCTTTAGATCATCAAATACATCGATCTATGCCAATCATCTATTATTTTTCCAACGAACAGATTCCTCAATATCTCAACGTTTATTATTAAAGAAATTTCTCCATTCTTGCGATTGGTCAACAATTCTCAATTGTATTTATGATCTTCTAACATTGAATTCGTCGAATTCAAATCCACGTTTATCAGTAGGCCATTTGAATTTCGAGCACAATCGTTTATTACCAACGCATCCTTTAAAGCAATCTCATTCGTCGCTACTAAACCATCGTGATAGTACATTAATACTTGATATGTTAGAAGCATTTATAAAACTATCACCTTTATGGTCTGGAAGAGAATTTAAAATGCTTGATCGTTGCCATGATGAATTATTAATTGATTTAAATGAACAACATATCTATACACTAATAATTTACATACTCGATGAAGGTTATCGTCGATATTTATCTAAAGAAAATCTCTATGAGCAATATCAAAAACGTTATGAAACAATAATATATTATTTAATAAAACATTCAGATAAAAAATCATTATTTCAGTATTGTTTACAAAAAATTTTCATTGATTCTGATACAATGCTATGGATAAAAAATATTCTAACATCATTCTATTTTATTATTTATATAAACCAATCAGATTTATTTAATGAAAATTTCTATTTAATCTTACCGAATTTATTCTCAGAAATTAAACAACAATATAAGAAAATTAATTTTATTAATACAAACTATGATTATATTATTCATGATTTATTAATACGTTTAAATAGTTATGATTTAATAACCATTGAAAATTTCTATGAAATCAATCTTTTATTGAAACAATATGTTTCGAAATACCCGATTTTGTTTCTCAGACATTTGAATGTTCTGAAATTGGATTTACAATCACGACTGTCAACATTAACCTATGAAGAAGTAAATCGGCGAAGTTCAAAACAACGAACTTTATTTCATTCACTATTCGATTTAATTTATCGGTTAAAACCTTATATCTATGATCAGATCTACGAAAATGATTTTCAATCGATTATTGATATTTACATACGTTTAGTACAAATTAATTTATCAGTATTAAATACATGTACAAAACAGAATATATTAACGTTTACTTCTTTACATGATTTAATCTATTTAATTGATAGACTATTAAGTTTAATGTACGATTATTTATATTCAACAATTAATAATAATCAACATAATGCATTATTTAAAACATATCATATCAAGTTCTTTGAGAAAATCAATGAGAAAATACAAACAAATAAAGATTTGTATCAATATTTAGCATCAAATAAACACAATCAAATTTTGTATCATCTTAAACAATTAAAAATACTCTATGAAGCTATTAAAAGTGATGAAATTCCAGGTAAAATATGCATAGATTATTTATTTTAGCGCAGTAACTAGTGAGATCATAACCTGACACCGGATATATTTAGAGTAAATAATTGTAAGCTTAATGAGATACGTGTTCTTGACCTTCGTTCAGTCAATTTATAGAAGACCCGAGAAAAATGATTCTATTATTTATATTGAAAATTTCTATGTCTTTGCCATATTTACTGTCCTGCAGCCTTACAGAAAGAAGGTCAAGAAAAACTATCATTTGGTTCTCTATGAAATAGAATCTTCTCTGAAAAAAACTTCAGGCGAAAATAAATGAATTGGTTTTTAGAGTCTTATCATCGAACAAAAATTAATTAATTTCCTTCCACGCTGCATAATAAATCCATGAAGAAAATTTTAAAGATTATTTTGAATTCATTTAGAGTTAGTTCCGCTTAAAGAAATATACAGTATTGTCTTTGTGTTTATCATTTCTGATTTGCACGAAAATTTTATTTCTTTAAAATTTTCATTTAGATTTAACTAATACGATGCTCAATGAAATAGTCCCATTCAATGTTCGTCTTTGTTTGGTCGATGGTACATTATCCGATAATAATTCTTCAAAACAATCCATATCTGATTCTTCGATACGTCATAAATCGCTTGATATTCAATATTATCGTATGAAATTATCTATATCCATTGATGAATATACATCTTCTATGATAATTGATGATGTATTATTAACATTGACCGATTTGAAATCTCATATAGATCATTATCTTCCTATAGATCATATTGAATTAATACTTGATTCATTAACAAATTATCTTTTAAATGGTAATAAACAATTAATTGAACAAACCTATGAATTTATATTAAAATATATTGAAAAATATCCACAATATTCATTGATATTTTATTCGGCATATATTAAATGTATATTATCAACAAATTTGATTGTATTTCAAATGGCTCTTGAACATTTTTCACATTTTATTATTTATTTTCAATCGAAAGCAAACGAACTTTTTAATATTCTACTTAAACAAGGTCTAATCAATAAAACTGACGTAACAACATCCATAACACAAGCCATACGTTTACTTAATCTTCATCGATACGATCCAATAACATATACGAATTTAACATCGGCAATGTCATCAAAAATAGCAATAGCAACGACCACAACAACGACGACAACAACAACTAATGATTGATTTCAAACAAAACAAAAAATTTCTGTCTTTCCTTGAAGTCTTTCTTCCATAATTGTCTGTTAGCTTAAAAAACAAAGTTAAATATATATATTTTTTTCTCTTTGTGTGTACGTGTATATATATATGTGTGTGTGTGTGTATGTGTATGTATTATTTTGGCCCATCAAAAAGGAAAAAAAATATTAGAACATAACACTAAGCAACAAATATAATGGGCTTTTTTCCTTTTGTTTCTTTGTTTTTTTTCTCATTTTGTTATTATTGTTGATGTTTGAGGAACTATCATTCTAGATATATGTGCATGCAATGGTTTGTGGTTGATCTTAAACCTGATTATATTCAAGAAATGATGAACTGCGGATATTATTTGTTTTTTATGACTATAGGCTAATATTGGCGATATACAATGCGTTAGATCAAATCAATAATGGGGTTTTAGTTATGAAATATAGCTTCAGGACAAAACTAGGACTGCGATTAAATTACTTAAGTTAGAATAAATCTAGAGCGTCTGTCGGAAAACAAAAATAGAGATCAATGACGTCTTGATTTAGAAATACATCACCATCATATATGTATATACATATGCTACAGTTGACATGAGAATTTAGTTGAGATTGGAATAATAGTTTTAAACAAAGATAGAGAAAATAGACACAAAAGAAAGCGAAGAAAAAAAAAAGAAAAAGAATTTCGAAAATCAAAATGCAAATAAAGTTATATGAACGATGTGGAAACTTTGTCTATGAGTTAAATTTAACAAAGTATTTTCTAATTGATCATAATTTTAATTTCTTTTTCGAATTGGTGACCAAAATAAAACAAAAAAAAGAATTTTATTTTTTATTTTTCCTGTAACTCAATGCGCTCTTATCTCGCTTGTATGAGTCACACAGTAATTAATGTATCTTGTTCAACTGATACTTTAATATTAAAAGGAAATAAAATACTTCGTTGATTACGATATTAATGTTACATCATCAAATAAATATTTATTTATCCTAGTTTTACATTCTAACAAATTTAGTAGAATCTATTAATATCTAACTTTTTGTTATCATTTCTTTATTAATTTGAGTTTTAATAATCGATATTCGTCACTATGAAATAGACAATGATTAAACATAAATTATTAAGTTTCTTTTATATTAACTTATTGATTTTTTCTAACGAAGAACGATTGTTGATAATAACACATCAAATGGACTATTTATATAAGAAACGTCTTTATTAATTTCATTAATAATTTTAAAAAAGCATCTACTTTCCTCCCATATCATTCGAATTAAAAACTCGTTCCATTTCCATCCCAGCTGCTCGAGACCCGTACTTCGAAATAACGATAGAGAAAATCTGTTTCTTTTCTTCTAGTATAGAAAGAAAGAAAAGCAATGTCCCAATGTCCCGAGCATTAAAACATGAACATTTATTCAGAATCTTTGTCGTTTTTCTCTCTTCAATCAGGAAAAATAGAAACAATTAATCTTGGGAACAAAAACGTTTCTTTTGAATCTACATACTTAATCAGACTATCTCATGTTGCTCACTAAAAAATTTTATTTCTATGAATCACTTTCTCACAACATTTATAGAATAATCAACAATTCCAATCTCAACTAGATTCTAAACTCTACTGTCATATGTATATATTGTGAGAGGTACTTTTGAATTATCTCAAATGATTATTTTTGAATGGATGATAATTTTTCATTCTATGAACAATATATATCCTAGTCAAAAACGTTTTTAAGTAATTAGAAACTAGCATTTAGAAAATAATTTTCGTTGTAGAAAAAATCTTAGATATGTCTTCAAGTTCATCATCCGCTACAACGACTAATAAATCGGATAAGAAAGCAATATTTACCGAAGCTGAAGTAAGGACTTTTTGCAATTATTATCCATGCATTTTTTTTTATATAATTGCCTATTTAGACCGATGCATTTCAAGGTCTTGATGTATCACGTTTATCAACTGAAGATATTATTGCACGAGCACGTTTATTAGATAATGAAATTAAAGTTTGTATATTTATTTTTTGTATGGATGAATTATTATTATTATAAAATCAATTGTTTAAGATTATGAAGAATGATATTGTTCGAATTTCACATGAAACGCAATCAACACGTGATAGAATAAAAGAAAACAAAGATAAAATAAAGGTTAATAAGACATTACCATATCTTGTATCCAATGTGATTGAAGTAAGTTTTAATTTTGAAATTTAAAATATTCTGTTCTAATCGAATTAAAATAGTTATTCGACCTTGATCCGCAAGGTGAAGAAGATGAAGGTGCAAATATTGATCTTGATGCTCAACGTAAAGGAAAGTGTGCTGTTATAAAAACATCAACACGACAAGTAAATTTATTTCAATAGCTATATTTTTCTTTTCTATTTTTGTTTTTATTAGACATACTTTTTACCAGTTATTGGTCTAGTCGATCCAGAAGAACTAAAACCAGCTGATTTAGTAGTAAGTTTGAAAATATTCGTTATTTAAATAGAACAAAAAATTTCCATTTAAGGGCGTTAACAAAGATTCATATTTGGTATTAGAGAAATTACCTGTTGAATATGATTCACGTGTAAAAGCCATGGAAGTTGATGAAAGACCCACCGAACAATATGGTGATATTGGCGGTTTGGATAAACAAATTCAAGAATTAATTGAAGCTGTTGTTTTACCAATGACACATAAAGATCGTTTTGAAGCGCTTGGCATACAACCACCAAAAGGTGTTCTTCTCTATGGTCCACCGGGAACTGGTAAAACTTTATTGGCTCGTGCTTGTGCTGCACAAACCAAATCAGCTTTTCTCAAGTTGGCTGGACCTCAACTAGTACAAATGTTTATTGGTAATAAAATTGAATGCGAAATAGCGAGACGTTTGTAATTATGCTCTTTGTTTTTGTTAAGGTGATGGTGCTAAATTAGTTCGTGATGCATTTGCATTAGCCAAAGAAAAAGCCCCAGCTATTATTTTTATTGATGAATTAGATGCTATTGGAACAAAACGTTTCGATAGTGAAAAGGCTGGCGATCGTGAAGTACAACGAACTATGCTTGAACTTCTCAATCAACTTGATGGCTTTCAACCTAATCATGATATTAAGTAAGAAAGAAAAAACGAGAAGAACTCGTCAAGTAAATATATTTATATTTTAAGAGTTATTGCTGCAACAAATCGAGTTGATATTCTCGATCCCGCTTTGCTACGGTCTGGTCGGCTTGATCGAAAAATTGAATTTCCTCATCCAAATGAAACGGTAACAATATAGGATTCATGAGAAATCTATTTTATCATAACATTCTTACATTAATTACTAAGGTTAATGAGAGAATCTCTTTAAATATCCAATTTCGATTTCTATGTTTTTACTTATAACAAGTATTTTATGTTATAAGAAAAAAATCCTAAAAGGCTTCAATTGACCTATAAAATATTCAATACAATTATTTCTTTTAGTATTAGAAATGAAGATCTCCTCTGATTATTGTGTATAACACGTGAATTCTTTAGAAGCATTATATGTAGAAGAAGTTTTTCTTCTCTATGGAAGTCGTTAACTATATGCACAAAATATAGGAGCTTAAGGGGCTTCTCCCCTCAGAAAATCGATTTTTTTTCACAAAAAACGATTTTGAGATAAGCACATATACTGAAAGCCCAAAATGTTCTCTTTCAGATTATGTGCGACTCATTGCAGTTTGAATGGTTTTTGGTGGTGAAAATAGCGATTTTCTGGGAGCAGTAGTAGAAATATAAGGTTTTTTCATAAATTTTCCTTACTTCCGGGGGACGTGATATTGGTCCACAAGCTGGTAGATTTTATCTAATGAGAAACAGATATGCGCTCTGTTATATTAATTAATTAGTGGGACGTAGTCATTTCTGCTTAAAATCCAGTACAGCTACATTACGAAATTGCAGTATAGAGGTCGTGACAATCATAGTGAAATTAAAAATTGTTTCATACAACTTGTTGATTGGTTTTCTCAAAATCACTTTTTGGAGAGTTCGGAACCGGTTTCTCAGACTGTATAAGAGATAGCGAGCTACTTTTTTTGAAACAAAAGAAGAAACCTATATCTAGAAACGTATGTAGTGTTTTTTCGAAATTCGATTTGTTTGCCGAGATAGCTGGATAACACTGATGTCAGAAAGCACTAAATTCCGAGTTCTTGTAGTAGAATGTCTCGGAAATCCGAACAAAATCGAATTTCGAAAAAACGCTACATACATTTCTTGACATAGGTTTCTTCTTTTATTTAAAAAAAAAAGGTAGCTCTCTACGTCTTTGACAATTTGAGAAATCGGTTCCTTATGAGAACCACCATTTGGGGACTAATGTGTCAATAACTCTTTAAAGCAAAAACTTTATGAGCCAAAAATTTGCAAGAAATTGAGTTAACACAACACCCATATTGTCTAAAAATTTCAGACAAAACGGTCCCACGAATAATGAAAACCAATTCCTGAGGGAGGGGGAGCCCCTTAATTCGAAAATAGGAGCATTCCAATACCCTGCTTGCTTTCATTCGGCTAATTTACGTATCTTTTGTAAAACAATTAAAAATAATAGGAAATTTTGTTTTCCTTCTAATCAATCAATGTCACTATGGATCATATCACGTGACTGGTTTTATACTATTCTAAGTGTGAACGTGTTTGAACATCTTAATATACATTCGATGAAATGAATGATTATTATTTACTTATCTGATTTTAGGCTCGTGCACGCATTATGCAAATCCACAGTCGAAAAATGAATACGAACAAGGATGTAAATTTTGAAGAATTAGCTCGTTGTACAGATGATTTCAACGGTGCTCAATGTAAAGCTGTTTGCATTGAAGCTGTACGTACTTGAAGATAAATTAAAGCAGAACAGAAAAATTCTAATAAAATCGCCCTGTTTATTTCTGTTTTAAGGGTATGATTGCACTACGTCGAGGTGGTGTTGAAGTTCAACATGAAGATTTCATGGATGCTATTCTTGAAGTACAAGCCAAAAAGAAAACCAATTTGAATTACTATGCTTGATACAATCAAGAATCATTTTTTCTGCTGATAGTTCAATTATTCATTTACATTGTTCTATTTTCTTTTTTTTTTAAACGCCTAGAAAATAAAGCTAAAAACTAAACAGTGGTATGCAAAATTAAGCATGCACTAGAGAGAGAGAGACGAGAAAAACTAGGTAATTAATGACAAATTTTACTAAAATATATAACAACATGTTGAGGGCTATTATGAGAAATTTCCGTCGACAAATATTTGTGTTTAAAAAGTCATACATTATTGTATGAACACCATCGATACGTTGGAATCAACCTAAAACATAGGATTGTACTTTTTGTGTTGCCTAAAATACTTATATATTGAGCTGTGCAAACCGAGATTGTAATTAGTATTCTAAACTTCTTTGGAAAGTACAATTTAAAATTTGCATCAACTATCAACGACACTTATGACTACAGTTACAAGATGTTTATAAGCAAACAAATAAAATTCATCGGTCTGTAATGTTTGTTTTTTTTCTTTTAAAACGTTTATTTAATAGAAACCATATATGAACATCCTTTTTCAAAAGAGATCCCACATCATATTAGCTGTCTAAGTAGAGTATAATTAAGCGCCGTCTGAGTATATGGACTAAAGTAACCTATAAAATTATTCAAGTAAAATATTTTACAGAGAACAAAAAACAACGAAGACAACTCACGGTAATGAGCTATATTTCCAAGTCCAATACCGAGACCAGCTCCTATTGTAATAAGAGCTAATGTTCCAAACAAAACAAGTCCAAATCTACGTGCTGCTGGGTCTCTGTGGAACAATATATCATGAACATAATAGTATTTTTTCAATTCATTTTAGCATACCCTCGTATTATGTGATTTTCAGTAGTCACTGGTGGTTGATTTAATGGAATCATGGTCGATTTTGAATAGATTCCGCTAGTTTAGTTATACGCAATATGACTGCGAATGATGATCATACTTTATATTACTATCAGTTCGACTGTTACATTCAATGACAAAACATTGATTCTCCTTCTGACAGTCACGCTTGAACGATTAAAATAAACAAATTTTAGTCACCTATTTTCTCTCTCTTACGTCGTCATTCTTGAATGATAGACACATGCGCATATTCTTTTTTTGTCACTAATCTTGTGTTTAAACAGTTCTCTCTGTACGAAAAAACATAATTCCATTAAAAATTCAAGTAGCTGACCGAAATATTTAAGTGATTTATTTTCGATCGAAGAACTTGAGAAGTAAAAAGCATACTTCGTGTTTTTTTTGCGTTTCACATGAAGATTGAAAGAATATTCATTGAGAATGTTAGCATTTAAATGAAATATCCAAGACTCGATGACCGAAATGACTATAAATACTTTTGAATCATAAAAAATACATTCAATTAACCTTCATTTTTGTTTTACTATTTAATCAGAACATTCTAATTTTTTCCCTTTTCAAAATGATTGATTGAAGGACAAATAGAAAATGAATATAATAGGAATATAATAGCGCCTCTTCATTTAACTAAATCAAAATATTGATGCTTATTACAAGTATTCTCGTTTCAATTTGGCTTAATCTATTCGATAAATATCATACATTTCTATTTTGTATAATTTTTAGTTTTGTGTTCACTATTGAAATTTATATTGCTCTTGTTTTTATTTCTACTTATTTATCATTAACTTGGTTTCATAGATATAATAATTCATCTATTCACTATCCATTAAAATTTCTTTGGTCTTATCTAGCAAATCGATCAGTATCGAATCAACAAAATCATTCTTTATTATCGAATGAATATATTTCTGAAATATCCAATGTTTCGCTACAAAATCCATTTCGTCGTTTGATGCTTTTAAAAATACACAATTTATTTCGAAAGACACCATTTAATACAAATAAGGATTCTGATAATAATAATAATAAACATAAATATAGATTGTTTGATTATCGGTGTCCTATTTGCTTTAATAATACACAAGCTGCATTTCGGTGGATCGCACTTGGCTGTGGTCATATTTTATGTTCACTATGTACTCAACATCTTTATTTTGGTAACAAACCAATGTGTCCTAGCTGTCGGTCACCTATTATTCTTGCTGATGTAACAATTCTTTACATTTGAAAGAATGCCTACTTGCTTTACTCTCAACATTAATCCAGTTGACACTAAAAACATGTGCGATCAGACATCCAATGCATGAACTCGTACATAGTAGAGAACATGTCAATTTTTGTTGTCTTCTAGTCGTGTAAAAAATAAATTGAATTCTTTTTCGGCTGCTGTTTACTATTTGTCATCTTTCTGTAGGAAAAAACGCGAATTTAAAATAAAATATGATGAATAGAAAGCTTGTCACCGTTGCTTGGGAGATCAAGAAATCTAATAAAACGAAATTCGAGGGGCACATGATCTCCTGCCGACAAATTTAAATGGCTTTCTATATAATGAAAAAAAAACTCAAGAAACGAAACAGTTATAAATGTAGGCGTAGTGGCACACAAGAAACCTACTATTTTTTTCGCTTCACTATAGTCTCCTTCTTCGTCGGTTGATGCCTGGTGTTCTAGTGTCTTAGATTAAGTAAACAAGACACGGTGAAATAGATCGGTGAATTGAAAATGGAATCATTTTAAAAAATAATAAAAGTAAGTCAACTGATGCCATTCAATGCTTGTTTTCTTTTAATGCCAAGAACTAACAAACAATGATAAAATATGTTAGTAGTCGTTTTATTTAGTTTAATCAAATCTATACCAGCAGCTACTCATTTTTAAAGATTAATCAAAGAATGAAGGAACATTATACCCATATGAATACCTCATACTTACCTATAATCGGTTATCAAGGTGCTTATACTGCCAAACGAATGTACCAACAACCGCTGGTAAATATTTGATGTCATAAAATTCAAAATTCTTGTGTTAGATTTGAACTTCTTCTTTTTGGTATTTCAATAATGCCATAGAATTTCTTATGAATATAGAATGGAATAAATTACGAACTTTTTTTTTTATTCAAGAGTATGTTCCTATTGATTTTATTTGTTTTTGGCGTTTTAATCATGATTAGTGCAAAAAAAAAATTGTTTTAATCTATGAAATGAGCCAAAAAGAAGACTCGTAAGTGTCTTGATTAAAATAATCTATACGAAAGTGAAAATGGAACTTGCATGTCCATAATATGCTTATTTTGGCACATCATTTTCTAGGCACAAATTCCTATTAATTATGCAACAGCAGCTATTCCTAGATATGCACCATTTGGTACTGATTACACACCTGATTATTCAACGAAGATAATTGGTAGTCGATATGTATCCATTCCTGAAATAGCTTCTAATGCATCTAAACATCCATCTCCATTGTTAGCCAAAAATATGTAAGCATTTTTTCCGAGAAGTTCAACGAATCCTTTCACTTTCCTGTCCAAACAATAAGTTAGTCTTGAAAACAATAGTACCTAAAGAAAGAAAAAAATTCTTTTTTTGATTAACTTCACGTTCCATGGCCGATGCCATACTTAGAAGAAAGAAGAAAAAACACATCTGAGTACCATTAATATCGAGAGAAAGAGTGAAATAAAGGAATTCATAAATGTTCTTCGTCTTCTTTTCCTTTTATTCCGGTGTAAAACACCTTCTACGATTAGTAAAAATAAAGTTACCCAAGCAACTGATTTGACTATTCTTTACTATCGATAAAAAAAACAGAGCAGTAACAACAACAAACATACATATATACCTTTACAACAGAAAAGTGAAGAAAAATACGAAGGTGTCTAGTGTTCGTGTGTGTGTGTGTTAACGGTTTTGTTAAAAGGATCATTTCTTTTTTTTTTCAATCGAAATAAAGCGTTTTAAAGTAATTCCGTCTTTTAATGGCATTTACACGATTTTTTCCAGTTTCAAATCACATTTAGTGAGATAATCTTTTTTATTGACATTAAACATTAATTTTAATTTTATTAAACTTTTTAGTGATCCCGATTTAGCACCAACTAAGACGATTCAACACGCTCATGCTCAGGATAGTCCTCAATGGCCACAACAAACAAAGTCAAGATTCGATACAACATATCGTACTGAATTTATCAATCGTATTCGACATCCGGTATGTAGTTCGAAAAATTGCTTTTTTCTGAGTGGGAAAAAAACGAGATAAAATTGCTAGCCTATTCTATAATAACAAAATGCATCACAATATCAATCTAGGAATATGTTCCATGGTATCTACAATCAGATTCGGTAATTGACACTAATATATCATACTCTCCACACATCTTCTTTTTATTATCGTAAATTTTTTTTTTCTATTCTTAATACTCGATTATCACATAAGTATAAGAACCATAGCAACCACCATGTTTCGTTGCAGGCGCATAAATTTCATTAAATTTTACTCACCACAAAACGAGAAAATGATTTCGATAATCTCTCATAAAAATCGAAGCTCTTGAATGTCATTCAAGTCAATAAAAAATATCCGTTTTTCTTTTCTCACAAACAGAAAAAATAAGCAAAAGAGAAATACGTTTGATTTTTCTTTATATGTCATCATATAATTAAACATTTAAAATTATTCATATGTTATCCTCGTAATATATCTTATTCCAAATATTTTGTATCTGAATTATTGTTCTTCTTTGGTTTTATCGTTTTCCATCTTAATGAATTGAACTAATTGTAATACAAAATAATAAAGGTCATTCGTTTTGTATTCGTGTTAGTTTAATTCTTTTTTCTTTCGTTCTGTACAATAAATGCCACAGCTTCGTCTTGTCGTGAAACGTATAGAAAAATATTCTAATTAAAACAAAACCCAAATAAATCCATATCACCCGCTTATGTTATCAATTGAACTAAGAAAAAGGCTTGACACAAGAAAAGGAAAATAATCGTCATCTTTGTTTGAACAGGATCAAATTGCAAAACCGATTCGAAATCTTCAAAGTTCATTTAATCAATATTCTGTTCTACCACCAATTAATACAGAAATCGTTAATAGAAATAATGATATTCCAAGAAGTAATGCATCTGCTCGGACTACTAGTACCGATGTTCAATCAGAGAAACAACCATTTCGAGATCAACAAATGAAATTTAATGAAAGTATGCCAAACGATATACCTCCATTAAATTTCAATAATAGTTCACAAAACTTTTATGGTCAACCACCGCCACCACCGCCACCACAACAGCAACAGCAACAACAACAGCCAATGATTGATAATATAGATACCTATATGACTCAAGAACCTGTTCTATTAACTGATTATGAAGAACAGCGGTTAGCTGAGCAAGTTTCTTATCAATTAGGATATTCATCAGGCGTTGAAAAATTAAAAGTATTCTATCAAGAATTAACTGCATATGATCCAAATTTAACACGTTATGTACATTACTCAACAATTCAATTACTTGCTGCTCAAATTGGCGTAATTTATTGTTTTTTTAACTTTCGATTTATTATGATCTTAGCAAAAAACAATTCTCTTTTCTAGTTAGGTTTACAAGATGATACACTTCGTTTCTCTATGTGCAAATTTGTTGCACCAAATCGACCACGCGGTTTCGTTAATTATGAAGATATGGTTCGATACTTTGGCAGATGTCTTGCCTATACGAATCCTCATCAATTAAGGTGAGCGGTGTTCTACAATCGCTTTGAATAAATAACGTTTCAGAAAAAGTCAAAAATGATCATTTTTTAAATTCAGTCCTTCGCAGTCTTGTGAAACTTCGGCTTATCATCAACTGAATTTTCATCGTTATCGTCAAAATGAATGTCGATGTCGACATGAACATAATTCATATTCTAATAACCCTTGTCCTATCCATCACTATAATCGTTAAATGTCTGAAGTGAAAGTTTAAACTGAGTGCAGTGATTACTTCTTTCATATGTTTTCGTGATTTAAATATACTCTTAACTATAAAAGCACACTATCTTACGTGATTGTCGTCAGTTATCACTTTGTAGGGGCGAACAGTACCAGCACGGTAGGTTCTGGTCACTGCATTGTTTGCCAATGGGTAGGTATAATTATACATATATTAAAAACAAAACAGCAACTCATTTGTCTAATATGATTTGTTCATGTATCATGCTTGGTCGTCGTTCGCTCTTTTGGTCTATGTATGTCTCGCTATTTAAATTTTCTTTGCATACCAACTATACTATGGGCATAACGATTTAAAATGCATGAAATTCAGCTCATAATATACAAAATGCTTTCTTTTTTCCTCTCTCTTTCTACTGATGTATTTTATTAAACGTATTTCATTTTCTACTATATAGCCAGCAACGAAATCCAAACTCAAGATCAAGTAATTCTAATAATGGTTCTTATAATCGAACGCCGAGTCCACAAAAACAGTATCAAACACGAATTCAATCGAGTCTAACTAATTTAACTGATGATGGCGAAAGAAATTTTGATCCTGATGAACGATTAGTTCGACTTTTATTAAGACAAAATTTGAGAAGCTTCGAACTCAATGGTTCAATTGATTTTGATAAACTATATCGTGAATTAAAAGCCGTGGATCGTAATCAAACTGGTGTTTTAAATCGGCAACAAATAGAAGAAGTTGTTTATAAAGTTCGCATACCATTACAACGCTCATTGCTATTTCAAATACTCGAAAAACATTGCCGAGCTTACTTAAGATTATATAAGTAAATTAAATTTATTTATGAAAACTTGTATTTTCTATTTAAAAACTATACAAATAGATGGGAAGCATTCTTTCAATATTTAAAAGAACAAATTCTTGACACTGGAGATAGTCAAGATCAATTGAATCAAATTTCAACGCAAGTAATATTCAAAAAAGAACTACTTTCTATATAATATATGAAAAGTTTTCTTCTAGAATTCTCCAACTCGTAATCAATGGCTTGATCTAATTCGAAAGGAATATAAGGAAACTGATCGTCTGCGAGTTGTTGAACGATTTATTGCAAATACCGAAGGATCGCGATTAGTAAATAATCAATAGTTTGACTGAAAAAAAGAATGCGAAATTATTATCTGTTGTAGGAAAGCCATCATCCAACAGCATGGTTTGCGCGCTTTCTACGTCTTGCTAATGCTATGTATACTCATCGAGCTAGTACAAATAGAGATCGTATGTGTAATAGAGAATGATCGTTAAACAAAAAATTTTTATTTTACTTTTTTAAGATGATTTTCAATTGCCTCGAGACGAAGCTCGTCGACTATTTCGTGCCTATAATCAAGTATGGGATTTAAAAATTGACGATGATAAAATACAAATCGTACTTAATGCGTGTGCTCGTGGTGGAAATACTGCTGTAGACGATGCACTTAAACTACTTGCCAAATGAGCGATTTATTTTATTACATGTCTAGAAGATTTTTTTCGAAGAATTTGAAGTTTCTTTCTTTTTTTTGTTCTGTTTCAATTAAATATTCAGTTTTTGAATTATCGATGTTATATAATTATGATTAAATAAAATATAAATGTTCCTAAAAAAAAGAATGTTAATAATGATTATGTAAATTATTTTTAAACTGTTTATGGTCACCTTAAGAAATCTATTCATGCGTCGTATTATTAAAGTATCAATATAAAAGCATAGATTGATGGTGATTATTTGTAATCTTATTTGAATTTAAAAGAAGAATTTTTCATATCAATAAAATAGTTATTTTTAGTTAATCTTTTCAATGAAATGCGTCGTCTAACGATTGGTTACTTTAAAATAGAATAAAAATGTCGGATATGTTTTGAATAGTTTTTATGAGCGTTGTGATAGAAAATAACGACTTTCGCCATCAGAAAGACAAAACAAAATGATATTTTACGAATGTTTCTGTCAATTATGATTAAAATTTTCCAGTGAAATGTATGTATTACGATTGATTACTTTGATGTGGTTTCAATCTAAAGAAATTCATGACGACCATCAATCGAAGGTCCACGAAACCATGTAAAATCTAAATTTTTGATTGATTTCATTCAAAAGATAAAAGCATTTTGCTCTATGTTTCTAACAAATTATTGGCGAAAAATTCAATTTTTACTGCAGATTTTCTTAGTCAATTTTAAAAGCAAATACTAAGCAGAGATATGAGAGAAAATGTTGTTATATGTCACCTCATCTCCTGTTAATAGCAAGGATATTGGTAATTCTATATTTTGTTTCTCGGGGAAAACCTTTCCATTTCGGAGAACCATTTACATAAAAAAGAAAATGTATTTTTCTAGATAAAAAAAGCGGAATGCAACATTAATTATAAGGTGAAAAGTCCCTTCTGTATTTTTACCTTAATGTAACTAATGTATTTAATCGTCTAAACACACAAAGCATTATTTTATGGACGAAAAAAAGCGAAATTACTATGAAATATTAATAAAAGTAATATTCAATATGAAACTGAAAATTACCATCGTAGGTGGAATTCAATCAGAATACATTATGGGACTTCTCTATGTATTACGCTATTGAATAAAAAGAAAAAGAAAATATAATCTGCTAATATCTTCATGCTGATATATCCCTGCATGAAGAAAGCCATATTCTTTGATGTATTTATACTCATCCATTAGCAATATTGATCTATTCTTGACGTAATGATAATTGTATTTCTTCAATGTTCCTCATATATCTATATATCTGCGGAGATGATGATACATATCTTCGTTAGATATTCATTTTTGTTCTACGTGAAATGAAATTGCGGTCAAATGTTTTACCCGTTGGTCAATATTCAAACAAAGACAAAGATGGAACATAATGTTTGTTGGTAATTTACTATGATTTATTCATAATGCATGTAGAGTGGGCCATTTTTATTGATGTACCATTCAGTTTTTTCTTTTTCGTTCACTTTTTTTTCTCATCTAAACTTAAGAGTAGAATGATGCCGTCGCATTCTGATTACATGCCTTCCAGTGTGTATATAGTTGGAATGGAGAGGGCTTCTTTATGTCTATATGTAGACAAATGTTTGTACATATGCATGGTGAGTGATTACATTTTAGACTACCATCAAGAGAAACAAGAGCGTATTTAATAGTACGAGAAGAAAACATTTTTGTCGTTGTTGTCAAAGCAGACACTGTTAAATGGCCTTGCAAATACAATTAGAATAGCACGTAACGCTTTTCTCTTTCTTTTTTTCCTTCTTTTTGTATTATTATTATCATCAACACATACCGAGTAATACAAGGGTCAGACAAATATAATTATTCGTTTGCATTTTTTCTATCTGTCAATAAAGTTATACGTTATGCAGTATACGCGTTTCGATTAGAAACCATTTTTACCCTTCACCGATCACAACAGAATCGATAATAGTAACAACAACAACAACAACAATAATTATTTTGAAATGTAAAAAGTTTTCTTTATATATACGTATGTAAATAAGTAAACGATGAAAATTTCGTTGCATTTGTAAGAAAGAAAACGACGATTATAACTCGACATTTATAATGATTTTATCGAGCTAATATAAAGTTTATCTCTACATATGTAAATGGACACGTATGTATTTTTAAATCAACTTTTAACCTTCGATGCCGAACATTATTATGAAACAGCGAATATGCGAACGTGTGAACGTGCGAAAGAGTCATGTTCCATTGCGCTCAAGTGCCAGCATACTCTCGAGAACGTATACATACGTAAATATTTGAAACGTCTCTTTTTCCTTTCTCTCATTCGTTCTCTTATCTCTTTGGAGGAGGGTTGATCTGTGAGACAGGTTGCTATCACAAAAAAACACGCAGAAATGAATGAAAAGAACAGAAAGTAAGTCTTGTCAGCAAAAGTCAGATTATTTTGTGTTTGCATTTCATAGTCCCTTCCGCTTTTTCTGTCATTATCGAGCTTGATTGCACACACATTTTATATATATGTTGTCATCGTGCTCTTTTTTCCTATATTTTATCTTACACTCGTGTGTTTACTATACTTTTTCCTCTTCTTTATTTCTTAGAAGAAACAGACCAAGACAACGTAAATGAAAAAAGAGAAAGAAAGGAACTAAGTTGACAGCCAAAGGGCTACTTGTCGAACGTGTTTTTCATTCCATATTATTACTTTTTCTAGCACTCTTTATTTGTCCAACAAGCTGTAACTACTGCTGAATTAGGCGACGTCAAAAACAATCGGTTCGTTTAAGTAAGGAAAAACCAATCGATTCTTATTCAATTTCATCATTTTGTTTCAGATAACTGATGATATCAAATATTGTATTCTTCTTTTCATGGTTGTTTAACAATACTGATGAAATTCATAAGGCATAGCCTTGTCGTTATATTGTCAAGTAGATGCGTGCAATATCGAAGTCAGCATACATATACATATTCTATAGTTCTGCTACCTTGTCTTTCCACCTGAGTTTTTACCACATTACACGAATAGTAGAGTGCGTGTACAAATATTTGACAGCGTAACATAAAAAAAAAGAAGAAATGATTCAAAGCAATAGGATGTTGCAATTTTTATCGATAGAAAAAAAAAACGTAGAACTGAAAAAGAGAATTGATTGAAGGTGAAAGAGTCATAAATATAGACATGTACATTTTTACTGGAGTAAGCATATATAGGCATGCACATTCTTCAACAGTTTTAGTATAGTGAAAATGAATGATAAATGGTAGCATTTTATTATCACAAGGTTAGTTTTGTTCCAATACGACTTTTGTTGACTAATGATAGTCAGGAAAATAACTTTCTCTTGTGTCTTTGTTACGATCAGATATTAGAGTAGAACTCAGACATTCATCAATCATTCAGTTCTATTATGTTCTACATATAATAGATTGGAAGTGATTGGAAAGCTAATCAATACGATTTTTGTATTCTAGATGTGAGTCTTCTCTTTAGTATATATATATATATATATATATGCATAATAAACACATTATGGATCATTTCGATTACGAGAACGCAGCATCTGTTAAACGTCTTAATTCATTAGAAGGAATACAATTTGATGGACGAGCATATGCACTCTACGGTATGAAACAGATCAATTGACTTAGTTTTTTTGTTATCATGCTCATATTATGTCTTGTTTTTAGATCCTAATTTTAAAATCAATAATATACTTACCATAAATTTTCAAATACAAACATTTGCTCATGATGGTTTAATTTTATGGATTGGTGATTCTCAACCTGAATCAAGTTTTACAGTTGAAATTCAAAATCGACAGGTAAAGCCTTTTCTAAATAATCATTAATAGGCAAAATTTGATATTTATTGACATATATTTCACACAAATACATATCATTAAAAATCTATAACACACATTCATACAATGACATAACACTTTTTCATATGCATCGTCATGTTTTCATTTTTGAATGCAACAATACGATATTTTTGAAATAGTTAACTAATCAATATCTCTTGAGAAATTCCATCGATTCTAATACCCTAAAGGCTTTTAACACATAAATTGAGTATGCTAGTTTTACTACTAGGAAATTAAAACGGTTATCAAAATTGACTAAGTCGCCTATCATCTCGTAATCGAAATAGGTGATATATAATATTATTTTATTTTATTTTAGCTTATTGCTCGAGCTGTTGTTGATGGTCAACCATTTAGTGTTCGGACAGATTTTGTAAAAAATCGTTTATGCGATGGCATTTGGCATTGCGTTCAAGTACGTCTTGATGGTAGTCTGTTGACAATGAAAGTTGATAAACGACAATTTACAAAAACAGAACCACGTGTAAACTCAATTGATATGCGCGGGCCACTTTTCATTGCTGGCTATTCAGACAAATATTCTCCTCCCTATTTATCAGTTCGTTCGAAAACTTTCTTCTTCGGAAATTTACGAAGTTTAAGAATCAACGATCAGCAAGTGGACTGGCTTGCACCACGCAATAGTGGTTTAGCAGCTGCAACACCAGAATTTCATCGATATAGTACAACAACAACAGCGCCGGCAACAAGTAACTTTAGACCATTTATGACTTCACCAGAAAATATTAGGCGTACATTTAAAACAACAACATTTAGAGCATCATCCGTTTCAAAGAATAGAAAATTTCCTTAGACACAATTAATTACATGGCAAGAGACAAAAACAGTGATGTAGTTTAATCCGGTTTCTGTGATGTTCATTTTTTCTTCTTCTTTTTCACGTGCTAAATCATCCGAAGATATAAGAAATCATTTGTTTTCTTTTTGTATTTTGATTTTTGCGTGTTCCATATTGCTTGCCTATTCTTTATTGGTTGTTTGTCATTTAACGATCATACTCTCGAGCAAGTGCTACGTTAGTTTGTTAGAGTTTTTTTTTCTCCTTTCATGTATATAAACAAGAACAACTGGAGTAATATATTATTACTCCATGTGATCAACTTAAATATATACGCTAGCATTCTTATATTTTAATTATCGTTTATTATGTATATCTTGAAATGTCCTTAGAACTTATCAGATTTCTAGCAACCAACCAATAGCTCATAGAAAACTTTTTTCTGAATTCGACTTACGTGAACAATGTATAACATATGAAGTACAAATTCATTAGATTATACTTGCCAATCTAAATAGATTATTATGTATAAAATAATATGATGATATCTAATTAACTAAATGTGTTAGTCAGAAAGTTTGCGATCATAGACAGATTTAGGTTATTTTGTACTCATCAATTTACTACAAAATGGAATACAAGAATGTTTAGCTATGTTTAGTACTTTTTCATGTTATCGGAGTAGACTGGAAACTATTCTACTCTGATTATTGTCACCGTTACAAACGAAGAAATAATTCATGCAAACACTTTATTTAGTTAGAAAATTCAATAGATCGTTCAACTGTGTTTTAAATTTCTTGTAGATGTATTTTACGATATAGACTATTTTCATTGAACACGCTTGAAATAGAATATAGAATGCATTGCTCGATAGATATATATTGTTCAAAAAGTTGATACTATGAAAAATATACTTCAAAACTAAAAATTCCAACACTTTCGCAAAATATTGGTTACAAAATCGGTCAAAACAATACTGCGACACAGCAGTATGACTGTGTATTAGTGAACAAACAAGACTCATAAAAAAAAACTGTGTACGACTCAATATAATATGTGTACCGTCGTAAAAGATCAAATAAGCCTCGTTCAGGCCTATTATTTTTGCCATAAATCTAGCCATGCTTGACGATCATATGTACCATGTGTGTCATAAATAGCGTATTTACGACTAATATCAAATGCTTGTATACAATAACCGTATTTTTGTTGTAAATACAGAGTATTCCAATTTTATATATTTAGCATAAAGAGCTGTACGCTATTGGTTAATATTGTGTTTTGACATACTTTTTCTCTGTAAGAGTAGGACTGACATTTTACTATATGCCCTTGACCCGTAAATAGCATTAGAAATCCACGCATACATTTCTATTGGAAATATTTTCAGTAACTGAGTATTTTAAACTGTAGTTCTATCTAGGTATATATTTCTTCAGCAAAATGCGCAGCTTTAATTACTCAACCATTCATTGATTCCGATTTAAATAAAGAGAAATATTTGTGTGATGAAAGAATGATAATAAGAACAGTGAGGTCAATGTCTACTACCGCATGATAGTGAGAGGGATCTAATGCATAAGTTCAGCTATTTTTCCTGAATATCATAAATGTAAAATTTCCATTGTTTCATAATACTCTTTTGTAAACATTTTATTTGTAAAAACTATCAGCTCACACAACTCTGTCATTCAACACTATTCCTTTTCTCTTATGAAAATAAAGACAAAAGTAACAGTCAATTATTACTATTATTTATTTTCGCAAAACTTAGCATAAATATAATATACCATTTATGCACGAGTTTCACATCAATTGAGTACAGAAATCAGAGAAGAATGAAGAGACCAATATTCACAAATGGCGTATAAGTAGTCGATGAAATGTAGCAGTACTGGATTTAAGTAAGTAAATGATGAGCCTTCGTAAAAAAATATGCAATTAGCATACAAGATACATACAGATATAGTCCCTTGTTGCAACGATAGAAAGACGTTGAAGGTTGATGACATGAAATATAACAATTTAACAGTTGATTAAAACCATAATAGGTGTTCATTCACGCAGACTGAAATATCGACGGTGGTGCATAAGAAGTATCCAGGTCGAGGTTTATGGAGACCATATACGATCGTATATCACCGTGTCGTATACGGAAAAATACGACCATATATGGTAAAACACGGGGCAATACGGAGATCGTATACGGGCTCAATGTGCAGGAATCGTAAACGATCGTTTTTTGTTTCCGTATATGGTCGTATTTCGCCGTATTTTTCCGTATACGGCCGTAAACGACCGTGTCTGTTCGGCCTGGGTAGCTGATTTTTTTATGATAAATGATTACGCCGTGAAGCTTGCAAGAATTATATATTAGATTTAATCCAAGTTCAGCAAATTCGTTTCGAATGTAATGATCCTTTTTAATTTTTGTCCATTATGAAGGTAGTGCATCGTTAAGAAAAAATTTTCTTATTTTTTGTTAATGTAATTTATACTGTATGGATAAGCAACAGCTCTCGTGTAATTGGCAAGATGGTTTATTCGCTGAAAGTTTGTTTTCTTAATTTGTTCGTGTGATAACTATTGCGCTAGATATCTTGTGTTTCAAGTTAAGCTGTCTCTTTTGATTAATTTCGTATAGAACTTCGAGAGATATTAGGCTCTCCGAATATGATTGTTCGAGAACAAATTTTCTTTCTTTTAGCTGAACATGGAATAAATGACACGCAGAATGTTGAATCACCAAAAACATTTTTCATATAAAATGACTTGAAAAAATAGATTGAAATAATGAAAAGGTTACTTCTGTGCGATTATATACATCTACTTAATATGCAGAAAACGTTTTCGTATTCCAATTTACTGAAGAGAATTATTTAATGAAGTTAGTATACATTTGCAAATAAATGGTTGAGCTCTCATAAACTATATGATGCATATGTTCAACAACAAATGGCCGAACACTCTAAATTTTACTCTCAAGATTAAAATTCATCCTACATGGACTGAATCAATAATGTTACAGAGCTTCGCGAAAAACCTAGCGTAGACTTTGTTCACAACAAGATTTCGAAAGTTTGAAATCAGTAAGATCAAGAAAAAAGTTTACTTTACATTTTTACGACAAAATGTTGTCTCATCTCTTCTAAAATGACGAAGGTAATAAATTTGAAAAGCCTCACGTTTCATCCTGCCTGTCTCTATAGATAATCTTGTCTAAACCATATGGCTACGAATTCTATTTTATTTTATTTCCATACAAAAAATAGAGACCGACCACGGAGACAGTTGATCTAACGTAAGAAGCATTGCTATTAAAAAGTGAATCAATGAACTAATCAATATATTAATAAGTTGAAAATGTAGGAAGAGAAAATGTTAAAGAGCTATTCTTATTTCTCTTAGTTTCATGAAACAAATTTATGAAATAAGAAAGAGACCGAAGTAATCTGAATCTGAATCATATTACAACTATATAGTCTTAATTTTTATTAAAAAACAAATTCAATGGTACCTGTGATAAGTTTAGCGTGTTTACATTTTCAATGAATTGTTGTAGAAATGGTTCAATATCACTTTTGAAACCCTTCAGTTTGTACGATGATGTTTTATCATATAAATTGAAGTTCATATTTGTTGATTGAATTTTTGATGCACGATCTAGAACCATAAAGTTCATACAGTTTCTGCTTTTTTAATTTCGTGCAAACCTTCTGGATGGATTATGCATCAGTATGTAACAGATAGATAAATAAAACATTCTCTTCTTGGTATTTCCTTTGAGCAGAGTTACAATGCACTTTTAAAATCAGATAAACTTCATAAAATCGTTCACTTGATCATTAACATTCCCTATGAATAATCGTGTCAGTGAGTTGGCTGTGGATTCTTAATTTTGACGTTTTCCAACAAGATGAAACTACTTTTGTGTCTCATACTGATATGTTCGTAGTAGCAAGATATACCACTTATTAGTGTACTTTATTTCGATTTTCGATGAGCGATGGAATCCCAACATGTTAATGTATGATATAGCTGTTACTTCGTTGCAAATCAATCTACTTTACGAGCTCTTGTATTATTTTTAAATAAGTGCTGTTGTGAATATCTGTACACCTATCGCATATAACGCAGAATGATTTTCTTTTCGTATACGTTTAAAACGTATAGATCAATGGTGGTGTAATCTTCAAAAATACCAGTAGCAAATATAAGCACCACATCAATTCCGATCAAATACAAACGATGACTATCAAATAGATATATACTTACAGAATGAATGATTGAACTGGAACTATAAATCCGTGATCTCTGTATTTTTTCACAAAAACTGTTTGCTTTGCAGAGGGAACATTTGTTAAACGTATACTCATCTACTAATGTAATTCTATAGGTCATATACCGATACACTCATCTAAACGAGAAAGAGCATATAAGGAAATGAACATAGCATGGTTTACATGGCGCTCACACCTTATGAAACGATTGAAATCAATAAAAAAGTAACTGTTTAGTAGGAAGTTTGATATCGAAAGAACTGTAAAAAATCTGGTAATGTCAGTTAATTGTCTGGAACTATGTAATGTTGTAGATATATATATACTCGTGTAAACGGTGATGAAATATTTTCTGATATTAATTGGTGTTATCTCCAGTGTTTAATACGAATAAATCTCAATTACAATTCCAGCGAATTTTTATTCTCTTTTCAGCTGTTTTGGCAAATTTTATTCACATGTATATGTACACGTGTAGGTTATATAACATGTTATAATAGAGAGAATATAAGAGAATCTATTACGGGATAGCCTCCTTTTTCAATAATATCGATATCGTACTAATTAGTGGAACACGTGAAATAAGAAACAAACGACGGAAGAATTATCGTAGACAACATGAATGATACGCATATTTACATTAGATACAAAGAACTATATGTATATATCGCTTCTTTTTTTCTTTCGTGCATGTTTATCCGATTCATCTATTTACCTGAATAATATAACGTGTTGAACGACGACTCGTGCAATTTTATGATGGGTTACAGCGAAGTACGATGGGAATAGGTATAGTATCAGTTTCTGCGATCGCTTATGACGCCGCTTCTGCCAGTTTAAATGATTGATCTGCATATTAAATACTGAGTTAAAACATCGATAGTAGCACCTCTAATCGATTATATGTATATTTTGATTTGAGTTTTTGGCTGTAACTTATTTCCTTGTATGTGTTTATATAAATTTTCATCATAGTATATTTCATTCTTTCATTACAATCTATACAGATATAGATATGCGTGAATGTGTCATTATTGTCTTTCCTTTTCTAATAAAATAGAAGTGCTAGAAGTTAGATGATATTAAAAAGGTTTCAGAAATAAAAACCGATAGGAACTTTGCAAAACCGGTAACTGAGCCCGATCATCAGATTCCTGCACACCCAGTTGGAAGTTTATGGAATCCGGTGACTGAAAACATTGGCCTGGGAAGTCTCTTGTAAAAATTAAAACTGTATACTGACGTGTATGACATATATCATGATATGAGTCTAATAGTTTTACGGTTCGTTCATATTAATATAATATGACTAGGTCGTAAAATAATTATTATGTTTGTCTTTATCCTAATCTATTTATGGTTCATGAGTATAAGGCTTATAAACTATAACTTCTTTGGCGAAATAAGATCGATGCGTGTCTCATGAAATATTTGGTATATCGTGATATAATAGCTAAATGATGTCAGAGATGATCATCAATTCGTGCTAAGATATCCGATATCATTGAAAATCCGATGAAAACTACGTGTTGAATAAGAGATACAAAAAACTGTATTCAATATCGCAAAATCAATTAAAAAATAACACTATTGATATAAAGAGTCTATTTTGCGACAGAAAAAGATTTCATAAGCATTCAGTGAGTAGATCACATCAATTATCATTCACTTGAAATGCATAGCTATAGACATCAGTTGCTAATGATCGCTTTTTACTCTTTTGATTTGTATGATACTATACAAGAGTAGCACAATTACCAGATAGATTTTCTCATTCATCAAACTTTTGTAACTATTTTTAGGCAAATAAAGGAGAAATATTGTTTAATTACGCTCGTTGCCGGTTGTAGAGTAAATTTCATCAGGAAAATAAAACTATGTCATAAATGATCATTTATACAGTCATTATATAAGGTCATTATTTACAAAAGTTTAACAGGAGAAGAAAATTCAAACTTATGCACAAATATAACTCGACGGTTTGTTTATTAAAATAAATTAACATTAATAGTATTTCTTAAGATTTTCTGTTGAAATCGAAAAATTGTGAAGTTAAAAACTTTTTATATAGTATAAAAAAATATTGTTTATCGAATAATTCTTGTTCTCCTTTGTAACATGAAACAAAAGTAGAATCTTTACATCAGGCAAAACATCTGCAAAGTAAAAGTTTTAATCAAATGTAAAGAGTCAGCAAGAAAAAAATCAATTTACATATTAGTGATGAGTAGTTTCATCGGCAAGCACACCTAATAACACATGCCTCAACGAAAAATCGTTTGATCAGTTTCAATAGCTTTTAGCAATTCTGAGTGCTAGTGTTTTTATTCATACAGGTAATTTACCGGCATCAAATTCTGCGATACATCGACTGCATGTAAAAAGAGCTTCTTCTTCTTCTTCTTCTTCTTCTTCAAGTCAACGAAATGGTGAGAGAAGTTCGGTGATATAAGATAAGCAGCAAAAAATCCACTAAACGATCAAAATCATTGATTTGAGAAATCATACTCAAATGAATTTTACTCGAGAAAGAAACAGTTCGAGTCAAAAGAATCAATGAACGAAAAATTCAACCAAACTGTCATAATTCTAGAAATGTTAATAAATGCATAAGTTCAACAGTCTGCTTCAAATAAAAAACTTGAAATAAATCAACATGAAAAGAAGATTAAGCTAGGAAATTTTTTCATATGATTACTTATTCCAGTAGCCATACCAGATGGTACACTCACAATCGCCTCTAAGAATACGATACGTCTCATCTATTGCTTTTCTTGGTCAATATTCGTTTTTGATTCAGGAGATTTATACGCATAAACAATCAAACTATCCAAAAAGCATCATAGTGCACGTCATTTTAACAGTATTGATTTCTTCTTTCAAATAAATTTCATGTCACAAAGAATATTTTTTCACGACTACTTTATCAAGTATTTTGTTAGCAACAAAATCGAAATAGCAATCTAGTTTGATTTACTCTGTTCATAAGTTTTATCAAAAAAAACTTCATAGATAAAATAGATAGAAGATCTAGTGATGAGCTGTTCATCTGTATACACACCTACTTCCTTCGTATACAATTTAGGTTTAATGCGCATTTGCAACAATGCTGCTGCATAGAATTCATCTTTTCAATAATGAAATAATAAAATTGAAAAGGTGGTTGATTATCTAATCTATATGAATGTATTTTTAATTATTCCCAGCACTAATTAATGCTAATGTAAAACTCTACAATGTGTAGTCTCTCCAAATTGAATCAAAATCAATAGAGATTTCGAGTTCATTCGAAAAACAACAACTTTTATTTTATTCTAAATCATGTTTAAATGCAACACTCGTTAGTAAATACTTTATTTAACATAGAATTAGTTAATTGCACACACGTACACACAGGACACAGCAAATATCAGATTATTTCATGGCAATCTTTCTTTTGACATAGCGAGCTTTCACTTGTTCTACACATTTGTGTGCAAGAAAAAGCATACTTGAAGTAAGTAAATAAAAAATTACAGAATAAATGATTTTTTCATCTGGCATTTTAGTTTTAAACCAATTCGAAGCCAGTCCAAGAACTATTACGAAACAAGACATAGTAAACAGAAGTACACCTGATGTTGCATGATAAATACGAAGTTTTGCATGAGTTAATCCTAACGAACGAATATATCGTTGAAGAATAGTCAGAAGAAGACCACCAGTCGATTGTAATAATGACCAAATAAACACAGTGAATCCGATCAAGCCGTGCCTATAATAAACAAATAATTAAAAACGTCATTCACTAAATATTAATTTTATTTACCAGCTAGTAAAATGTGATTTGTTGCCTTGTTCTTTCCTAAGATAGATTGCTGTAAAAGCAATAATTGAACAAATGATAGAACCAACTTGAAATAGTGAATGAATGAGAATTTGTTTTCGTTTCGTTATTGGTGCCGATCGAGATGTATTATCCACTGAAAATATATTTATTGCTTGGAACATAAAGCCAAGATACTAAAATAGACTAGCTTTATGGATCTATTTTGACTATTTATCGATGCATTAACTTACACTAACAGCCATAAGGGATGGATGGAATTTAAAAATACCATCTTCCCGTATAGATAATATAGCAAATAGTAATACAAGTGATATCGAAACAATAGTAGCTACTGTTCTCATTCTAAATATATAATCAATCAACGTTTTTATGATTAGAAAAACTTTTGCATAAATAGATATATGGAATGCTATCAAACTTATATATATATATATATATATTAAAAGCAATAATAAAAAACCACGTTGAATCAACCTTTATATAGTCATTTCGTACGCGAAAAAAATGAAGGGATAAGTTTGCCTTTAAGATTGATATACATTGTTTTTCCAAAAGAAGCAAACAAGAAAAAAGCACAAAAAAAGACATTCGTTCGTACTACATTGTAAATAAGAAGTGAACAATCAGTTGAATTTTTTCAAGAATTCTTCAGCGCACATTCGTGCACGTGAACTAACAGCCAATTTCATTTCACTAATTTCTTTATCGATTTCTTCCAAAAAATAAATTATAAAATCAACCAAACGATGTTTATACATAGTTTCAGCATGGAAATTTGTAATTAAAAAGCTAATATCATATTCCTAGATAAAAAAAAACATATCAATAGATTAATTGAAAACAAACAAGCAAATATGAATTTCACATACAGGAATAGGTTTTCGACGAAGTATATGGAAGTCATCAGCACGTTGCATCATAAAGCGCATTAATCGTTTGCATAAAATTTTCTCGAGATCATCTGCCTGTAAAATAAAATTTAAAATTTATATTTTTATCAAAAAATTACTCTACTTGTTTAACACCAATACTGATTCGAACAGAGTTAACTGAACCTTCAATAAGAATTCGTTCATTTTGATTACGACTTATCGTGACTGGATTAAGTAACAATTGTTTCGATGATCTAAATAATTAAAAGTAGGCAGGAATTTCTTTTTTTTTTGCAGAAAAGTATAACTTACTTCACTTCAACTTCAGGTTTATTATGGCGTTCAACAACTTGGGATTCAAAGTTTTCAATACAGAATGCTGCTTGAAGTGTTGCACGAATAGCGTCGAGATATGGCTTATGAGCTGATGTCTGTATGAATCATAAAATAATATGATTGAAAAATAAAGCATATAAATAAATAGAACTTACTCTAGGAGGTACCGGTTGCGTCATTTTGGGATGCGTACAGGAGGATAATAGGTTAGATCGAGATACAAGAGAGAAAAAGCCACAAATCGATAGTTGATAAACAAATGGACAAATACGGACGATGAATAAGATACAAAAAAAAACGACGTGAAAAAATAAAATGATTCGTTCTTTAATACTGCTGTGTGAGCATTTTATCCTCCGATCTCAGCGAATAGTAGCGGCATCTGTTGAGAGATTTATTCGGGGAAGATATATGACATTCACATCAGAAATAAGAATTGAATTCGAAAGAAAGATTACTATTCAGATGAATGCATCCTTCAATTACTGATTAAATGCGAAATTACAAATATGATGCTGTTACGTGTTGCATTCTCACACAAACACTGTGTGAACTGAGGATCACATCGTACGAATATACTTTTTTTTCAACATTTCACTCTGAGCAAAAATACAGGGTGCCGTATTCTATTATAAAACTTGATTAATGTATTGAACAGAAAATATAAACTAGTTTATTTCACTATACTGTATTGATATTTGCTAAGATCTAAAGTTGTGCCTGTAGAACGCTATTTATATTGAATCATTATGTTCACCGCAATTTTCGGTTCATTACATACTAAAAAATGAATCTTAATGAATATTTTCTTTTTTGAGTGTTGACTCAATAATGAAATTAATTACAGTAAAGATAGCAATTAAAAACACAGTATGCATTTTACATGTCACAAAAGTATGAAAACAATCGATTATTTACAAAACAAAATTTAAACATATAACTGTTTCAATGTACTCATTGTTCATACTGAAATAAGAGTCTAAGGCCAAACCATATAAAAAGTACTAAGACTAATAAAAAGCGTAGAGCGCAATGTAATTTGTACAACATATATGTGGCACTTTCATCACCAAAATAGTAGGCCATTATTATTTCAGATTTCAGTAAGTCCTCGATACTTTGCGATGTAAGTTTACATCCACAGTCTGCTTCCGTTTGCCAGCACTTTTCAGGACAGTAACAGTCAGCATTTCCGTCATTTGACGAACAAACTACGCCATCAGTTGTAATAAATGCATCAATTGTGTCTATGAATCCTGATAATAGAAGTATTAAAACACACAAACGACCAAATGCGGAAAAAAAACACATCGTGAAATTATTGACTGGAAATTGAAAAATTGCATATGCTCAATGTCAACATTTTTTATTTATGCAACAAGAAATTCAACAAACGATATGAATAAATATGTCATGCTTTATTGCTCATGAGTGAGTCATTTTCTCTTCACTACAATATAAATTACCTTTGGGTGGCGAGTAATTTTTCCTATTTGTTTCAAATTTACTTATTTCTACTACACAGTTAGACTAACAGTTGGTTTAATGAAGCATCGTAGTGCTAAGTCACTCACTTTATTTTTTACGAGATAAAATTTTTTCGATCATTGTAACTCTATGTGATAGAAGAAAACAGCATAGTTTATACTTTAAGTTTACTCGGATTACATGAAAGTATTTTTTTTTATGAATTAAACTTGTTTTAAAGCACTTTGATTATAACTGAAGTCTACTGATTTTTATTCCTTGAATTTTATATTGAAACTTTCGTAGTTCCCTGCCTTGTCATAGATAACAATCGACTGATTGAGAAAAATTTAAGCAATATATTAACTAGATGGTAATCGAGTTTCACTCGTATACGAAATGCGGTGCGAAGCACGAGTCGAGTACCCGCAAAAATAAAAAATTTAACGGAAATGGAACAAGCAATCTTAAAATTAATTAGACATCGTTATGGTCTGATTAGTTTCATATTCGCTTGAAGTATACACCTTTTCCTGTCTTCAGCAGTTGTAATAAAAAACAAAAAATAATTAATGCGGTGCGAAGCACAGCATTTATGTAGTCCGTCGCGAGTTTTTTTTTAATGCGATGCGAAGCAGAAGCATTTCTGTAGTCCGTCGCGAGTTTTTAATGCGATGCGAAGCAGAAGCATTTATGTAGTCCTTCGAGGATTTTTTTTTTCTTTTACTTTCTCGACGTACGCATCACAAGTCGCCATTTTGTGTCGCGATAATCTCGAGAACCGAAAATCGTAGAAAACGCGTTGAAACGTGAGATCGAAGTATCAAGATCGAACTTGAGAAATCTTTTTTCGATTCTTTAAAGTGAATTTCCGTTCACTCAGAAATGTGGTTCGAAAATGACGAAAATGAAAGAAATTTATCAAGAGATAATTAAAGTGACGTCATGAACATATGTTAGCCACTATAGCCTGTTCATTTACAGCTGATCTAAGATAATGAATCATGGAGATAATTAATCGATCAATCGAAATCAATCTATAAGAATGTATCGCTAAGTAAGAATAGAGTTTTCTCAGTGATGAATTTCATCATGTCGACATAAAAAAGTTTTCAAGATTTCTCTGAATTGAAGATTTTTCCTGGATCGAGATTCCTGCTTCGCATCGCATTTCGTATTCGAGTGAAACTTGAATACCATCTAGTTTAGAATTGTTTAATTGTTTTTTCAGAGACATGTATACAATAGGATTAAGAGTTTGTTGTATTTTTAGGATTTATCCTCTGTCAAAAAATATGACGTTAGCGGTAAATTATTTCTGGAAAATATGAGCTATCAGAATCAAACAACCCAGGTCGAACAGTACGGTCCGTATACGGTTACTTTACGACTATTTTCCGGGCGAAAGTTTGCCGTAATATCTGGCGCAGTAATACGGACCGTATGATCATGAGAGTACGGAGCACAAACAGTCGTAAACCATGAAAATTCAGTCCCGTTTACAGTACCGTATTACTGTACCAGGTATTACGGGCAAATACGGTCTATTTACTGCCGTAAATACACCGTTTGGACATCATTTACCGTTGATAAACACATTGTAAACGAGTCCGTTTTGATCAACCTGGGAAGTGTCAATGACTTTTTCCAAATTTCATAAGTAAATATGTAGTAGTTATTTTTAAGAGTTTTTTTTCCAAATTTATAAATATATAACAAAATGAAAGTCAGAGGATATCATGGAGATATTTGAAAAATAAAAATTTAAACTATTTGAGCGTCTAGTTATGTCAATTTTTTTCTTTTCTGTTACAGAAGTCTATAGATATAATATCTGCTCTTGGCAGATAAAGAATTTAATGTTTTTTGTTTGTTTTTGTTTTTGTTTTTCAAAATTGTGTGCACCGTGTGCTTTTTATTCTAGTCATAGAGTCTCACACATGTTGCTTTCTTCATTTTTATCGCAATGCAGTCGATCTTTTTCTTCGTGCTTTAGAGCTATTACGATTCTTAACCGAGTCACACAGGTGATGAAACAGATGATGTTTTGATGCATAAAAACCACACATTTTCACTGATTAAAAGAATTTTTCTCTAGAAAAATGGAGTTGTTAACATTAACAGTAAAGTCGCGTGAAACAATTTTTTGTCAAAAACAAACCTGCTTTTAACGTGCCCAAATGTGTGTTTTGCATGCGTAAAAACGTCATCTGTTTCGTTAAACCCCTCCCCGTAATAGAAGCCCCCTCCAGAAGTATTAACGTGCAAGATATATTACAAGCCCTTGTGACGACAGCAACGTCACTGATCTTGTCTTGATGTTTGCTATATCATGTATGTTTATTTCTCCGCTGTGTTGTTCTCTCTTGTTGCTCATTGTCGCGCTTGTTATTTTCAACTTTGGCACCTTTTTCGTTTTTAGACAATGAGCAACAAGAGAGAACAACACAGAGGAGAAATAAACATACATGATATAACAAACATCAAGACAAGATCAGTGACGTTACTGTCATCACAGCCCCCTCATTTTATAAATTTTTCGAAAAATTAATTTTTTAATTTTCATCATAAAATTTGTAAGAGTTCAGATCTTAATGTGATGATATGCTTTATTTTCTTGTTTATTACCCAAGAATCTCACCATCTCCTTGAAAGTCATTGGTGCGGCTCTTAAAAATCCTGAAAATATCAAAGGACTTTTAAAACTTTTTCATCTAATAATAATGATTTAACAGGTGCATATCACATTGTGGGTTAGATTTTATAAAAAGAAAGAGATATTAATCTTTTAAAATTTTTTATTTTATTCTATTTTATATCGAGGTTCTATGGTATTACTTTTTATTACTGAGATTGTTACAGCAATCGATAATTTTACATAAGACACAATCAGAACAGAAGCCTTGTACATACTAGACGAAAATTATTTGAATTACGCAACGTGAGTAGCGCATTAACAATTACGTCATCTCGAGAATATAATTTAATTCTTAATGCATCTATCATGTTACTTAATTCAGGTGTGTATTGTGTACCACACCAAAGAGAAGAAAGAGAGACATCTATAATGAATAGAAATTAATTATAAACACCTCTGGATAATATGAAGGACGATAAACAAATGTGTTTCGTTTTTATTTATATGGTCATATTATTGTTTCCATGTAAAATTATCTATTTTTGCAAAAATCTCATTCTCTATTTACATAAAAACATCGGTATGAAATGAAATGAAATGAAAAGAAAATTTTTGCTTCTTGTATTAAATTTGAACAATAATTTTGTCGACTGCCGTAAATTAAAATCATTATTATTATTTTTAAAGTTATTTTCCCTAAACACATAGTTTTTCATCTAAACCATCGAAAAATTTTAGGGCATAATAGAAGTCCCCTTCAAAAATTTTGGATGATGGACCATTTAGAAGCCCCCGGGAGCTTCTATTAGGGGGGGGGGGGTAATTTGTCTGAGTGAGAAGCAATTCCTTTTCTTCTAGGCAAACAACATGGCTACAGCATCAGTACTATCGAACACTGACGACTGTGAGCCTTGCGCATTCTGTTTAAGTAAATATAGTCGTACGCGGGCTTCATTCTGCCAATGTAAACATTGCTCTACACCATTATGTATCGACTGTACAAAAGAACACCATGATGAACTTTTGCAAGAAGTTACTCAGATTTCTCACCGATACAATCAATTGAAAGAACTTTTACAGACAAAACATAACATTATTGTTGATGAAACAGCAAAATCAATAGAGGATGTCAATCAATATTTTAAGACATATATCGATGAGCTAATTGAAACACAAAAGAAAATAATTTCAGATATCGAAGAAGCCAAACAAGATGCACAAGTAAAAATGCAAATTTGCTAAATTAATACGATAGTTTAACTCATTTTTAGAGTTCTATACTTAAAATCGATTCAGATTTGAGCATGGTTGGTATCGAAATTCATGGCTTGGCTAAACAAAATATTGCTCAAACGACAAAAACGACAAATCTCTTAGCAAAGCTTAAGTCTATTGAACAATCGATCAATACATATAAAGCAATCAGAACCGAGAATTTATTGAAGACGAAGCCCGAGTTCTCTATAAAATTCGATTGTGCACTGGCCATTACAGGAGCCGCTTCTTCCGACACTATTGCTAAAGAAACAAAATGTGTACCTTCCACAATATTGAAAGAATCGTTCTCTAAAACTAGCCCGTTAAGTATTCCTCAACACACTACAACTCAGCAGAATTTAGCAGATGACATGGAAGAATACGATGATCTTAGTGATTCTGACGATAACAATGATACAGAGTGTGGTTTTATAGAAACAACATACCCTATTGATCGAATGGCAAGCGACGGAGAAAATATAATGTACAGTGTTTATTACGATGATCAGCCTGATATTATTGCATATTTTGATCATCTAAACCGTGGTGATCCATACCGCGATTGGAACCAATCACGCATCGAAGATATGATATGGTGGGGCACTATTTCAAAGTTCATCTGTGCTACTGAAGATGCAATTTATACAGTGGAGTATATAAATACACGATTTAAAATTCTAGCTGTTATACGGGAAAAATGGTCATACTGTCGTGTGGCAGCAAATACTAGTTCTCTCTTTACATGGAGTAACTCTGATGAATACGACTTCAATGGTATTGAAGTCTATTCCACTGAGTTTGAGTCTATAAAAACCATTAATTTTAATAGTCCTCATATTGGAGTTTTTATAAATCAAAGTGTCAGCTTTTGCATAACGGATAATTTTATCGCGTCACTTTGCACACGTATGCGAAATGACCATAAAGTATTTCAAGTTACTGTGTGTGATTTAGAAATGAGTAAATTATATTCACTTCCTCTGGGAAGATGTAGTGACAATGTCGAAATTCGTACCGATGGAGAAGATCAATTCTTCATTACAACAGGACATCGCAAATTTTATATACTCCATTATGATGGTGAAAAGCAAACCGTTAATCTGAAAAATGATGGTGAATGCATTGCTGTACTTCATAATCGACGCATTGCTGTTAGCAGAAATCGTGGTGTCATGAAAATCATAAATTATTAAAAAACCTTGGATACTTGCCGCCAAATCACACGGAATAAAAACATTTTGTCGTTGTTGTTTCAGTATGACGGGCCTAGCTATTTAGTTAAAAAATTCATATCTCTCATATTAAAAAAGCCTGGTGCTAAAATGTGATTGTTTTGACTTTTACTATTTTGATTTGACTATTGCACCTATTATTTATTAATTAACTTCTCTATAAAAAAAATGAAGAGACAATTTTAAGCGAAAAGTGATCGAATCGAATATACCGCTTTACTTATTATGCAGAATTTTTATAATAGACTTATTAAAATAAATAATTGAAAAAATTGAAAAACAACTTTGAAAATAAGTCATATTTAACAGAAACAATTTGCAAGATTGTCTATGATACAGTATCTTGAATGACAATGAGAAAAATAAATTCTTTTGTATTTTTTGCAATTCGAGTACGAATCCGATGTTGTTCATTGATGCGAGCATCTATAACCAACAATCGATAATGCGAATTATTCTTTCTTCGCTCAATAGAAATCGCCATTATTAATATTATTTTTATTCTCTATTGATCCTTGATCACAATAAAACAAAAGAACAGCAAACATCACGCTCATAATTACGTATTTCATTCAATACTGACATTGATCGCCTTGGATAGTTTCTAAAAAATTAGTAAATCATCAATTTTAGAAAACTATTTTAAAAGCGACTAATATTTATATGCATTCTTATTTTATGAGCTTATTCTATGTAACGTAATCTTTTTTTTTCTCATAAATATTTACTGATAACATATCAATCGATTATAAATTATTAGTGAATTAACTACGCTAATGTCGACAATATATATATATTTTTTTTTTCATCAACTTTTTATTCGCCAATAATTTTCATTCATCTTTTTTTTACTTGTATTAACAACAATTGTTTAAAAAACATATTCTAAAATTAAGAAATAGAAAAGTATAAAGACACGCGCTTAGTTGTACATGAAATCAATTCATTCATAATAATCGCTTTATAGAACAAGCGTTGCAACCCGATCTTTTTTTTCTCCATTTGTTGATAAGAATTCTTTTCTTCTTTACAACTTATGAATTCATAGAGTAGTGTACTCTTTTTCATTACCTGACACATGAAGAATAGATGTGGTACGATAAAAGAATAAAAGAAATTGAGTGATTTTGTTGTTTGAATTCTGACGTTTATTCCGAAAGAAAAAAAAAATCCTTCAAAATTTCATCGGCAGCAACTCCGAGAAAATTTCTTTTAGTCATTTAAACTCCTCTGGCGTCGGATTTCATAGCTGAATGCAAACTCTTGTTGATATATTAACATTGCCTTTACCTATGTTATTGATCGTGATGATTATCGTTCTCTAGTTTTTTGTCAATACATATCGAACCTCAAAAGAGAAAGAAAGCTAATCATAGAATAATTACTTGGATGTGTAAAAACTATTTCGATTATATAAATACAATGTGTCCAATGCAATATGTTGATGATTAATTAAACGCAATCGTTGCGAGGAATTTTGTTCAGGTAATAAAAATATTTATTGTATTCGAAAACTGCTTATATATACATATTTAATCGACTTTTTCTTCATAATCAGTAAAAAATATTCATCATGACTGCTGAGAACATTGTAGTAATGAAATTCGATCAATAAATCCTTATAATCATAGTAACTAAAGACACATAAAAAGAGAAAAAAAAATGTATTAGAGGAGAAATTTTGCATTATGGTTGGTATATTTTTATAAAAAAGAAAGAAAAAAGAAAAACATCTAGTGTTGACTTGAAGCATACACGAAACGCTCATTCTTCTTTAGCTGTCTATTCAGTGAATATTTATACTCGAGAGGGGTCAAAATGTACTGATAGGACTACTCAAGCGTGCCTCATTTTCGTTCTCTTCTGTTTTATAGTTGTCTCCGTGTTACCGTATCATACTCTCATCACCCAATAGCTCTATTTTTCAAAAAAAAGAAATGAAACATCAAATCATGCGTTTGGATGCGGGTGGTAATTTTATGTTTTCTGCTCACATGTCAAACGAGCAGACTGTCATTTATTAGAATCTCAAAATAACTTCATTTTAATTGCTTAATATAACACGTTTAACAATATTTTATTCGAAAAAAATAACCTGTTTTGACCGCATAAATAAATAATTGGAATACTGATTAAACATATTTTAATAGATACTTACTTGAACATTCATCACAGTGAATAAAAAGAATTATTAAAAGTAAATTTTAACAAGTGAAAGCAGTTGTGGTCAAATTATTCCTGGATTGGCTAATTTAATATGACAAGACTTCGGTCTACTCGTCGAATGTTATCGGTAATATTTGTAACTACCTTTATATTAATTCTTTATTTCTTATTCCGAAAAAAACCATTCGAATTTTCACCGGTAGAAAATGCTTATTATTATCCATCCAGCCATGACCGTTTCCAATCTAGAAATATTCCCATCTCAACACAAATCAAAGTGATACCTATTCCACAATTTATCAGTACACAAGATGCAGTATTAAAAATATCGAATGATTTTCAAATTATATCAAAACAAAACTCTGTTAGAGATCTTGAATTAGCTATTCGTCGTTATTCAAATTATATTTCATCACTTACAGGACTATCAATAGAGAATAGTCAAAAATACTCCAGTTCGGAGAATAAACTTATTATCGACTGTTTATTGAAAGATGCCGATGAATATAGTTATCCAAAAATTGATGAAGACGAATCTTATGTGCTTAATGTAACTAGAACAGGTACATATTTAGGTGCATTAACATTGACAGGTATTCTTCGAGGTTTATCAACATTCGTACAGTTGATTGAATGCAGCAGCTCATCAAACATATCTTATATTCCAATAGTAAATATCACTGATCGACCTCGATTTCCATGGAGAGGTTTAATGCTTGATGTATCGCGTCATTGGATGCCGGCATCAGTCATTGAACGAACATTAAATGCAATGGAATTAAGTAAACTTAATGTTCTTCATTTGCATCTATCGGATGATCAAGGCTTTCGTGTTGAAAGTATTCAATATAAATTATTACACGATGAAAAAGATTTTTTTACACAAAAAGATATTAGATATCTTGTTGAATATGCTAGACAACGACGTATACGTATTGTGCCTGAATTTGATATACCTGGCCATACAACAAGGTAATTAATAACCGATTAATCTTTTCTTTCAAATCAGAAAAAGAAAGAATTTTTTTTGAAATTCTAATTCGAACAAAAAAAAATAGAAATTAGAAACATTTAATATTTGCTATATTTTAGTTGGTTTGTTGGTTATCCAGAATTAGCTACTGACCCTGGACCATATCAAATTTCAACTAATTGGGGTGTTCTAAAATCTACAATGGATCCAACTAAAGAGACTACATATAAATTTCTAGATGTATTTTTTGAAGAAATGACAAAACTATTTCCTGACCTATATTTTCATATTGGCGGAGATGAAGTCGAAGGTACTCACTGGGCACAATCACCAACAATACAAAAATTTATTTTCGACAATAAACTAAGAAATAAAAATGGTTTACAAGCATATTTTAATAAACGTGTACAAGCCATGCTAAAAAAATATGGAAAAATAATGATAGGTTGGGAAGAAATTCTTGACGAAATCGATGAAAATTTAATAATCAATAGTGATGCTGTTATTCAATCATGGAAAAGTCGACAGGCAACGGTGAACGCTGTAAAAAGAGGTTTCAGAAGTATACTTTCTAATGGTTATTATCTCGATCAATTGTCACCATCCATGAATCATTACACAGTTGATCCAATTCAAAAACATGAAGCATTGTTACTCAATAGAGAACAGCAACAACGAATTTTAGGCGGAGAAGCTTGCATGTGGAGTGAATTTGCTTCACAATACACTGTTGATTCTCGGATTTGGCCTCGGGTATCTGCGATTGCTGAACGTTTATGGTCTTCACCTTTAATTATTAATCAAAATTTTCTCTACGAACGTCTCTTTCGCATGAGTCACTTACTTGAACAAATGAAAACAGGTGTTACACATCTGTCATCATATATGAATAAATTAGAAAATTTACTTCTCGGCCAAACTAACAAAACAGCTCTTCTACATCCATTCGTAATTTTAGCTGACGCATCTGAACCACTCGGTCATGGTGAACGTTCTCAACTTACTAGATATACATCAAGCGTTCCATTAACGACATTTGCTGATGCTTTACATTCTGAAAGTGAATCCATATGGAAATTAGAAAATCTTCAAATTAACGATAAAAGACTTCATGATATATTTCAAACTTGGTCTCTTAATCATCTCCGTTTAAGTACATTATTTAATAGTATAAAAAAATATCAATATGACAACATATGGGGACAAAATATTGAAAGACTATCAGAAAATCTTGCTCATGTTGGTCGCATTGGTTTGAGAGTTTTCAATTATAATTCACAAAAAGTATTACATCACGATAAAAATAATACTATGAATTCATGGACATTACCACATTGGATATCGCATCATAGCATACTATTAGAACAATTAGAAAACGGTGTCAAAGAAGTACGATTAGCTGCAGTACGACCAGTTCGACGTTTACTTCACTCTATTCAATCAACGAATCAGTTACGGGTACAAGAGGCGACCAGAGATATTCTAGTTCCCTCAGCGAATTTTTGAAGTCTCCTGGTGAGATTTTTCGAAGATGCATCTTTTCCACACAAAGCCTTTCAGTTATCCGTAGTGTGAAATGTTATTTCTACGACTACAACGCCCTCAAGATTTTTGTATTGTTTTTACTATTAATATAATTGATAAAATAGATACTAATTATTAAAATAAAATGATATTGACATTTTTCTATTCCGAATAAGTATTAATCAAGCTATTGGACGATACGATTTTTAAAAGCTTGATCCACACTACCGATGAAACAAATACTACAGGAGGAATTTTAATGATTGATGATTGAGTCGTGCTCAACCAAACAAGTTTTAAATTAAAAAAAAATGAGTAGAATGATAATCAAGTCACCAAACTGAGAATGTTTGATCGTTGAATGATATTATGAAACAATCTTTTTTAATGACGATTTATTTTCAATGTAGAATTAACCGACAATTTTCCTTTCGAGAAACATACTCAAGTATCATCTAAATGTCATTAAATGGATAGCATTGCCGTACATTTATGTATCGGAACAATTCATGGCTTGCGTCAGTTTTACTACATAGTAAAATATTCACATGTTATTTTTAAAAATGAAAAATAAATTCAAAGAATAATTGCTCCGAATACAATTTTTTCTCCTTATTTTGAGACTTTTAAATTGATTCATCATTTAATATTCATTTTATTTATTTCATTGAATAATTGATTGTAGATGTTCAGTGAATTCATTTAATTTCAACATACTTTCACTGGGCTGAGCTTTATATGTCAAACGATAATCTTTATCAATAACATAAATTCGAACTGGCCATGATGCATATATTTTTTCAAATAAATTTTCTTCTGGCTTATCGATCACAACCGGCATCGGAAAATTAAAATCTCGAATAAAATCTTTTGCAACTGTTAAACGTTCTTCAACAGTATGAGTTTGAGTGTATTTTACTGGCACGCCTGTTGGACACCATCGAGCACTACAAATAGGCCATTCATCTTGAGCATGTGCTTCAAGAATATAAATAAAACGAAAATTAATAAATTTACAGTAGACATTATACAATTCAGATAGCCGAGACATAATAGCTCTTAATGGCGGTCATGAATATGATCCACCAATCAATACTGTCGATGAAGGTTTTAATCCATCGAATAATTGACTATCTTGTCCGTCGAGTTGAACGACTGGAACATTCGGTACAATATCACCTATTTGTAAATCACCATCTCTCGCTCGATTATATTTAACATAGAGTGGAATCGATTGTAAATCAGGATAAATTTGTGTTGCACATCGTAAACATAGAAGTGCTTCATGCATTTCATCTTCTAAGTTAAATTCACGAATTACTTGCCGTTGTAATTCATCGGTTATATCCAACCATGATGATGATGGTGATTGTTCAGCGTCACAATATCGTTTTTGATATTCATTAGATAAACGTAATTCATTTTCTCGAATTAACATACGTTTAAGAAGGCTCTTTGGAATAAAAGATGTCGGCAATGTTGATGACTATAGATTAAAATAGAAAAAAAAAACAAGAATGAGATTGCCTAATAGATTTTTTTCTTTACATTTGAATTGATTAAATCTTGATAGGTAAAAGTCGCTCGACCACTGGTTACATGTGCCATGCCCATTTTTTGTCACGTTTCTGTTTTTTCTTTTCGTGTCCTTTTATACTGTTTGTTGGTACTGGTTTATGTAGCAATAACATGAGTCATTAGCAGCCTTCGACGTAGCTCAAGATTGAGATTAGACGGTTGTTGAGCTACATATCATGATTCATTAGAAAAGAAATTTATAATCATAATCAGATTTGATATCATTACATTACAGAGTTCAGAACGACGTAATATTACTATTCAATCAAACATCTTTCATACAGTATAATGTTTATTTTTCTTAGCATTAAAAATTACAATACATGTATTTCAATTATCATGAAAAGCCATGCTTCACTTACTGGGCGAAGGACAATGCACAAGATACTTTGCAATTTATATAAAGAAATTTTTACAAATTGGAGAAAAAAATCAATTCACTGTATCTTTGGATTGAATGAGAAAGCTTTTTATTATTCACGTTTATTGTTGTCATTCAATTTAAAACAATAAAAAAAAAGGTTATTTTTTCGTAAGTAGCAATGATGTATTAGAAAAAAAGGGTTATTTTTTTGTTCTCTCTTAAGTTAGGGTGATGAAAATGATTGTACGAAGATAAAATTTTTGTACATATCAGTAATTCAAATAATGATTTTATTTAAACACGATTATTTTTAGACTTTATTTACTTATTAATTCTAAATAAGTTACTTGTGGCGTTATCTACGATGATCTAAACCTATAAGAAAGAAGGTCGATGGAAAGAGATGTCACTGAATGTTTCTTTTTTTTCGGGAAGTCATTCATCAATATATCAGAGTTGTCTTTCTCTATTCGGTGTATCGTGTTGTTTATGTTTCAATATCTCATAGGTGGATGCTAAGAACAAAAGATGAATATTGAAAACTATATTTCGCCACCTGAAGCACCTGTATTCTATCCAACATGCGATGAATTTATTGATCCTCTTGAATACATTGAAAAAATTCGACCGATTGCATCACGAGCTGGACTTTGTAAAATAATACCGCCTAAGGTAAACACTTATCGTAGGGATCTTCTAAACTGTTGTTTTGTTTTCTCCTAAAAGGAATGGCAACCACCATTTTGTATCAACGTTGATGAATTCCGTTTTACACCACGTATACAACGGATTAATGAACTTGAGGCTGGTACACGAGCCAAAATAAAATTTTATGAACGTCTAACAAAATTATTTGAGTCACAAGGACTCAAGTTAAAAATTCCCACAGTTGAAAAGGAAAGTTTAGATCTGGCAAAATTACATAAAGTAAGTCATTTTTCTGCCGTGAAGAAAATTTCGATTGTCATTTTGTTTCTTGTTATCATTAGATTGTTAAAGAGGAAGGCGGTTATTATATATGTTGTTCGCAAAAAAAATGGGCTAGTGTAGCACGAAAAATGAACTTTCATGATACACAAACAAGTCGTGTTTTAAAACAACATTATGAAAAATTATTATTGTCGTTCGATGTCTATGAAACAGGCATTTATGAAGAACACACAGATGCTACAAGTCAAAATGAGACAAAAAAGGGAAATAATTTAAAAACAGGTAGAATATCATAAATGAATTTTATTTGTAGTTTTTTTTTTGTTCTGTACATGATTTAGTTGAATCCAATGGAACAATGAAAAATGGAAATAAACGAAAAGATACTTCATCACCAACAATGGCAAATAATATTGATCCAGTAAGTAGGAAAAAAGTTTTAACATTTACTTTTTCTATTGAATCATCAATTCTAAGCGAAACCTATGGGATGCAAGAAAAAAAAACTTATAGATAACAATCTCCAGCATTGAGTTAATCATTCATATCTGCATAACTAGACTATTTTATTGAATGGTATTTCAGCGAATGGGACAACCTAGTGAGAAGAACTCTATTTCGTATTATTCAAGTTCATATTATAAACAAAAATAAGTCTCTAGAGACTAGTGGAAACCAAAAAAGGTTTATCCCCCTGAGTTGAAATTTTGATGAAAGTCATATTGTTTTTTTTTGGAAAGTCCTTATCATAGCGGTTTTCCTATTTTCAGAAAAGCAAATTTCCTAGAAGAGGGAAGTTTTTGACATTTATCTAATCGTTTACTCCCTAAATTGCATTGATGAACGATTCAAACATTTTCAATTTTAGTTTGCTAATTTTATATGTAAATCATGTGCGCGCGGTGATGATGACAGCTGTTTATTGATCTGCGACATATGCGATAATTGCTATCATACATATTGTCTTATACCAGCTCTAGTGGAAATTCCTCGTGGTCAATGGCGGTGTCCTAAATGTGTCGCACAAGTAAACAATATTTTTATTTTTAGTATTCTGAAACTATGATATTTTTCTTGAAAATCTAGCTATATCATACAGCAACACCATCGGATGCTTATGGATTTGAACAATCAGGACGAGAATATACATTAGGAGAATTTGGAGAAATGTCTGATGAATTTAAACGAAATTATTTCAAAAAGCCATTATCAGTATGTTCTATCTTGGTTGAAGTGAAAAACAGAACGCTTATTTTTTTTTTTGTTAACATAGGAAATTTTACCTGAAGATGTTGAGCAAGAATTTTGGCGTATACTTTCATTACCGGAGGCTTCTGTTAAAGTTGAATATGGAGCCGATTTACAAACAGGTGATTTAGGTAGTGGATTTCCTACGACACGAACAAAAAATTTAAATGAAAATGACAAAGTAAACAATAAATAAACGATAATAAAATTTTCTTTCATGTCATATTGTTCTAGAAATATCTCAATTCTCCCTGGAATCTCAATAATTTTGCTTGCCATTATAAATCAGTGCTACGATATATTAATGCTGATATATCAGGAATGAAAGTAAAATTATTCGTACTTCATTAAATTTATATATTTATTTTTCGTTTTTTTATTAAAAAAAAAGATTCCTTGGGCTTATGTTGGCATGTGTTTTTCATGTTTTTGCTGGCATGTTGAAGATCATTGGTCATATTCAATCAATTATCTTCATTGGTATGAGTTTCTCATAAATTTTTATGGATGATTCTATGTATTTCTTTTTAATTTTAGGGGCGAACCCAAAACTTGGTATGGTGTACCCGGTTCAAGTGCTGAAAAATTAGAAAACTGTATGAAATCGTATGCTCCAGACTTATTTTCTAAAACACCCGATCTTCTTCATCACCTTGTTACAACTATGAATCCATCTATATTATTACGTGAGGGTGTACCAGTTGTTAAAACCAATCAACAAGCCGGAGAATTCGTTGTAACATTTCCTCGTGCTTATCATGCTGGTTTTAATCATGGTTTTAATTTTGCTGAAGCCAATAATTTTTGTCCAGCTGATTGGGTAAATAGATTACGCAATTTTTGTTTTTATGAGCTTTTTTTATTTATCATTATTCAGCTTCCAATGGGTCGTTGTGCAATCGATCACTATAAAGAAGTGAAACGTTATAGTGTATTTTCTCACGATGAATTAATATGTAAACTTGCATCGGAATGTCAATATCTTGATCCAGCTATAGGTGATGCAACAAAATTCGAACTTGATTATATTGTTAAACAAGAGAAAAATAGCCGAAAATTAGCTTATGACCAAGTTTGTTCTGAACAAAAAATAGTTTTTGTTTAAATAAAAACGTTCGTTTTTACATTTTTTCAGGGAGTTACTGATGGCGATCGAGTCTGTTTTGAATTGATGCCTGATGATGAACGGCAATGTGACGCTTGTAAAACAACATGTTTCTTATCGGCTGTATCTTGTTTATGTAAACCAAGTATGTCGGTTTAACTTTAGTTTTTTTTTCCGATGAATAGAATTTTGTTTTTTAGATATTCTGGTTTGTATCAATGATATTAATCAATTATGTTCATGCTCACCAAAAAAATATTGTCTGTGGTATCGTTATACTATTGATGAAATGTTGAATATGGTAGATGCATTACGTGAACGTCTGGATCTTTGTCAAAAATGGAAAACATTGGTCAATCGACTTATTTCAACTGATCATGGAAATCTTATAGGTATGCTAGATAAAATAAGATGTTTTCGACTTTGTCATGATATTTTTAATCAAAACCCTAAAGTGTTATTTTTCTTGTGTCACCTCCTCTGGGCAAAACCATAGAAAATAATTTTCTTCTTGTATAGATTTCAATGATATTGAAAAGCATACAACATCTGGTGTGTTATGTTTACGTGATGATATTCGTGTTAAAATGGAAGAAAAATTAGCTGAAGCTATTGAATATCGGCAACTCGCAAAAAATATTTTGAAACGTATTGCACGCAAGTAAGAACAAAATAATACCGAAGAAAATATCGGCCATTGATAAAATTATTTTGTCTTGTTTATTCTAGAGAGGAACCAATAGAAAATAATAATAATGAAGAAGATTTAACTAAAAAGAAAAAAATTCTCAATGATGAAAATAAAGTTACATTAAATGATATAAATCAATTAAAAACTCGTGTAAAATCCATTGGTATTACATTTCATGAAATGAATGCTATTCAAGTAAAATAAATATATATTTCATTTTCGTTTTTATGATTAATTAAAATTTTCTTCATTTAGACTATTCTAGCCGATTGTCTTCGCTATCAAGATGAAATAAAAACTTTACTGCAATCGGACAAACTTGAATCAACTGATGTCTATTCAAATTATATTGAACGTAGTGATCAATATAATATTGAACTACCAATTATTGAACGATTAAAATTATTCTATCAAGCTAGTGTTTGGTATGAACTTGTACAAAAATCACTAAATCGAACCATATCACCAAGTAAACTTCGATCATTGATAACATCCGGACAAGCATTTCAAGCATTACATCAACAGATACAACAAAAGGTTACTGAATTACAAGTACAATTACAGCAATTAGAATATTGGGATGAAAAATCTCGACAATTAACCAAAGAAGAGTAAGTTAATATTCATCGAACTATTAAAAAACATAGGGAGAGACAAGCGTATTTAATCTAGAGATTGTTTTTATTTTAGACCACGTCCAACACTACATACTTTAGAACAATTCATAAAAAGTGCTGATGAAGCAAATATTCATTTGGGTTCAATTGATAAAATAAAAAGTCTAATTATTGAATGCCATACATGGAATGAAAAATTTGAACAAATGCAACAAGGTGAACATTATCCATTTCTATCTTCATATGAACAATTGTATGAGCAAGCTCGACATTTTCATATTGATTTGGAACCATTAAAATTGATCGAACAAACGATTTTACAAGCACGTTCATGGCTTGAAAAAACACAAACAGTTTTTCGTCGGCCAGATTCAAGTTTAACTATACTTGAGGTTCGAATTTTACCTTTGCGTATTAAATTTTCAGTCACAAAACGACAATTTCTTCTCTACATAGATGATTACACCACGCGTCAGCGTTGCACCAAAGACAATAACTAAAAAACGACAAGCGTCAAAACGAATAACAGGCGATGGACCAACAAATGAAGCTATTGGAGTTTTAGATGATACAATAGCTAGAATACTTGCCAGTGATGAGAATGATCCGGAAACTGTGGTAAGTTACAGTTAGAAAATCCTTTAGATATATACATCAAATTTTACTTGCATTTCTAGTATAAAGTTTATCGAGAAGCAACAATGAAAGAAATCGAATGTTTGAATGAACTGCGTGAAAATAATCAAAAGAAACGTTTAGATTCATCATCCATATATTGCATATGTGAAAAACCTTATTCTGATTTATTGCTTCAATGCGATCTATGTAATGAATATTATCATCGTACGTTAAAATAGACTTTTCCTTTCTTGTTTTATGAAACTGTCTATTTTGTTTTACAATAGGCAACTGTTTACCATATCATGGTTCAGATACCAATACATCTGTATGGTGGATATGCGATTTTTGTATACGATCACGACGACCACGTCTTCAAGATGTTGTAAAACTTCTTTCCAATTTACAAAAATTAACTGTTCGATTACCCGAAGGTGAAATATTACAATGCTTAACGGAACGAGCTATTGCATGGCAAGAAAAAGCAGAGTAAGTGGATTAAAAATTGAAATTTTATGTTAATGATCTCGTTTTTATTTTAAGAGCTTTTCTGGCTTCACCTGTTCTACGTGAATTGAGTACAGTTAAACAAGAAAATAAAATCATAAAAGTAAGATGATACTAGTGTTTTTTCTTGGTCTTGTTTAAGACAACAACTATATTCTATTTTCTTTATATTAGGATGAACATATCAATGATCCAAACAAACCAGAAATACGAAATTTTGATTCTGAAAGTAAATTTTATTTTTTCCTTTTTTCGATCTGAAAAATATTTATTATTTCTTCTTAATAAAGCATTTCGTTCATCAAATAATTCGGCTGAACATCAATTAGAAAACTTACTTATTGAAGGTGGCCTACTAGAAATTTATGTTGATCAAATAAAATTACTCACAAAATTAGTTAACTCATCACGACGGTCAAATTTATCATCATCAGATGTATGTTTCAATGTAATCGAATAGATGTTTGATAATATTTTCTTGTTATTATTAGAAACCCAAAGTTGGCCGTTCACAAACGGAAAAAAACAAGTCAACAACAATACGCAAACGAAAATCATATGAAGTTCTTTCTAAAACAGGTATGATCGTATTTACATTTTACTGCATAACTTAACGTATTCTTATTTGTGTTTTTTTTCATAGACAAAACTATACGACGTAAACGTTCTCGTAAATCATTTCTACCGGAACAACGCTCATCCGAGAGTCAACCAGGCGCGTCAGCACCTGTTGTTTATGTTTCATCAATGATCGATATTCAACAGACAACAATAAAAACTTCACCAAAATCTGACATTGAGCATGATAATAATCCGTCACTTATATCAGACGATGATAATGACACAAACAAGAAAGGAAGTGCTATTGGCGGAATTGAAGATGAATGTGCAGTTGATAATGGGGCATGTTTAAAGCCCAGCGGGTCATCAATTAAATGTAAATATAATTTAATTCGAAAAATATTAGTTAATTTTTGAATCTTTAATAGGGGTTTGCTGTGATGCATGTGAACGATGGTTTCATCTTGTTTGTGTTGGTCTAACAAGCGTTAAGAAAAAAGAAGAATTTAAATGCAATCAATGTAAACAATTATCGCTATCAACAGTATCGTCTTCGACGTCAACTCCAACAATGCTTGTTACTTAATGAAAATCCAAAAATATATTCGCAATCAAATTAAATCTCCAATCTATCTGACTGTATTTTTCTTTTCTTTCGTCGTCGTTTGTTTTGCTTCATTAATTTAAATTTATTTCGTACTCGCGTCAGATAGACGAAAGAAGAACATATTCAACAGGCCATATGAATAGTCATGATTGATCTTGTCTTAGATGACTCGAGAAAACAAAGGAAAAAAAGAGGTTTCTAAATGTTGTTGTTTTGTTTTTCTGTCGATTTGGTCTTGATATTAATCTTTTTGTTTTTCGGGGTATTGACAAAATCGTTTATTGTAGATAGAAATTCTTTATTTGTCTGTTTCTGTATGTGTATGTGTGTGTGTGTGTGTGTGTTCCGTGTATGTTGTTCAAGACGAAATAGAAGAAAATATTACGCTTTGAAAATGAAAAATTAAATCATATTTATAAAATTTATTTATGATAAATAGGAGAAAATCAACCGATCCTATTCCATTCAGATGTATTGTTTTTCTTGTTTAGGCTAGCCTTATTGAAGATCATTCTATCACTTTTTTAACATCAATCATATACTGTTCATGTAAAATACTTAGTCCATGAATGTTAGATTTTATTGAATCGATCTGAATAAGAAGATGACATTTTCTTCGATGTTTTTCTTTTAAATATTTTTTATATTTGACCACATTCGGCTATAACCACATTAGCTCGTGGTGTACCTTCTTCGGTACCACAGCTTTCCATTCTTTTGACAATATCTTGACCTTGAAGAACACGACCGAATACAACGTGTTTATCGTTAAGCCTAAGAAATATGAAAAGATTTTAGTGACAAAAAAAAAGAATTAACGAAATCAGCTTCACTGGTTTATACCATGGTGTAGGAGCCACAGTTATAAAAAATTGTGAACCATTGGTGTTTGGACCTGAATTTGCCATCGATAATAAAAATGGAACATCGTGTTTTAAACGAAAGTTTTCATCAGGAAAACTTTCGCCAAAAATACTTCGACCTGAAGAGATATGAATTTTTATGAAACAGTTCTAATATCAACTAACCTCCTGTGCCATCTTGTAGATCAAAATCACCTCCTTGAACCATAAATTGAGGAATTATTCGATGAAATCGACAACCACGAAAACCAAAACCGGCTGCACCTGTACATAATTGTCGAAAGTTTTCTGAAACGAAGATTATTTCACCAAATCTAAGTTAACCATGAAAATAAAAGCTAAATACCAGCCGTTCTGGGTACAACATCAGAAAAAAGCTAATTAATAAGAAAAATGAAGATTAGCTTAATTAAAAAACAAGAAAAACCTCAAAAACAACGGTTCCTTGTGGTTGTCCGTTAATATTCACTTTAAAAAACACTTTTGGTCGTGGTCGTTGCATTTTTCGAGTGAATCGTGAAAAGTAGTGGTTGTGACTGTATAATGATTCGCTTGAATGACTGTACGGCTTAAAGTAAGCAGCGGTAATGCACTCATAGTAAAAAGAACAGGACTCGTATTTTTATTTAACCGTTATCGTACTCGTATACAAGCTACAGATTAATATGAGCGTGAAAACCTTCATTTAGATTCGAGTGTATCCTATTTTTTTTTTATAAAGGAAGCTTTAACATAAGTATTTGATATTAAACGAATTCATCTACAATTAGAACATCATGAGCTGCTGCATTCTTATTTTTATGCCGTTCAAAAATGAAATTGGTTTTCTTTTTACGTGTATCATTGGCATATGAAAGTTTGACACTTAATTATTCTGTTCTAAGTTTTCATTGCAGTCTATCATGGCAGTTGATCTTTTTCAATGAGATGGCAATTCATGTATTTTATTATGATATTTTTTAGCACTTTTTTCGATGCCATTGTTACTCAAAGAAACAGTTGAATAAGAGAATCTTTATTTGATTCAACATTGCTACGTTCCAGCTATTTATTTTATTACTTTATAACGGTTCATATTTATAAAGGGTGTGGGCGTTGGTACCTGTTTGGTTGTGAACAGAAAACGCCCACACCCTGGGGAGGCGTATGGGTTACTGTCTGTATGTTCTTGTATATAAACCGACAATATAGCCACACCGTTATCTGAATCCATTCGACTTAAAGCAGGTTAAAAAACACTAGAGGTTCCAGATAAAACTTGACGAGCCCTATCCAGTTATTGATTTTGTTTTCAAAGGAGCTGTTTCTATTCTTTCCAAAGTCCTTAATGTGAGTCGGTCAAGAATAGGTTCCAAGTAAAACACGGAGAAGCCAGGTAGAATTCTCCCCGTTTTACATGGGACCTATTCTGGGCAGAGTTGAAATAGTTTTGGTGGGAAAAGATTACATCGAAAAGCTCGTGGAATTCTATATGGAACCTCCGTGTTTTACTTCAAACCTACTCGCGGCCGAGTCACCACAGGAAATATTCGAATCCTTATTTAAGATGTTTCGCTTTATTGAACACCATTTTTTGCTGACTAATGTTAAATTACTTTTTAAATAATAGACTTAAGAGTCTAACATATATGTTGGAGGAAAATTTTAAATTTAAGACAATTTTAGATTCCCCCTACAGCATATACATACCTTTTTAATGTTTCGCATTGCCTAATAGTATTCAGCGAGACCCTATGTAAAGAGAACAATAATATCAAGAAAACAATTTGTGATGTCGAAGACCATTAACTAGTGAGCATAATGGTGAGCATGTGTTCATGTTTAGCTCATCAAGCTGAAATTCGTTCGTTAACATCAACTCTTAGCTGAAGCTTTCAATACCACACACATAGGCAGTCAAGTCGAATATTGCAACCTACGTCAATCTTATCAACATCGCTTGTCTCTACGATGCGCGGAAGTTCTGCTACTCACCATATATATCTTATGAAATTTTATGAAACGAAACGTTGTACGTTCATTTAATATGGGATAAATTGTAAACGATGCATTCTCCAGACTGTGTTTCAGTGATGTTTATTTACCTGCTGTAAAGCATTATCTCTTGAAATTCTTGTTTATAAAATAGAAATATTATAAACGCCTTTTGCTGCAGCCTGATAGGTCAAATACAGAATTGTACCTCTTCAATAAATCTGTAATTAAATTGACGTTAGTAACTGACTGGCAATTCGGGTCCGTGTGTCATATATATGTGTCGCTGGTACGTCACGTGCGATCAAGTAGTTCAAATTAATTCCAACACAATAGATTCAACGAGACATGAATATGATTAAGGTTGCGCTGCATGAATTGACCGCTGTGCATATTAAATATTAATCACATTCACAATCACATGAAAATTCCTTCATATATCTTCTTGGGTGCCATATTTGTTGGGCAAACGAGTACTATAGAGCCCCAAATCATGTTGTGGCTGTGTTTTGTTGATACATAACTAATTTGGCTTGCGGTATCTGTATTGAGAAAGAGCTCAGTAAATAGTTGTAAACGCACAGCTTATCGCTATGTCGCCATTTGTTTATCAGTTAATGTCATAATCTAGTAATTGCTTGTCGCAAAATAGTTCGTTTGTTTTTGATGATTTCGCGACAACAATGACGCATTCCTTGAAGAAATTCCAGTTCATGTTTGTTTACAATAAATCAAAGCCCATAGTTATTTGTATGATAGCTATGAAATTTTGATTACCATCTGGTTATTATCGATGGTTATTTAGTAACGCTAGTCCATTATGAATGCTTTGTATATTCACAGTAAAATTGATTCTTGCAATCTCCATGCGTTTTCACAAAATCTTAGTTCAGCGTCAATTCAAAATCAGATGCATGGGTTATCTCATCTTGCTCAGGCATGATGAGAATATTTCATGTAGATGTTTAGTGGCAAAATTGCAATACAATAGCAAAAATGGATGGGCTTATTAGAAGATTCGTTGTTTGCAACGACCATAAATCTTGAAATATTCGTATTGATAAACGTATTAAAGCAACAGAACAATTATCATCACTGAATTTTATTCGATGGAAAAATATTGTTTGAAAATCTAGGCAATTTCAGATGGAAAGAAAATACTTAATTTTTATCAGATATTTGTTTGGCGCTGCTCTTTCATTTTTTGTCATGCACCAAAATGTTCGATTCATACTACATTCACTCTATATCATTCAACTGATTGGGTTACTAAACAAGAATTATGAGTGCAATCTTCATATATGTGTATTGTTAACAGAGAACATATTGTTTTTTTAAGAAAATCAATCATCTGACATGTATTCATAGTAGTTTTCTTTCAACATTTGCAATAAAACAAGCGCTATTGTCGTCGAGTCATTGGTGTAGACATGAATTTTTTGTTCCTTCGTTTCAACACACATTAAAAGAAAGGTTGTTACTAGGAAACGAACTTTGTAAATGGAAAGCAGCTGACTCATTCGAATCACACTGCGTGCACCGCTGTTATTGTTTGTACGATTCTATTTAATTTTTTCGTACAAGGAATTTGGTCTTAAAGAATCATGAAGACTGTAAAGAACTGAACAGAAGAGAAAAGAGAGAGAGAGAGAGAGAGAGAGAGAAAAAGTAATTCTTGTCAAATACTATATTGTATTCATTGATTGTCAGACCATACTTGACAAGCGGACGATTTTTTTCTATTTTAGTTTCTTTTTAAACTCTTCAAATGTCTTAAATTGATCATGATTAATCGATATCAATGAAGGTTCCTATGCGAGTAAGTTTTATTAGAAAACGTGAGTTCACGTGCAAATAGCGAGAACTATTTTCAATTTCTAGGCACTACCAAATCGATATAATCATACTGAAGAAAAAAGTGATTATGCAAATTTTAGTCATACAAGAATAAGTAAGAAAATTTTTAAGCATAATCTGAATCCATGAAGCTGTAGAAATTAAACTCTCTACGGATTTGTTTAAAGTTGTATAATTGAATAAATATGTGAATATTCAAATTCTGACTTTCATCATGGTCATAAAAATAAAAATTTAATCTGAGATTAATTTGGTCAGCGCGTTTTCATTTTTTTTCTTCTTCTAACTTTGAAAGCGACGTATGCGATAATTTCTTTAAAAGTATTCCGTTTTGTCTTTATTTGAAGTGCAAAAGATTTATTCTTAAGTTTTCTTATCCATTAAAAACGATTTAAAATAGATTGAATAAATCGATCGAATTGAAGTGTATGTCATTTAAAGCAGAGTGAGCAGAAAATCTGTCGAATCGAAGTAACAGAATAAACATCATAAAACTTCAAATTTCGAAGTGCCTAAATGCATTTACATGTAAACAAATATGGAGAAATAGGCTGTCGAAATCGACAACAAGGATAATTTTTTTCACGTATTTATTGCTCTTTTTTTGAGTATATTCTCCTTCGTAAACACTCTAACCTTGAATCGATTGAATGAGCATACGGATAAAAACAAGGCAATATAATTCTATCCTTGAAATCTACAGAAAATGCAAGGTTAATAAATAATGTTTTTCGGCAAAATGTCTGTTGATTGTTCTGTGTGTCGCATTAAAATATCAAAAAGAAAAAAGAAATTATTATCAATTCTAGTCACTTTGTTTCAAGTGCCTCAGTATGAATATCTGCAAATACTTATTTGTAATGGTAATTCATTAACAACATTAGCTGGAGCTGAACATATAAAACATTTGTGGAAACTTGATGTCGGAAATAATCAAGTAGAGAAAATTGTTTTCTAAAAAGGCAAACGCCACGAAATCTCTTTATGTATAATTTTGATTTAGATTCGAAGTCTTCAACATTTATCACGTTTTATAGCACTTGGTTCACTTATTCTGTCGAATAATAATTTAACGTGGATACAATTACAACATATTCGTCATATGTGCATTCTTGATTTAAGACTCGATGGAAATCCTACTCTTGATGCTGATCCGAACTGTAACAAAATTCTAGACACGAATGGGTTTTTTTTTTGAATAACGAAACCTTTGTTTTCCTTTCATTCATGTGCACAGATCGTCAACATATACTCGATTGTTTACCACGAATTTGGATGTTCGATGGAGTTTTTGTTTCAAGTAAATCTTATTGAACAAATCGAAGAAGTATTTTATCTATTATTTTGTGTAGCTGCAGAAAGAAATCAAATAGACGAGTTCTTTACACAATCATCACTAACACAAAAGCCTGTGGTAAGCTATGCATTTCAATTCCAGTAGACTGATGTAAATGTTTTTATTCAGAGGCGAAAATTAGCACGAGATGTATTTATGCCATCGAATTTAAAAGATCGTTCAATTAATGGACTTTTTGGGCCAAAAGTAAGCATCATATTTACGTATGTAGATTACTGACAATTTTTTCATCATAGGCAACGGAATTATTTGCTAAGTTTCCGATAAATTGTTTTGTTAATACAGGTAGAAAATAAATTATAAATAACTCAAACTTTTATTTTCTCCATTTAGAACTAGATAGAAAACGAATCAGACATTTAGCTTATACTGAACAAGATTTATTACTGAATGAAATGAAACATGACGATAGAAAGTACGAAAAAGTATTTTTCCACGAAGAAAAAAATAATAAACGAAATCTTCTAATTAGAAAACACGACGAGTTTCTCACAGAAAATCGTTCTCTACTTTCTCAAATGATTGATCTACGACAAACACATATTGAAGAATTTAATATGCTTCTTATTTTACTTCTTGTAAGCAGATCACGAAGAGCAGTTGCTTTTGTTCAAAACTGTATTTCATATTTCAATTGAATTTCTATTTTTGTTTTTCAACAGACTGATATTCTTTATCAAATTCCTCGTGAATTATTAAATAATGTTCTAGATGTAACTCATATAAATACTATCGGGTATTCGATTTTATTTAATGTTGTTTCATGAAAACAAAATTTTATTTTTATGAATTTCTTTAGAACTCTAAATATAAATAATTTGTTTTCATCGAGTGAATATTTAAAATGCATGATTGCATCTCTTGTTCATGCAGGTGCAAGAATTGACCGCGATGAGAATCATGTAAATTATTGGTATTGGTTATTTGATGAAATTCTATCTATGTTCTCTTTTAGTCATGTGCATTTTATGATAAACTTTTCAATAGTCTATCGGTTGTTTTGACAAATCAAACACGATCATTATCATCTTCAACCATAAATCTAAATTGTTCAAATCCTGGAGTGTAAAATAATATAAAGTTCTGTATAAAACAATTTTGTTTTATAATCAAAATCTTTAGAATTTCTGAAGCTAAATCTATGGTTTGCCTTGAAGTTATGCAAGTCTTCATTATGTGTCCTGTATTTTATACACTTGCCGAGCATCCAAGTAGGTTTTGAAAATAGAATTCAATAGAAAACGCTAATATTATGTTTATTTTAGATGTCAATTGTATTTTAAAACAAGCATTAGAACGATCTCCGGCATATAGAAGTATTATAGATGTTTTAGAAAATTTTAATGCTGATCAAGTAAGACTATCAAACGTGATATTCATCAACAGAAGTTTCAATTTTCTTTCCACCAATAGAAAACAGGTGAACAACAAAAGGATATACTAGCACCGATGATTGGTAATATATTGAAAATGGCTATTCGAACATTATCAACAAAACGAGTAAAAAAAGTCAATGAACCATTGTCCATAGTTCATGTAAGATTAGAAAGTTCTTAAAAACGAAAATTAATCTTCGAATTCTATGCTCAATGTGATTCTTTCATCAGGCAACAACAATATCTGAAAATGATAGTTCGCCGAGACGATCACAAGAACGCAGTGTATCATCACCGAAATCTTCACAACGTGGAAATCCTAATCGTACACCAGGTACAATTAATCTAGTTATTCGCCGAGAAAAATGTACCTTTACATTATTTATAATTTAGCTATTGGTGATCGTATATTAACTGGTCCACAAAGTTTTGGTCGCATTATAACATTGCCCGATACGGAAATCGCAATGATTCAACTTGATCATGTTCTTGCTCTCAATGGTGCTATGATTAGTAGTAGTTCGTCAGTTGATCACACTCAGTATGTCAATATGAGTAGTTTTGAATGGGATACGTCACATGAATATTGGAAACCAATAAATACATCAGGCGATCGAATTACATTACAAATGACAACAGCAAAACCTGAAACGCCTCGACCAATTTCTACTCCAAAATTACCATTAACTCCACCTCCACCTCCACCTGCACCAAGAACCATACTAGCCAAAGTAAACATTCCAATAATTAATTTATAAAAATGAATATGTTATTTTCAAAAAAAAAACAACTAATTAGACACCAGAGCTTGCTGAGAAAGGGCATATCACGCCGAAACTTTTCGACATGCGTAAGTTTCATTTACTTTCTGTGAATCCGACCGGATATTCTTTTTGTTTGTTTGTTTGTTTAAATATAGATACGATTAAACCGAGGTATATATAAACAAATTCAAATTTTAGTCTAGCTAATTATTATTTACTGTTTTTTTCAAAATTTAGAGAAACATTTATCGATCCACCACATGTAACAACTCCTCCATTAGGTTCTATTATCAATCAAGAAACCATTCGTCATTCTTCGGAAGTACCAAAAGGTTCACCACGACCTTCTTTGACTAATCAGAATACTGTTCATTTTTCTCGAGAAGCGCAAAACTCTCCTCCAGCAAGTTCTACAATACGCGAACGTAAAGTGGTTTCACCAGAGTATATAATCAAAACTGAAAATTATTTATATCTTGAATTTTGTTTCTTTCTATTTCCAAGACTTGCCATTCAACGACCCATGTCTGTTCGTATAATAAAACAAAAACAAGAACACGTAAAACACGCTGTTCATAGTGAAACCATTTCTCCATCACCGGTTCTTATTGAATCCATGCTTCTTCTTATGCCTAATCAACATCATTTGCCTATTGCATCATTTGAACAATCACAACAACCGAGAAATTCATCAGTATCAATAAATGATTTCGAACCGTCACGTGCGACGTCACTACTCGAACAATCATCTGCTATTCCAATAATAGCAAATACCCCTCGCCGCTCAGTAACACAACGTATGCCTGTGCCAGTACATAATGCTGCACAATGGTTTAATGGACCTAATATGCAAAATGAACGAACAGGTCGTATGGAAAAAGTTGTTGCTTCACTTGTACGCCGATCATTTCGACCCATAACTACTTATGCGTATGTTATAGAATATTCATTGATTATCAAAAACAAAAATAAGTAGACCTTTTTTTAGAATGCCACGTGTACCAATATTAACATCGCCATCATCAAGGGATCATGCTACGTTTAAAGGTACGGATTTTTTTGGTAAATTTATTCCAATTGAAACTCTGACTCAATACTATTTAGGAGTACGACCTGAAAGTTATCAAGATTTTTGTATAGAAAGCCATCGAATGACAACAACGCCATTAAGTTTCAATCGACAAACTCAATATCCTAAACCACCCCGGTAAGTTTTTTTGAAAACAAAATTTAGTTTCAATGAATTACTTTCGTTTTTCAGCGCACCATCAATGCGTTTACATGACTTCAATCGTTCAAGTAATTCTCATCATACTGTACATCGTGCTAAATCATTATTTAATCCACCGTGTGCAACACCTTGGATGTGATAATTATCATGTGTCTTAATGTATTCGTGAATAAAGGATTTTCTAACAATTGAATTTTTTACTGAACTGTAATGATTTTCTATGATTTATCAAAATGGATTTAATCCATTTATATATTTACATCCTTTTTAATATGTACCGTTTTGCATTTTATTTCTAACAATGACACAGAAATTTATATTTAAGAATTGTGTTCACAGTGAATATTTATAAGTCTGTGTTTCTTTTTCAAATAACAATCGAAAAATAAACATATATTTTGAAAGAGAACGACTATATTTCAAGCGTCACGCCGACTATGGAAGTTTGTCTAAGGACGAGAATATTCTCAGAACAGCAATACTACCACTTCCTACTCGTGAATTACATCATCATGGAAATTTCTTGACGTCATGGAAAAGGTTTTTACCACAACGCGTAATTGCGAAAGTTTTACAAAAATGTAGATGTCACTCTAGACGAATATATAATCAGCTCAGAAATACGTGTATCCTACAGAAAACTTACGATTAAACAAGTGTTGCAATTCAATATATCCTATGTCTTCTTCAATTTTACCAAACGGATGCAGATGCTCTACTCCATTAACACCGAGCAAAGCCTATCAATGTTGTCATTGTTTAACTTTCTATTGCTATCATTGTTTAACAAAACATCATCATATTGACGTTAAACTTGAATTTATGGATCTGATCAAAAGAATCGATGAAATTCTTGCTAAATTTTTACATCATGCACATAATCAAACTGAATGGACTGATCATTTATCAGAAGATCGAAAACTATTACAAACATACATTGAATTCATCGACACCTACTATACACATTTTGCAGTTCCAGTTTTACCAGATTCTCAATGGGTATATCATGTTAAAGATCTTATCGATAACAGAAAATATGCTATCTATGAAGTCTGTGGTAAATTATTATATCCCACTGTAAAAAATATTTGTAATTAGTAAATGATGTAATTATATTATTTTTATGTATCAATGTATATAATTAAAAATAGGCTCATTAACCATTGATTGTTTCATTCCTACTTCATACAGTCCACAATAACCATTGAGTAGTGGCGCAGCTGGAATACCACGTCTATCAAAAGAAATGAAAGAATTTTATCGTTATTGTTTTCTTGTCCGTATCTGTTTTGAATATACTACATTTCTGATTCCTCTACTCAAATAGAATGTAGCTTTGAAAGATCTGAATTCATTAAATTAAATGTTAAGGGCTGATCTTGATCGATTGTTTTTCTTTTTCTAACCTGAGCATTCGACATCGATGAACATCAAGTCGGAACTGAGCATCTTCTGGATTGTTGACATCGATTGAACTCCATAGTCGTTCAGCAATAGCCGATGCTCGAGGCCAAAGACGAGATAAACTATTTGTACCATCAACAAATTCTGCCCAAAGCGCAGCTTCACCACCAATTAAACGTTGTCGAGCTTCATCATCACCTGTGAATAGAAAAAATAGTCTTTTGTTTTTGGTTATTATGATTAACAACAAAAGCAATTCTCTTTACCAGTAAAATTAGCAAATAAATCAATATTGTACCATTTAAAAAATTCTAAATTCATTACCGATTCTGGTGTATTATATTTACCATACTCAATCCTAATAAAAGATTATTAGACGAAATAAAAAAAAAAAATTTTCTTACATATTTAAATAAAATGGAGCAGCAAGAACAGCATCATATCCTTCACTTGTTGCTTTAGATAAATAATACGACCAAGATGGACTATCCGATAATAATGAAGTATCTTTCCATATTTCGATAACAGTATCTGATGGTAATTTGACGCCATCATCCCATACATCTTGCCACACCATTGATTTTCCACCAATCGATTGCATTAATTTCAAAATACGACTTGAATAATAACTCATTAAATCTGTTCCATTGGACATGTTATTTTCGTTTAAGAAATTTTCTATACTAGGATTTGATAGCCTGTAAATGTACAAATAAAAAATAGAAATTATATTTTAAATTTACTGTGAACATCATACCAACAAGCAGGATATACTTCATCCATACCAAGATGGATATAAGGTTCATATTTAAAAACGCCTTTCACTTCTTTCAGAAATTCATTCATAAAATTATACACTTCGGCTTTTGTTGGATCCAAAATTTCTCGTTCAGCATGGACACCGTAGATAGCTTGACATGGTATTGAACCATTGTAACAATCAGTTAAAAATTCTATATTTCATAACACAAAAACAAATTCAACGAACAAGTTTTCGAACACAAAATACAAACCAGGAAACGCACGTCCAAGTGCAGCAACATGTCCTGGTGTATCGAATTCAGGTATGGTACGAATGCCACGAAGACGTGCATGTTCAATAATATCTTGAACATTTTCCGCAGTATAAACATGAGCAGATGAAAATGCACCCTAGAAGAAATTGAAAGCCGCCTATAGAACACAATCGGAATGAAAATAATGTTGAACTTTTTCAGTTAATTGTGGGAACGTTTCAGAGACAAATGGCCACGACTGATCATCAGTAATATGCCAATGAAGAACATTAAATTTATTAGAAGCCATAGCATCCTTTAGCGAAAGAGAGAAAGCAACATAAAGTATATAATGCAATGTAAATATAATTACTAGATGTTGTTTTATTATTGGAACCGGTAGAAAATGACGAGCTGTATCCAATAGAATACCACGATATGGAAAGCGTGGCCAATCCTGGATATATACTGAAGCATTAGTTGCCAACTATAAAATCAATATTTATTCTAATTTTATGATTAAATTAATTGCTTACATAATTATCACCAGTTATGAAAAGTAATTGTGAAAATGTTTCGATACCATTCAATGCACCCCAAACATTTTCAGCATAGATAATTCCATAAGAACTTTCAATCGTAAGATTATCTAAGTAAATAATGATTAAATTTGGCATAAAAAACAACAACAACAAATAAATGAATTATTTACAAGATTGATCATCACGAAGTTGTGGATAGGTGTGACATTGTTTTGATTGTATAAGAATAAAAACTGATAGAAGTATTCGACTTTCGTCAAGTCTATCTGGATTTTGAATTGATATTTTTGGTGGAAAAAATATTGATTTATAGCGTTGAAGAGCATTATCGATAACATCACAATCTTTTAGATTTGAATGGATCACAAAGAAATTCGGATCAATATAAACATAATCAGAACTCGCATTTAAATATTGAGGTTGTGGCCACGGAGCATTGGGTGCTGATGGTTTACCCTGAAAATTAAAAATCCACGATTTTAGTTTTCACGAGAAATTCGCATTAAAAATTAACTGAAAGTAAATTTACATAATCAATTCGTTTTATGCTCGTGTGTCTCAAATGAAAAAAAGAAACTACTTACTTTTAGAGGATATTTGGCTTCGATATAATCAATTAAGGAATAAACATGATGTATAGAAATAATAAAAGTTAGTAGACATTGGAAAATATGTAATCTATACGACATGATTGTAAAAGAGAATGAAAATGATTTTATCTAGATTATCTATAGCTACACAATGCTCGATACGGACTAGACTTGTATGTTTCTTAAAACGAGATGTATATACATATACATTCTCTATTTTGATTGAATACAAACAAACAATATAACTTCTATTTTAATTAATCTTATCATAATGGAAACAAAAAATCAGCATAGAAGCGTGATATTTCACATATCGCTTTTTGTTACAAATAAGAATAAGTGACAATATCTAAATCAGCTTAAAGTCTTCTCCTATCCATTTTTTCTTTTAGTTGACACCAAACTAATAGTAAAACCCAAAGACATTTTCATCATATTTCAATGAATGTGGAATACAATTCTATCATAAGGTCGTTTGTTTAATAAAAGTTGCCGAAGAAGAATAATAATTCATTGCATTTTCTTTGATCTTCAATCATTTAGAAAGTGTCGAGACACCTACGTGCGATACTAATGCTTTATTTTTCTTTTCTCTTCGAGGCAATTTCACTTTGATAATGTGCTGCTCACTTTTTTCGATTGATTTTCAATTTTCAATAAATAACATTTGATTGAATGTCATCTTTATGATTTCGTTTTAGATATTTTCTTATTCAACCTGGTACTTAGTCGTCGTCTTTTTCATGTTCTCTACTATTCATCGAATTTTTTCTCACAGTAAAATATCACATGGATGCACCAGCAGTAACAATTAAAGATAAATCAATTTACCAATCATTGTTAACATAAAACAATAAAAATCGACGAGAATGAGATAGAGAGAGAGAGAGCGCGATTAAAATAGCAATCATTCGATTATGTGCGATATAGGGTAAACGTAATCCAATTACGTGTTCACTCAACCGATTTCGAGCATATATATCAAGCGTATCTTCAGTTGACAATATCAGTTCAACATATTCATCGATATGGAACGTAAGTGAAACTAAAATCACAATAGTGATTTTTTTTTATTAAATTAGACTTCGAGATTTATTCCCAGTAAGATCAACATATCCATGAAATTTGTGGGATTTAAATTGTCCGTAAATGCGTTCCATAGTTCCCGATATTCTCTTGTCATTAGAAAAGCAATTTGTATTTTGAGATATTGTTCTTATGATTAATGATCAACTATGTTTTGTTTTCCAGGTCATCCATCAAATGCAATGTTTATAAGCGAAATACCTGTTCGTTGTATGTCGCCGATAGACAATGATGAAACAGTCATTAAATGGATTAGCAATTTAAATAGTCGTACGACTGCTCGAGATGTGATTCGATTGATTCAGCCAACATGTGATCCAACAAACTATTTACTTTACATTTATACAGACCGTAAGAAACAAATCTTAAATGAATCAGCATGTATTTATAAAGTTGTGGAAAAAATCAATCGAGAAAAGTGTTCTCGACGTTTATTATTTGAAATCCGTTTAAAAAAAATCCAAAAGAAGCATGTTCGATTTGCTGATGAAATTATTCTACAAAATATCGTTCAAAGGCAATGTCTGTCCAATGAAACTATACATAATAATATCATTGAGATAATATCAAAACCAAATGAAAAACTAAAAGAAAATTTTCATAATAAATTTAAATCATCTTCTCGTCCGAAACGGTAAATAGAATGTTTTTAATCGAATCACAAACAAAAAAGAAATGTCAAATTTTCATTTCTCTTCTAGATCGTCGTTGAGTATCATTAATGAAAATATCTCGCGTTCTTCGAGTGAATCGGGAATCAGTTCACAATCATCTACTGATGATTTAATTGTACAAAGAAAAATAATCTTCGAAACACTTGTTTGAAATGTACAATTCTTTTCTTTCTTTCTTTTTCTTTGTTATTTTTATTTTTAATAAAACTATGCATTGTTAGAAATACATAAGAAAATAGTTTTCATACAGGCAAAGCCATGATTATACAAATAATTTCTACATACGGATGTAATAACATTATCATCGCGAGTGATGCAGTAAAAAAAATCAAGACGTTTCTCCTGAGGTTAATATCAAGAATTGCATTTCATACATCAATATAGATGAATGTACAAATCTTCTTGTAGAGGTTTCTTGAAAGTCCAAGTAAAATTACTCGTTGATTTCAATGATATCATTGCTGAAAAACAAACAATCTGAAACCCTTTATTTTCTTTTGGTTGATGAAGGTTAAATAGGTCAACGTTGCTATATTTCCACTATTGATCCAACAGAGAGTTGAAGAACAAAGAATTTATGCGTCTGTGCTTGTCACTGTTCTTATGACGATTATTTTTCTGTTTCTTGTGCTCCGATTGGTGATGCAAAAAAAACGCCGACCGACAACGAAGAACATAGAACGCAGATAAAAAAAAGTCTTTCTCTCGTATTCTATGTCTCGCTTTTATATTCTTCATTTAGAATCCGTGGCAGCTGCAGGCATCTACGCCCTGCTTGTTCTGTTGCCCACTCATCCATTTTGTAATATCAACGTTGCCCAGTAGAAATCTTGTCAGTACCGAAACAACTCTATCAGTATGGATATTAACTCAATGGAGAATCTCATACATTTACCAATCTATGAGAATGTTATCAAGTGAGAAAAATGAACAGTCGAATCGCTCTTTTATTATGCTACACATATTTTCTAGACGATACGGTAAATATACCAAGAAGGTCAACGGTGAACTTATCAAAGGTTTGTATTTTTACAAGTGATAGAAATTAGTTGAGAATTCCTCATTAGTGTGTACACTTGATTATACTAATCGAACACTGGCAGTTATAGACATTTTCTTTCATTCGGTCTAGTAATTTATGATTGGTTTGAGCGTGAAAACAAGCATGAAGATAAATATCATGGTCACCAGTATAAATTAGGCCTAACAAAACATCAATACGATCAAATGAAATCTCTTCTCATGCCAAAAGGTAAACTTCTTAATTATGAAAAGATAAATAGATTAGCTTTTTTCTCCTTCTATGTTTGTTTTATCTCGTAGGCTTCTATGGAGATGAATTGACATTCGATCAATTTTGCGATATTCTCATACCGGTTATAACCGGTGGTGAAAATGATCAACACGATGATTATTCGATTTGGTTAGCCTTTCGTTCGTTTGATAAAAACAGTGATAATTATATTCAAGCCGATGAACTTGAAACATTAATGCGTATCATTGGTAAATCTGTTAGTCGAGAACGTATACGATATTATATTGATAAAGTTGATTGGGATTATAACGGTAAATTAGATTATAATGAATTTCGTGAATTTATCGTCCGAGGATATGCTCGTGAACTATTGATGATGGATATAACACGAGAAATTGTTTATTCACATGAACAAATGCAGATCCCATCAAAGAATAGTTTTCAATAATTATTTTCTTGTATTTTGCATATACACGTATATATTTATTATAATTAATAAAACATATTAGAATCAAATGAGATTTGATTAGATGATTAATAGGTTACATATTTATTAGAATTATTTCTCAAAGATAAGAATTATTGGTAAGAAAATGAATTAGTGTTGTGCGAGGAAGAGAATCGTCGATCAATCATTATCCACGTTAGAACGGAGTCAATGGGATATATCTCTACAATAAAATCTTTCGCTTTTCATTGTACTGTAATTTTAGATTTTGCTATGTTTTCGTGGGAATCATTTATTCTATAGAGAATTGAGTATAGCTACACATGATCATTAATCATTTTGTTTTATTAGATTTAAAAAGTATTCTACAACACCATTAAAGATTTGTACTGGTTTTAGAATAGTCAAATAATGAACCATTTTGACCATCGTTTCTCATATTTACACCTCGATTTCCAATTGCCGTTAACGAAACAGTAGCACCAAGTAAATTATCAGCTGCTGTAAGTTTATCAGAACGTTGAAAATTCCTCCATAGATTTGTTAAAAGAGTCGTCGTAACATCATCGCCCACATTTGAATGTATAAGACGAAGAATAAAAAATCCGTCATGTTGTAAATAATCATAAATAAATACGCGCATACTTGTACGCACTGTCGCTACACTATGTTGCGTATTTATGCGTTGTGTAAAAAATGAATAACGGAGACGTGGAAAAAGTAAAAATATTAGCCAAGATAAAAAATTATAAACAGTCACTGCAAGAACAAAATTCATCCACATATACAATACACTAAAAATCTGTTCGTTGTAAATATTAATCGTTAACACACCTAGAACAAGAAATAAATTAGTATCTCAATGATGGTTCTAAAAAATTGCATTATTAAGAAACAGACATAGATTAACATTGATTTTTATCATTGAAATACGCGAAAAAAATGATAAATTGAAGTTGTTCTAATCGATTTTTTTCTAAATTATACCCATAAGAAGAGAAGCATCATACAATATCATTCATTCTATGAATAACAAACTATCTGTACATATTCTTCTGAGGTTTCCTAATCGTATCAAATTGTTTTTTCACCAATCGTATGGAATTTTAGCTTAAGCGACTATGTAAATGATTCTTTTCTTCTTCTTCTCATGAATAACGATCAAAAATACCAGAAACAAAATTCGGCTACTTACATTGAACTGTATATTTGTGTCCTTCTTCACTATTCGGTTCGATAATACGAAAATCACACATACTAATTTTAGGAAAATATTTTGATAGGGGATTCGAACGTAACATAGTCATTGTAAATATTTGCCGAAAACCTTGTATTGCTTCGTCAACAGTCCATTTTTGTGCAAGTAGAACACGTATAGCATACAATTGAATAAGCGCATTTAAAATATATAATAATTTAATAAATAAATAAAGAAAAAATAAATAGGCATTAAATGTGTTTGTTGCACCAATTAGACAATGAAATAAACCTTTTATATAAGCATTGAGACGGCTATGTTCTTGTTTGGATTTTTTTCGTGGATCACCAACATATTGATGAATTACTGAGACAAGATAATTCATGATGGATTTATGTTTATGAAAACGTTTCACACTTTTAAGATTCTGTGCTGCATCCATGAGATTTTTTACATCAATACCTGAATGACGACTGAACGAACGCCAACATAAACGTGGAAGTAAATATAATAATGCTTGTATAAGTAAAATAAATGGAACAAATTGATAGTATCGTAATACATAACGTTTTTCACTGACTCGTTGTATGCTCGGTTCACTTATATTGATATGATAAGTCTAAGGAGAGAAAAACCAGCATTATTTTTCTCCTGAAAAAAAGAGGCCCTAGCAATCTGTTCTTTCTTACATTATGAATCCAACAATAATTTGATACATAAATTTCATAATTTCGTGTAAATATCGCTGGTACCCAGCTAAAAAATTAAAGAAAATTTCTTTTGATATTTTTAATTTTTATTCGTACCATTGAATATGATCATTGGAAAATTGTTTACTAGCGACAACAATTGAGAAAAATATTAATAAACCCACGGTATACTTATAATTTAAACGATCCGAAAAATCGTCATCGCGTCGAACACCAAAATAACTTATTTGAGGTATACGATGAAAAGCATTAAGGATATCCATATTACTTCTACTTGAATTGATTAAGTGTTAGAAGATGTTTTGCTTGTGCGTTTACTTCTGTTGACAAACTAATCGTACAAAAATCAATCATTTAAGAAGTACTGACGAAAAGAATGACTACATATTTTCTTCTTCTCCTCTCTAACTCCCAGTAACTTACTTCTTCCTCTTCTTCTTCTTCTTCTTATTTTGGAGTCAACTATACATCGAGTGATAACAATAAGAATAGAAAGTACGTATGTTATTTGGCCAAAAGCGTCGATCGTTGAGGTTATACCAACTATACATATATTGCACTATTTTCTTAGTATTCTCTTTCTGCCTCTTTCTCATTGACTACACTAGCAGAAACTGTCTCTCATGTGCATCAAGCAGATAAATAAATCCATCTGTACAGTATCAGTAATGATAGACTTTTCTCTACTTTTTCCTTTCCCTTTTTTCCTCTCTTTCTCTTTCTTATGATTATTACGATGAGTCGACCTCAGTTAAGAGCAACTTATCATCAAGTCTATTCGTTTCTGTCGTTATGATCTATGATTGGCATGTATGAGGCAGAATAAGAAGAGAAAAGGTCTAGTTACTATGGTTTATTTCAAAATAGAATTGACAATTAATTAATGAAGATGTTAGACAAATAAAATCAGTGTACTATTCGTCTACGAATCAGCCAAATATTATTGATGCATGTAGCCGTAAGCATTTGTTTCAAGTCCATCATATTGCATGAGTAAAATAACATCGGCTGTTAGAGGGCGGGTAAATAAATTGATATATATAAGGAGCTGATGATGTTCCCGATGCCTGCCTTAATGATCGATGATGATGTTGTAGAGGGCTCTAGATAAAACTACATAATATGAAAAAAACAACGTTGAAAATTTATTGGGTCAAGAATAAGATTTTTGTTTTTGCTACAAGCACACAAAACTAAGCCGACTGATTTATTTTGTAATCTGTATATGTAGTCATGCAATGCATAAATAGAGAAAGTCTTTCGTTTTTTGATTTTTTCTTTAATAAATATACATAACTATTAATCGATTATATTTGAAGAATAAAAATAATAAATATATGTATGCAAAAAAAAAGAAGCTATTTGTACAAAGAGACAAAAATGTCCTTTTTGATCCACTGACTCGCTTATTGCATGTCAAAATAAAAATAAAAATAAAAATGAAACTATAATTGGCAAAAAAAGAAAAAAAATCAACATAAATGTGCGCAAATGTCTATGAAATCTCCTGAGTTAAAATATTTCATTGTCATTTTGATTTATCTATTGATAACAAAGATTAACCAGAGCCTAAAATAGATCGAAGTAAAAAAGATGAAGACAAAAAAAAAGAAAAGAATGCAATACATACGGATTTCACATAATGGCCCATTTAGACCTGGTGGACAACGACATGTTGGTGTTGCACTAACATAAACACATGTGCCACCAGCTTGACAATTGAGCGGACAATGTTTTTCATTAAATAATCGTTCAACTTAAAATTCAGAATAAAATTTAGTTTTCTTTCTCATTTTTGTTGAGTTACAAAAAAAACATACTTCGTTCACATAAAACACCGGATGTACCCCTTTCACACATACATTGTGCACCGCTGCTTGTTGTAATACATTTAGCGTTGTTCATACATGGATTCTTTGGTGAACATGATTTTGGTCGGTTCACTATTGAAGGAAAACAGAAGATCACGTTAAATTTCATAGTACGAAAATGAGAAAAATATTTTACTGAATTCGCATCGTGATCCATAAAAGTCATTTGAACATGAACAAAAAGCTTGACCAGCTTGTTTTTCATCAATGTAACATTGACCACCATTAAGACAATCTTTATTACATGTTTTCGATATTAATGATCGAGCACTGCGTCCTAAATATATATTTAATTAGAATATTCATTTCATTGTGTTTTTCAACATACTATGTTGACAATAATATCCTTGAAAACTATCTGGACACCAACATTTTGCTACATTATTATTTTGAACAGCACATCCTCCATTATTTTGACTGTAGAGTAAAAAAAAGAATATCTTAAAGTAATTCAACCGAACGCAAAAACAAAAAGAACACACCATGGATTTGGCGCACATGGATTGGTTACAACAGCAACTGGACATGGTGCTGTAACACATGCACAGTTGGTACCACATGGTGCACGTGGAGCAACAGTAGTAGTTGTTGTTGTACTTATTACTAGAGTAACAAAGCAACGATGAATAAATGATCAAAAACATATGACAAAACAATTTACTTTGTTGACAATTAGTGCCAGTATACGGAAATGAACACGAACAGATGTAACCAGTTGTTGTTTGTGTGCAAAGACCATTGTTAGCACATGGATTTGGCATACAATAATTACGAGATTCACATCGGGTACCATAGAATCCATTTGGGCATTGACAAAGAAATGCTATTAAGATCAATATATATGTGTAGTTGTTTTTATCAATAAATAATAATAAGCTTACTGTTGCCCGTTGGAATACACTGACCTCCATTTTGACAAACTGACTGAGCACATGGATTGAATGGTGTTGTTGTAGTAACACAAGTTTCACAACAAAAACCAGTAAATGTAGATGGACATATGCACATAAATGAGGAACCTTGTGGAATACATGTTCCTCCGTTTTGACATGGCGATTGAGCACATGGATTGAATGGTGTGGTTGTTGTTATACGATTTTCGCAACAGAAACCATTGAATCCTGTTAGGCACATACACGTAAATGATGAGCCTTGTGGAGTGCATATTCCACCGTTTTGACAAGGATTTGGTTGACAAGGTGTAGGAGCTACAAGAGACACACATATAACTTGAATTAATGAACGAGAAAAATAGTATTCAATCGCATACCTGGTGCTTCACAACGATTACCAGTAAATGTTGCTGGACAATTACAAATGAATCCTTGGCCTATTGGAACACATTGACCACCGTTGACACCTAATGAAGATTGATTTTGTTGAATTTTACTTAGACTAAACAGATTTCGATACTTACAGGGATTAAATGAACAGGGGTTTCGTGGTTGAACTAAAACAAAATAAGAAATGTTTCTTCTTATTATTATTATTACAAGATGATAGACATTCATACCTGTTGTAGTTGTTGCTGGTTGACATTGAGAATTGCCACAATAACATTTTATTGTGTTAGCAACAACGGCACAAGCACCAGTATTACAAAATGAGCATCGATATTGTCTTGGCATAATCATAGGTCCAAGTGCGCGTGCTTCAGCTATGCTCGCAGCCATAGTTATATTAAGAAGAGCATCAATATCAGCATCGAATAGATCAGTATCATTGGTGGCATCCACTGGATATTTAATTTAAATATGAATTATTGAGGGAGAGAGCGAGAGAGAAAATAAAATAATTACCGGCTATACGTTTTTGATTTATTTTTTGGCATCTTTCAACATATTCTGTTGAAAGACATGTTCGAAGTGATTCTTCCCAGGCTGTACCAGAAGGACATGTAAATCGAATACGGATATTATGAAAGCATCGAATGAATTTTGTACAGCTTCCTGCATCAGCTGAGAAATCTTCACATATTTCTGCAAATCAACAAAAAAAACAATTTGCTTTTGTCTAATAAATAGATCTCTTTATCAAATAACTTACGTTGACCAGTAATAGTAATAATCAATGTAGCAATTGTACAGAAAACGGTATATTGGTTTGCGAATAGCATTGTTCGTGGTAGTATATTCAATAGATGAAATGATGATACAATGAATGACAATTGAAGAAATCGATCGCTTTTTAAAGTAAAAAAAACCGCTGTGATTCTCACAAGTAAAATCAATGCGTGGTAGTTAGGTTAGTCATGTGTGCATACTCGTATGCATTGGGTTTAACACCACGCAAAGATCATCTGCATCTCCACGTTCGTTTGTTATGACGGAATTTCAGTCAGATAATGTAGGCGATATCATAATCTTCTTGTTGCCTATTTTTATGTTTTTTTTCCATTTCTTAATAATAAGCAAAATCAGAGAACAAAGATGAGGGCCGAATGTGATTATGTGTGTGAGTCGTGTGGTGATATTTAATTTAGACGAATGTTTGATTCATTGATAATCCTTTCCTTTTCATGTGTACGGCGTACCGTCATATGCTTAGTTCGAAATAAAGAACAACAATAAATAAACGAACGCATAACAAAGTCTTCTTTCAAAACAATAACAGCGCGTAGGTTTGATATGTGTAATTAACCACAATCGGTTTTTCTTTTACTTTAACTGTCAAATCAATCTTCTTAATTATTTCTTCTGTTGTTATTGTACAAACATTATCTTTCAAACAAAAAAAAAACGGAAAACAGAAAATATGTTCGCAAATTTGGATAAATCTTTGTGTATATATAAACTAAAATTTATGTTCATAATAAATAAACAAATTCGCTACAAATATAATGTTAAATCGAACTATGAAAGTTTCCATTATTTTACTTGTTCTTGTTGGATTTCTATTGAGTTCGATTGGATTCCTGCGTTTATTTTATAATCCCATTGAATTTACGAGTGAAGATTTGCAAGATGATATTATTCCGCAACATTATCAACTTGAATTCATTGATCATGTTGATCATTTGATTTGTCGTTTAAACATTCTTTTTCAATTGACACAAAATCGAAAGCAACTTCGAATTAGACAACCTATTGATCATACAATAGAACGTTCTTCTATTATTCTTTACGATAAACAAAGTTCAATACCAATAGAAATTCAAATTGAAAATAACCAAATTATAATTAAAAAACATGCATGGAAAAGTATTTTCTATCAAGGAAATTATACAATTGCAATCAGCAGTTATATCAATCTACGAAAAGAAAATTTTATTCATCAAACATGGTCATCAAAATATCGAATTTTATTTACTAAAAATTATTTATTTCCTCATTTTTCACATTCATATTATCGATCGACATTTAATATCAAAATAAATAGTTCTGATTATATTATTTCTAATCTGCCTCTGCATAAAACGAGTTCACCATTTGAAATATCACATGTGGCTTTTACTTTACTTCATCAATATGATTGTCGATCCATGAGCATTCTTCAATTATGTTTTCCAGTTATTAATGCATCGTATGAAATCGATTTATATTCGCATTTATTTAATTATACTTTAAATGCCATTCAAATATTTGAAACATTTTTCTCACAAAAATTTTCATTGAATAAATTAACATTAGTTACTGTTTTAGAATTGAATGATGAGATTATATCCAAGCCTGGTTTAGTATTTATCGATCAAAATGCTTTACTAGTTAATACATCAGCTGAACAAATAATTCAGCAGCATGAATTAATTTTTTTAATAGTAGCCTATCAATGGATGGACGCAACAATTCAATTTGATCAAGATACAAAATGGTTTAGTGGAAGTCTAGCGAAAAATATTGCTCGTCATTTGTTTCACAGAATCAACGATCCTATTGAAAATAAGGATTCACATATTGAACGATTTATGTCCACAGTTGTACGTGATTCACTGTGTAATATTAATTCAGTTGAAGAAGCGAATGATGTCAAGTAAGAATTCTTGATTAAAATAATGTGCAGATTGTTTTCATATTTATTCTTCTTGCCAGCGTGTGATGTGATAGAATAGAATTTTTTCGATGATCTTTAACTATGAAAATAGATCATAGTTGGAGTTTTTCGCACAAATTTTGTTCTTTTTTCAATTGCCTCTTGACATTTAAGAAAAATTCGGCTAGGAAGTAAAAAATAACTTGATGACAAGTATTACCGAATTGCGTCTGTTGATATATAAATTAATTAAGTCTATACATTTGCATGTGTTTAGATTCGAACATGTTTTAATTGCAAAAGGTGAGGCATATTTAAATGAATATAGATTATATATTGGCGATGATCAATTTCATACACGAATTCAACAGTTGATTCAACAGTCACATGATAGTTTTATTAATCAATCTGCTTTATTCTCAATTTTCTTTCCTGATGTATCATCATTTTTAACTTTGCCAAAACTATCCGGCCATCCAATAGCTCTCATGAATTCATCAACACTTGATATGCATTTATTTAAATTCAATCAAAATTGTTCATTACCAATATCATCAACTCATCCAATAATAGTCTATCACCTTCTCAATGATTCTTTTCTCTCAGTCATGAATTCTTCGCAAATATTTTCAAATTCTTCTTCATTTGTAGTACCATTTAATCCATTTATACATATGTTTTATTCATCATGGAATCATCTCGTCGATGCAATTAAAATTCTTCATCATCAACCATTCCATTCATTCTCTAAACTTCTATTGGATAGTTTTCTATTCAATCTTGCTAGTCAAATACCCATTAAATATTTTTTACAATTAATCGATTTATTTTTTCAACAACCGATTATAAGTATAACAAAAAATGATTTAGTTCTTATACATAAAATTCTTCAATGGTACCGATCAATGTTATCTAATTCAGTTGAAGAAAAATTTTTGGTTTTCCTTCGAAAAATTCTCAATCCATATTGTTCAAATCAACTATGGACACGACAACTATTAATCGATGTAAAATATTATAATCAACAAATTATAAATGATATTCTTTTAGAATTATGTTGTTCAATCAATCATTCGATATGTTTACAACATATACCAATCAGAAATGATCCACAAATACTTCTACAATTTATTTTTAATAATCAACGATTCGGTTAAATTTTTTTGCGAAAATTTTCTTACCGTTTATTTTTCTGTTTAGATTTACAACCAGAAAAATCAATAGACTATCATCTAAATCAAACTAATATGCTAACAAGTTTTAATCAACTTCGAATACCATCGCTATTTATATATCCTGATCGAATTACAATGAATATTGTTTGTCAAACAGTTCGCCAACAAAATGATAAATACTGGTATGATCTTATTCATTTCCTAGAACAAAAATTTCAATATCAATCTATTCCATCATCGATTGTAACTGGTTTATCTTGTGCTATTCAAACAAAAGAACAGATTGATTTTTATGTTAACAATCTATGTCCACCATCACCATTTAAATGGACATGCTATCGAAATATTCTTACATATTCATCAATAAAAGATTTTGAACAACTCAAAACTATAGACAAAGAAGAATGGCCACAAAATAATGATGAACTCATTGATTTTTTATTTCATACTAATATTAAACAAGGAAATTTTAGTTTACATCCAATGATTCAGGAATTTCAATTATTAGCTTTCACATGGTTGACTACCAATCAATATGAGCTTTTACATTGGCTTGACAATGAAAATAATCAAAATGCATATTTAATTTAACTTGACACACGATCAAGAACTTTCTTTCTTTCTTTCTTTTTCCAAATACGGAAACGACTAGTGTATTCAAAATAATAGTAAATACATATGCTTGATTATATAGTCGGATACACCGTTCTATTTGAGTAATAGCAATTCTTTTCATCTATTATCAATGACGTTGACAGAACGGAAAACGGGGTTTTAGTGCAAGCTTTGGAATTGCTACTCTAAAATTCTTTTTCGTCTTGTTTTATTTTTTTTATTGAACGAGAGCAGCGATGTCGACAACGCCGGATTCTTTTGTCAACGATGGCAGCGCACACACGCACATTCATATTTATATCTATACGATAAAAGAAAAGAGACAGTCGACCGCGAAGAGGATAAAAAAAAAGGAAAAAAAGATAATTTAAAAAGGCACACTCCTAAGCATAAGGACACAAAAATGAATAATAGCCATTCTTGTCTTTCATCTTTGTTCCTGTAGGTTGTTATATACTAGGTGTTGATGTGCATAGGTTATTAGTATAGAGAGTGTCACTTGTTTTTCGAGTATATATAACCCACCGCTCATTGAATGCGATAGATAAAAAGGTAAGAAGAAACGCCTGAAGCTATCATTTTTTTCCTTTCACTGATTTTCACTGATCTCTCTTCATCGCCATCTTGATTGCATCAATGCACATGCACGCACAGGAAACTTGCTACGATGATGATCTACTGTGTTTTTTTTCTTCTCTTCAGTGTTTCTCTCTAAGCTATTTTACAATCGAAGGGCATATGTGTATGCGCAAGGTCTATGTGATGACAAGTAGCATCTAATCTTGTTTATTTGTACTCCTGAGAGCTTATAAAAAATGTATGGATATTATCAATTTCTTTTTTTTTAAATTTTTCCACCACATGCAAGTGTTTGTTATTGTCGTTCATCGTTTCTTTCCGAAATAATTATAAAGATTGCTAGCAGTCTCTATTGTCTTTTCTTATTCACGCGGATTAGGATGGGGAAAAAAAGAAAGAACAAGCAGAAGAAGACAACGAGTGAGACATTTACAGAAGAATGCTTATAATATTTGTTAACTCGGATCGGGGTTGGACTTATTCATTCAAGCAAATGAAATCGAAACCAACCGATGAACAACCTAATTGGCTGCCATATGAGTAGATAGAGAGAGAGAAAAATGGGACATGACATTTTGACAGAAGTTCACTCATCATCATCATCAATGCCATATAGATATAGAAACACAAGCTGTCTATCGATGGCCCTGATAGTTATAGTACGTGTGTAACAGCCGGGCCGGCAAACATACATTCTAATTACATGGGCAGAAGGAAAACGACTATGTTAGTGTAAAAGTTAATGACAATAACTTGTTTTTTCGATCTTGAATATTAAAAACAAAACAAAAAAGGAAAAGACATCCTCCCATCGCACAGCACGTATATGTAAGAACATTATCTCTATTGTACAGCAACAATACAGTTTACAGATGATAGTAAATACGTGGATTATATTAATAACTCTCATTCCTATATAAAACGAGACTGAGCAAGCAGCGAAGAAGAAAAGGCTACAGAGAGAGAAGTCGCCGAACGATAAGAAATAGAAAGAAGGAAATCGTTGCGAGTTGTTCTTTCTTTAGCATCTCAATTACATCATGACAAAAGAAAAAAAAACAGATGAATTGTGTTAGAGGAAAAAGACGATGAAAGAAAAAAAGAAAAAAGAAGAATCAGTATACATTAGTTGACTCTTCAGATGTTATATTGAATATATACAGCGACAAGCAATATGATACCGTCGAACGGTCATACATGTGACGGTGGCAATCGTACATTACGTTGGTCACAATTTTGTGATGGAATAATTGATTGTCATGATCGATTTGATGAAGAAGGACACTTTTGTAGTAAGTTCAAATTATTATAATTATATATTTATATTTTTTTTTCTCCTTGGTTTTTACATAGAACATTGTGTCAATAATCTCTATTCATGTCCTCCTGAAGATGACATACGCTGTGATTTAGCTTGTAATATGCTTCGTTATGTACCTTGTCAAATGATACAAGATCGTCGTGCATGTAATAGTATTCAATCGAATTGTAAATATAACTAATTATTATTTTTTTATATAAAAAAAATTATGTTCGACTTTTTTCTTCTTCTCAGACGATCAATATTCACCATATCATTTGCTCAAGAATTTTTATTTTTATATTGGTATGTTGATATATCATCATGTCAGATTTGCTTAATCTAATTTTCTTTCAATTATTCAGCTGTTGCCATCGCTACTGTTGCTATGCTTCTTATTATTACCGGTATTATCCTACTGATCAAGTATCTTACGCGTACATATCAACGGCGAATAACTAGATCGTCCGCGAAAGTAAGAATTTCTCTTTTTCTCTATTTTTTTTTATATCGAAAGACTTTCTTTTAATCATTATAGACAGTATATACTCCTTCGGCTCCAGCACCGCCACCATCTTACCTATCGACTTTACATAATAGAGCTGAAACAGATACATTATCTAGTCATATCTATGAAGAATGTTATGCACCGCCTCCATACGAAAAAGCTCATAAATATCCAATGACAAGAAGATACTACGAGCATGCATTATGATAATTCTTACGGAAATCAAAAATTTTAGTTTTTTATTTGTTGCTATTTAAAAAGAAAGAAAGATACTCAAAATATATGAATATTATGAATCCAGAAATTGTTTTTCATCCGTTCCAGTAAATATTCGAATGGCATGAATATTTGGCAATTGTTTTTTAAGTGCTTCGGATACTAAACGATGTTGATTAACCATACGCATATTGGCAAATTCATCGGTTACGACAACGATTTCATAACTTGCCCCACAACCAGCTAAAAGCAAAACAGAATAAAAAAAAAACATATTAAGTCATTGATGAAATTCGAACTTCAGTTATTCTATTGTCGAAAGGAAAATGCATTCCTAATTATTAACCTTCTTCCAACATCTTTATGATATAGGCGAATTCAAATTTGTAATTATCATTAATACTGAACTTAAGAAAGGATTATATATATATAGCAACTTGTTTTTTTTTATGCAAAAGAATTACGGGATTAGATTAGATATATTTATAATAAGATTTTTTTGTGTGTTGTTCTTCCTTGATAAATGAGCTTCTTTTCTTTTTTTTTAATCTACAAACCAGACCATATGAATTGTATTATGAATAGCGGTTTTATCAATCGAAGAGTTGACTCTAGAGCATGATGAAGAAAAAAGAACGTTTTTTTTTCACATATACTCGTTTTATTTTCATTGTAATATAAATTTCTTTGGTATAAAATGTTTGAAATGAATATATGCAGCCGGTCTTCTGTAATTGATGACTTTGAGTCTCATTAATTTTAATTATTGCTACTTACCCGATTCTTCTCCTATCCGGAAGTAACTCTAATAGGTCATATAATAAATCAGCATCATAATTGACTTCGTCTTACAAACTCTATTATGAAATAGTGAAACTTATCTTTTCAACTGCATCGAGTCACTTGAGAAAAGTATGAGTCATCGAGCACAATAGGCCGGAAGTAAGGTATCTTTAGAATGCGTATCCGATTCCGATTACAAAATTCTCGATGCGATGCGTTAATCAAAGTCGTCGATACAAAACAAATCACATATATTTACCAGAAGTATCTTTGATGTCAATAAGACGAGCATTTGGAAAACGTACTTTTAAAACATCATTCAATACCGTTTCAGCTTCAGTTTTTGACGATGATGATGATGATGTATTAATACTAGCAAATCGGAATAAATTTAGATTAGCTTGATTTCTAATCAAATTTGAAAGATTAAAACGACTGAGATATTTTGCAATCATCTAGAATACATTTTTTTGTATGTTTGTATATATGTATAAGATAGAAATACTTTTTATTAATCGTTCCCGAACAAAAAAAAAACAAAAGACAAGAAATGAAATGGTACCCAAGTACACTACATAGGTGTACATAAATAAGGAAAACTGACTAACAGATCAAAAAAGAAAAAACAGCAAAGCCTTTTACCTCCTTCCGTTTTTTTTTCTATACAATGATGCACATACATGAAAAATAGACTTTCATAATAATGGAAACGTAAATAATTCTAGTTAAGAAACAAAATATTGATTTGCAGTTAAAATAAGCGCATTTATATTAATGATGATTACTATTTTTCAAGTGCTATGAATTTTGACAAGATGTTACAGTTTAGTCACTTGAATATTTGTAGTAGCAGATGGTGCTGTTGGTGATAATGGTGGATTCGTATTATTATTTAGATGAATTCTACTCGATAAACGTCCAAAACGTAATTCAATACACAAATCTTCAATACGTTCATTTTCATTATCAATATTTCGTTTAATAGCTTCGATTTTCGTCTAGAAAAAACAAAAACAAGAGCATTTTATTATTTCAATTTTCACCCGGCATGTAGTTAGAGAAATGATGCAATTTTTCTTTTTTTTTGTTTAGTGTACCAAATCGAGTTTGAACTTAAATATTAGTCTATATAAGAGACATTTTTCAACTCGCTATTCAAATTTCTATGTCCAAAAAAGCGCGGATCTCTCATATAGAGGACACAAAAAAAAACTAATGTATACATTTAGTCTGATAGATTACGACCTGTCTTCTCAACAGAAACCTTATACTTTCAAATGATTTATTATAAACAAAATCGATTGTCTGTTACCTCCAATTGATTATTTTGTTTGATGGTATTCAATAGTTCCTGTAAAATATCTACAGTTTGATTTGATGATGCATCATTTTCTGCTGGTGCTGTCATTGCTGGATTTGTAGTAGGTAAATCAGATGATTTCTCATTCATTTGTTGTTCCAATTTAGTTAAATTTTCTTTTTCGGTCATAAATGAATTATAAATTGCTTTTACTATAAAAGAAAAGCTAAGTGTAAATACTAGATACAAAGAATAAAATTTACATCGTGCGAGAATACGAGCTTCAGCAATTTTTTCTTTTAGTAATTCTTCTTCTGGCACACCAGCATGACTATCAAGAATTTTGTGTATATGACTAATTAATTCATCATCATCGGTTTCAACTCCACTTTGTTCACGTTGTCGAATAGGCTTCGGACTTATCGGAACATTTGATAGTTTTGGTGTTTCGTCATGTGATCCAGGCGTTTGCTGAGTTTTCGATGTTTCCTCTCGTTTATTAACAATTAAAATAACTTCAGGTTGATGAGATGTAGCTAAAAGATGAGCAAGCCATAGAAATAAATTTGTTTTTTTAACTTTTCGATTGCAAACAATTACTTGATTCAGGTAGTGAAACACTAGCAGCTATTGCGGCCGAATGTTCAAGAAATGATGAAAGACGATTTGGTTGTAAACGACGAGTTTCTTGTTTAATCTATTGATAAAAAAAAATGAAATACAAGTACAGCATGAAAAATCTTCTTCATTGAAATAGTCAAATGATGTTCGTTTTTACATCATCGAAACTAGAATAACAAAGGACCTCAACCATGAGCTTTTCCATTCAAAACGAGTGTAAAAATGCAGAATAATTTGCATCGAGCACTGCACTCACTGCTAAAACAAGTTTTAATCCAATCTGAAATTATCTATAATTAAAATGTTCGAAAATAGCAATGTGAACTTTTCTGATTTAAACCCTTATCTAGTCATGAGACAAAAAAAATGCTTTTTCTTGTTTGCAGACTAAGAAATAGAATTCAATTGATTGAACCATTGCTTAAATATAAATTCCGGAACTTCTCGTGCATTATTTCAGTTCATTTAATAATCTCAATTTACAATGTTTCCGTTTTCTGACTCGATTGAATAAACTGAAATACCTTTCGTTTAAGCGCTGTAACAAGCCGTTGTTGAGTCCATAATTGTTCTTCTTTATCTTTATCCACATTCGTTGGTGTTGTTGTTCCGTATGTTGATGAGACAGGTTGAGATTTTTGCATATCTTCATGCATTTTATTTAATAATGTTTCCTGTTTAGCTAATTCTGCTTCTAGTTCTCTGCAGTCAAAAACAGACGATAGTTGACTGACAATAAAATAGAGCTCAACACTTACTCAATAGTTTCCGAGTGAAGTGAAGATCGTGAGACATTTTTATTTAATGAACCTCTAAATAGCAGGAAAAAAAGAATTATTTATAAAAAAAAAGAAAAGAAAATCTTCATCAAAATAAATACCGAGATGATTCCGGCCGATCGAATAGATCAGGTGCATGTTGTATTAAATATTTAACAGTACGATCTTTACTTTTAATCAATGCAGCTATAGAACCAAATATAAATGATGATTCACCACTCTTTGATGATGTTGGAGTAGGAGACATTGCATGTGGCTGATGAATAACATCATGTAAATGAAGAAATAATAGACGTATTGTATCGCGATTTGATTTTGGAAGTTTTTGTAAATGATTTCGAATTTCAGAAAAGCGATTACCATCATGACCTAGAAAATTCATGTTTTTTAAAAAAGTTTAAGAAAACCCTTCCGTTTATTACCTGGATCATTGATAATTTTAAAGATTGCACTACTTAATTCAGTTGGTATTAATTGTTCAGGTAATTCTTTAAGAAAACGTTTAAGTAAACTAACAGCAAATGCTGGTGTTAATGGTTGTTTTAAAGCGTTTTCAAGATCAGCTGGTTGTTTGATTTTTACTGGTTCTTGCCGATAGACACTATCTTGTGGATGAGCTTTTCATATGCGCAAAAACAAAAATTACGAATGTTCTACTAGAATAAATCTTTACCTTGCTCAATAATATTTATACAATCAACTAAAAACCTTGGTACAGATAGATCATCATTTTGTAATGGATTATGTTTAGTAGCTTCTTCCAGTGATAAACCGATTATTAGACGAAGTTGTTCGACTAAACCTAGAGGAAATTTACAAGATTATTCTTTGAAATATGAAAAAGAATCATGATTGTAGAAAAGAATTCTATATCTTTCTAGGTAAAACTACTAGCGGCGTAACCAGGATTTTAAGCTACGGGGGGGGGNTCTTTTCTCTTTACTGTTGTTGATCAAGACGAAAGTTTCGTTGTTGAACAGATAAATGACGATCGATTACTCACATTGTACAAAGACGACATAAACAGAACAGAATTGTTCTTTTTCTTTCTTCTTTACTATTGTTGATCCGGAATAACATCTAGATTGTGTTCTCTAACACAAAAGCCGCTCGAAAAATTAGAATAACATTAAATAACAGCTAAACAGAAATATTTCTAGGGGGGACTCAAGCAGTTCTGGAGGGGGCTGAGCCCCCTCCAGCCCCCCTCGTGGTTACGCCACTAAAAACTACTAGAAGAAATTGAGATAAAGAGTCGAGCACGTTTCTATTGAAATTTGTAATGATAATCAGGTTTTGAGACAGCCAGAATGCTTGGTTAATGAATAGTTCTGATAATATTTCAAACAAAAGAATCTATTCAATAGAACAGACAAATAACACAAACAGCATGAAGCTCCGCTTATCAAGAAATATCTAAATAATCATGCCTACGTGCAATTGTATTAAGACTCGAATCATCGAAAGAGTGTGACCAATTTTTATCTCTATGCATTTTCAAATAGAAATAAAAGAACATCGAGGAACCAACAAATATTTGATAAAACACATCTATGCTGTTCATTGACTTCCAAGGTGTTTTGTAAGCATTTGAATTGCAAGAGCATTATGGAAGAAAAAACAATAATCAAAATCCCATTCGCCAGAAAAAAAAGTAATTCTATTTGCAGTTAAATTGTCGATTCTGATAGCGAGGTACACTCTGCTTCCCAGCAACTCATAATTGCTGTGAGATTTTACACTAATAATCTTATCCGACAGATATAAACCTGGTCTGAACATATTTAACTAACCTGCAGTACTTGCAACACTATCACGATTTGCCTTTGATTTTCGTTTTTCATCTTTTAAACCTAAAAAGAATATTGTTGATATGAAAGTTTAAGAAATTTGCTTTACTTGATCGTCGTTCTTTCTGATCTGATGCAACTTTGGTTTTTGTTTTAATTAATTTGAAACCATTTTTTTTCTTTGGTCTCAAGAGACTTTTGAAATCTTGTGCAGTCGTTAGAGCTTCTTCACTGGCTTCAGTACCAATTAAAAATGTGCTACTCTTTTCTTTTGATATAAGCGTTTTTGTTGAAAATAATTTCCGTTTACGATCGCGTTCGTCGTCACCTAATCGATTATTTTCCTTTAGAAAAAAGACGAGAACATTTAGTTATTTTACAAACCTTCGGTTGGGTCACGATCATCTGATAGCGTACTCATATTGACGTGCTACAGATATCTAAAAACACAAAAAAAATAGATTTTATTACTGAAATCAAACGCACTGAATGATTTGACTTGATAACTGTAGTTACGCACATGTTACACATGTAGAAATATAGTTAGTTAAAAATTAAAGTTATCTATAAAAAAGTTATTTATAAATCAAAATTACGAATTATTAATTAGCAATAGATAATGAAAATTGATAGGAAATAATTTGTAAACAAGAAATATTCCATAGTACGGTTATATCGTAGCCGTGGCGCTATAGTCCAAGTGAATAGGAAAAAACTTGTTATTATTATTCGGAACCAATTAAATAAAATGTCGCTGTTTGATACTACCATAAAAATTTTGTTCATTATTTTTTTCACTATAAAATCTTAATAGAAATTTGTTTTTGATTTTTGTAGAAATAGAAGTCTCCTTTAAGAAAAGGACACTATAGACGAAAAAGGTTAGATTTTGATTGGTTCGTTCAATGTTGGTTGATTGTTGTACTTATTCATATCCATGTTTTGTTTTTATCGAAAAATCTAAACCTCATCATTAACTACTGCAATGTCTTCTATAAATCTTTATCTTTTTCTTCGTATAGAAGAACGATTATAAATAAAACGGTTTGATTTTTTAGTTTTCTTTGATCAATTAATTGAAGGAGTTTTGTGTAGTCGAGACGGAAACTGCAATTTTAATAAAATTATCATTGAAGACTTAAAACAAATAGTTAAATTTTCTTTTCAGATAATACTTGTATTAGTTCTCTTGCAACAACAAAATGGCAGCACGCGGCTCAGCACGTAACTCACGTTTAAATAAAAAACCAAAGAAAACCAAATTACGTGGTACGTTAACATGAATCTTTTTAATAAATTTTTCTCCATGGAAACAATTAACTACTTTAAGGTAATGTCTCACATGGCCATGGTCGTGTTGGAAAACACCGAAAGCATCCAGGTGGTCGTGGTAATGCTGGTGGTCTTCATCATCATCGTACACTTTTCGACAAATATCACCCGGGCTACTTTGGTAAAGTTGGTCAACGTGAATTTCATAAACTTAAAAATCGTCGATGGTGTCCATCCATTAATCTTGATCGTGTATGGTCATTATTAAGTCAACGTGCACAAGAAAAATGCACCGAAGGAGAATCAACCGTTGCTCCAGTTATCAATGTTGTACGATCCGGATATTTTAAGGTGTTAGGCAAAGGTGTTTTACCTAAACAACCACTTATTGTTAAGGCTAAATTTTTCTCAAGACGAGCTGAAGAAAAAATAAAAGCTGCCGGCGGTGCGTGTGTATTATTGGCATGAGACATTTAAATATCGTTTTGTCTCAATTAAAAGAAAACAAAAAATAAATAAATTATCATCATCATTTTTTTTTCGTTTGTATTGCGATATTGTTGCTTGTTTACTTTGTTTTCCTAGAAGCACATAAAAGACAAATGAAAATTGAATATATAAACAAACCGAAAGCATTTTGTTTGTTTTTTCATAACTATCGATATCCAAGAATCGAATTAAATCAAGAAAAAATAGACTTTTTAGGTTATGCTTTTTTTTTAAAGAATCTTTATACTAAAATATTCACAATGGAAAGAGCGCACGTTATTCCCGTGGAAGAATATAAAACACTTCAAGATTGATTCGCCGAATTACGAAGCAGAAAATTGCGATTTAAATGTTTGCCTATATTCTCCGATGAGCTTTATGGCGATGATAAACCCTATTTCAATGAAATATTCATAAGTTTCTAAATTAAACATGTTAAATACTACATTATATGCATAACGAACTTCCAATACATTATTAGTAACAACTTGTATTTAAAAATAATTCTTTTATCTAGAAGATCTTATTTTAGATCAGAATGCACTGAAAATCTTCGAGTTACATCGAACAAAATTTTGTTTTACATAATAAATGTGGTACTTTTCTAAAAACAAAAGCAAATCATGAATTCTCTAAGTACCTATAAATTTACATTACTCACAAATATGTTCAATAAAATCTTTATATTTTATCAGTTTAGGATATAAAACTGCATAGGGCAAAAGAATATTCAGCGCAAGATAAATTTTTAAATGAAATTTAAATATTTATGCCAAAAGAAGTGTACTGAAAATAATTATATTTTATCAGTTTAGGATATAAAACTGCATAGGGCAAAAGAATATTCAGCACAAGATAAATTTTTAAATGAAATTTAAATATTTATGCCAAAAGAAGTGTACTGAAAATAATTATATTTTAAGACAATTAACCATAGACTATTCAAGAAAACGTTTTACGCATTCATGTATAAAATTGACTGGCACAAAATTTTTTAAATAATATAGATTCATCCTTTATTTTTTGTCATATCTATAATTGTAGGATAAAAACTGAGGTGTATACTTGAAAAACAGGCATTTGATTTGCAACGAAAGTATATGTAACGAACCATGTGCTTATCGTTTGTGTGTGAACGATTGAATAGCCTAATTACGAGAAAAGAATTATTACATCTTGAGTTCTCGATGTTATTTATATATTTTTCATTATTTATCATTGTTAAAATACTAAAACTAAAGATTAAATTTAGAATTTTCACTGATTATAAGCCATACACTCAGATCGACGTCGGATTATTTTCTATAAATATATATATATATATATATTTAAATGACCTTTATTATTAGTTTTTTTTTGTTAAAACATGAATACAGTAAAAGAAATATAATCAAGTAAAGATAATTTTAACACATTTCATAAAAAAAACAATAGTATTAAGTAATTTAAACTAAAATATTTGTGTCTTTTTTCTTCTTCACGTATATATAGATAAGATCAATAGCAAAAGAAAATGAAAATTTAAACAATTAGCGACAGACGACTTTATCACACAAGTATTATAGGCGAATAAAATGAAAAAAGGAAATCAACGATTAATAAAGCTCACAATAGAGAGAGAGAGAGAGAGAGAGAGAAGAAATTAAAAAAAACAGAAACACCGGCATAATGAGAGATAGAAACAAATCTTGGAAACAAATACTTAGTCTATGAAGAGATGGAGGGGGTAAAATAGAAAATAAAAACTCATTTACTATTCTTTAAGAGAGGAGAGAAAAACAAGAAATATACGTTTATGTGCGTTAGAGCAAATCATAAAAGGACATTTAGACGCGTCCAAGCGTGGTACATGACAAAAGCGATTAGATTGCACATCTAATAATAATAATAATAATAAGAAAAATGCAAATGCTCTATTCTTGATTATAATTAATTTTTTGTTTTATTCATTAGATGCTTTATAACGTTTATTTGATGACGAGGATGTTTGTCCGTTCATATATCTTCCAGGAGGAGATTTTCTTGGCGATTGTTGACTAAATTCAGGTTTATCATTGATTTTCGATGATGACGAAGATTTTCGTTGTTGCTCAGTAATAGCTATTATTATATCACCACGTTCTAATTGACGACATTTTAAACCACACATATGATGTGTATGCTCAGGTGATATAGACGACCAACATGAATATTGATGAACGAAAAATGGTACAGCTTGCAGAACATAACAAGAAGCCTAACATTGAAAAAAAGAATAACCCATTTTCATTTCACAAAAATAAATTCAATTCAATTACCGTTTTCCCGATATCATCAACATAGAAGCGTAGTTCGACTCTACCAGTTGACTTATCAACAGAACCAATATAATCTACTCGTGCCAGAAGACTAAAAAAGAAATGATAATATACATAATTAAACAGCGGCTTTTGAATAACATTCTAACCTTGAATATTGACGACTTTGTTTTGCACTTTTTAAAAAGTCATGTTTTGTTAATTGTTGAATATTTTTTGATTCACCTGTGTCTAAATTAACTATTGTATCACGATGAAATTTTTTCAAAAGTGTTTCATCATAGGTTTGTAGATGTGAAGGTTTCGGTAACACACGTGAAGAATATTGATGAAGAGGATCATTACGTGAATAATAATCACTAGAAGAATTATCTGACAATTGATCAGTTGTTAATGTTGACGTTAAAAATCGATGATAATTCCACGCACGAAGGAGATCCGTATAATTTAATGACGATGTTGTTGGTGGTGCAACGTCAGGATAAGAATAATAATTATTCGAATTGGCTACAGAAGAATTAACAGATGAACTACGATAGAAATTCGACGATGCTAAATTTGGATTGGATCGATCAACGACAAAAGGTGTAGACGAGAGACTCATTTTACAAGCCATAGTTTTTGTTGCAGGATCCATATATTGTTTTTTAGTTATCTAAATACTTCGTATCGTTGATTCCACGTACTACTAAAATAAGAAAATTTATTAATCTGTCACGTCAAATATTATTAATGCATTAGTAACATAGAAAAGAAAAGCTTTTTTTCTTTTCTTTTCTTTCTTATTCTTACATTCAGATCGATTATTCTAAACTATTTCTAATTGAATAAAAACCTGTTCTATTGAAAAAGTTCTATGTTAAAATCAAGGGAACCTATTATAATGATTTATGTTTAGCCAGAGAGAGACAAAAAAAACGATAGAAGGTCATCGAGAAGCATCTACTATAATACTAGTACCGTAGTTGATGATTGCTTGTGTCAATTGGCAAACCGATAGACAACGAAAAAGAGATTGTTTTTGGCGAGGACAGGAATGAGGAGGAATGCGAATAAGAAAGAAAAAACCCAGAGAAACAAAACATACGTTCTATTACAACCAATGTAATGATGACTCTGTAAAGAGAACATATGCATGCACAAAAATATGCACGATCAACAAAACGTTTTACGAATCTGAATCATACAACACAAAGATTGTCAGAATTTTATCATAATAGAGTTTTCAATATATACCATAACATATTTGAATACCATTGAAATACAGAAGAAAAAAAAACAAGACCACAAGTGAACAAGAAAGGCTATCTAGTAAGCCTTAATAATGACCGAAAAAACCGAAGTCATAGAACATTTTTATATTTCTGTTATTTATTCTTGTGACACCTATTGAATGATAAGAATATTTTGTTTTTTGCTTTTACCTTAGATTTTACTAAATAAAAAAGTAAGCAAAAAATTACGATATATTCTATTTGCAATATATATATATATATATATATACATATACACATACACAAACACACATATATATATATATATATATCACACTAACAGCATCAACATTATTTATCGATTCTCTAATCTTTTGACCCACTCACCTGAGATTCTTTGACATTTATTTGCTATTTGTGATACTGACGATGGTAATTCGTAGCTACAGAGAAAAAGAGGAAAAGGCCGCCGATGTTGTCGTCGCCACAACTATCTACCCTCTTATTTTTCTCTCTCTCTATCTCTTTCTCTCGTTTCTTGTTTTTTTTCTCGTATTATTTTACGAAACCAAAAAGTGCACCGATGTACGAACATATTACCCTACTTTTCTCTTTGCGCATTGTAAGGCATCAGTCGATCTTCAGTAAGCAGAGATGCTCGTTAGTACTTGGAGAACGTGACAAAAAAACATCAGCTGCAAAACAGATGAAAATAACAAGCAGATAAAAAAAAACCTTTGTAAATTTATTAAAAATTAATAAGCAACAACTCTCAGTCAGGTAAAAGTTCAGCTGCGTCATCATTTTCGTCGAATAGACTTTTAGCCGGTTCTTTTCTACGTATGGCGGTTTTTGGTCGATCATCTCCCATATCTTGAGAAAAGTTATCAACAAAAGGACGAACAGTAACAGGTTCTAAATTCAAAAATAGAAATTATTTATTTGCAAAAAAGAAATAAGATTTAATCGACGATAAAAACAACCTTGCTGAGAAAACACTCCTTCAGTGTTATCTAAATCGATTGGGTTACGTTTACGACCACTCAATTGACGGTTATCATCGTGTTTTGAGTACGAACCTACCATAAACGTGTGTAAATACTTTATCGAATGAAAAATATCATGACTGTTTTTACCATCATTTTCAGCTTGAGAAATTTTTCTACCTTTAATAATATTACGGCTTTTATCAGCGCTTGTTTTACGCTACATTAAAATAAAGACGTTTACATAATAGCAATAATAATAATAATCATTATTATGGTTCTATATGAAAGATACCTGAATTTGTATTTCTTTCATTTTATTGACTTTTTTCAATTCATTTTCGTACAATTCACGTTCAGGTAAACCAAGATCAGTTGAAATTTTAACAAGAAATTGTATACCTAGAAGTATAGTATTTTTTTAAATTAAATCCTAAATCCGGAAAATCTCATTATTCTGTATCTTTTCAAAAGCATACAACAAAATTTTTATCATTTTTTCAAGTAGAGCAAGTGTGTAACGTTAATATCCGGCTTCCTCTCATACGCAGACTTGGTTCTCTTACTAAAATTGAAATAATATCTTTTCAGGTTTGAATATCAAATTATGTGTGGAGATAAAAGAAAAAGACCCTAGATAATCAGTATATGATATGGGGTGTAAGAAATTCATTATCTAAACTAAAATACTGTTTTTCCGTCTAGTATTTTGTTACATACGGATGGAAGATTTATTTGTCAACTGTCTAAATCTTTGTTCTATTTGAAAATATATTACTACCAATAAAAATAGATATGCTTAAATTATTTTGTATAAAGTATTCGCGATAGCGGTGCAGATTGTTGTTGTTTTTGTGTTGTTTTTTCTTGACCTAGATTAAATGATACGCTTTCACCCTACGGTTTTATACGCAAAAGAAGTTTGTTTGACCTTTTCGAGTCGATATATTAACAATAAATATTCGGCAAAGCTATTAATGACTAACGTCTCATTTGAGAAACGAGAGTTTCCTATGAGTAAATAAAACAACGAACTCTGTTAAGTATGCGAGCAACTAAATATTGACATAAAAGTTTTTCAATATCGTTGAAAAAGAATGCTTCATTGAAAAAAAAGTATAAAATGTTATTATTCAAATCGAGGGTACATCGTTACTTTTGTAGTCTGTATCTATCTATATATATACTGAATAGATATGCAATTCTGTTCCCTCGAGGTAGACATCGTAAAAGGAATCAACTTTCATTAGAAATGTCTGAATTAGTGCGAATACTCTCTGATTTGATCTTTCATTTCTTATATTGACTTTATTTGTCAACACGTTGGCTTGTGCCATTTGGAATGAGTATGTAATATCTAACGAAATCGGTGCTATTATTGTATAAGAAAATGGAATTCTATAAATAGATAACCACTTCTCAAGATATTAAATTTATCATTTTTCTGCTTCTGCAAAAGATAAGAATGCGAAAATATATTCACAATTTGGTTTAAGAGCAAGAAAGAAAATTCCAACTTGTCTAATCAGTTTTTATCGACCTTTTTCTCATTGGATATGCGCCAAAAACCTCTTAGTAAAGAATTAAAAGTTCTCGTTTAACCTTTTTACTATGGCCTATCATTTTTCTGCAATCTAAATGTACATTGACTAAGGTCGAGTTTTTCACATTCAAAGTGATTTTTATATCTTACAGTCAACATCATCTGGAAAATGTTGATGAATCCATTTATATTTTTCTAGCGCAGCTGTATAATCGCCATAACGACGATAGCATGAAGCAACCATCAAATGCCATTTGATTTCGCCTGGCCTAAAGCAAAATAAAAACAGTTTCTTGTGTCAGTTGTTTATTTGATTTCTTCATACTTGACCAATGCAGCTTGCGCGCAAAATTCAACGGCTTTTTCAGGATATTGTGTTTCAATGTAATACGATGCAAGCCATTCTAATGTTTTTATATCACATGGATTGTGTCGAAAAGCCTTGTTTATGTGGAAGAAAAGGATGAAGTTTTAAAGTTACTATAAATATTTCAGAAAAACAAACTCAAAAGCCTTACATCAAAATAATATTGTATAGCATCTGCTTTATCTCCTTGAATATCGACAACTTCGCCTATTCTTCGATGTAAATGTCCATCTGTTCGATAAGTACTTAAAGCTTGTAAATACCTAGAGCAAACTTTACAATTAAAAATAAAACAATTTTTACTTTTTACACTCACCAGCTCTTTGCATTTTCACTATCATTTGTATGTTGTAAGACTTCAGCCATTAAACAAAAAACTTGTGCATTCGATGGTTGAATTATTGTATACTTATGAAGAAGATCTTTACAGCGTTGAAATTGTTTTGATTTCATTAATGTTAAAACTGTGAGAAAAATGATTTTTTTGTTAAATGAAATAAAAAAACGAAAACTTTTTCCAGCTTTACCAAGATTATGCAGAGCTTCAACAGAACCCGAATCAATATTCAAAGCTTCTTCATAATAGTATCGGGCCTTTTCATAATCTTGCTGTGCATAACAACAATTGCCTTTATTGATTAAAGCTGTTAGATGAAGAAAACAAAATGAGAGTGAATATGAAGATTTTCATTTTACATACAAGCTGGATTAAATTTATCAGTTTTCAAAGCTAAATCAGCATATTTGTGTGCACTATTCAAGTCTTTTTCCTAGGGAAAATTTTTCATAATACAATCAAAAAAGTATTTTCATATAGAATATTTTCATACCAGAAAATATAAAAATGATAAATTCGTAGCAGCTAAAATAAATAAATTATAATTTTCGTAGTCTTATCACTTTTTATTATACAAACCTGCACTAGCTAATTTTGCTTCGGCTTTTTCAAATTCTTTTAATGTAGAAATAGCCTGAAAATAATAACATTATTTATATTAAAGATTTTTGTTTTGCTGACCTTTGGAAAATTATCTTCACGTAAATAAGCAATAGCTTTTTGAATTTCAAGACCACTAGCTAATTCAAGATACGTTGAATTTCGAACTTGTTCGATACACCATTCGTAACCGCCAACAAAATCTCCATCCGAATTATTGCCAACAATTTTAGCAGCAGTAACAATAACATGTTCAGCAAAGCGTCGTCTAAAAAAATGTAAATAAGAATATCTTTCATAAAAATAGTCTTTTTCAATGGAAATAAATTATCGTTTCATTTCAAGTTATAGATAGGCTTATGGTAGGAAATTATAAAATCTTATTCATACCGTTTTCGTTCAAATTGCCTTAGGCGATCATCTCGTGTCGCTTCCAAAACAAGATTACCTTGTTTGTCATCCTTATCAATCTAAGATAAGAAGCAGAAACTTAAATGATAAAATAAATATTTATCTCTGTAATTTTTACTGAAGCTTGGTAATCGTCATCGGAACTTAAAAATGGTATTTTTAGTAAATCAGTAAATGCTTTTCGTGTTTTATCTCGTTGTCCTAATGTATGATAACAGAGAAGAAGGTTCAAACCGCTACGATAATTAGGACGTTCTTGCATTATTGATTCATAAGCTTGTGCAGCTTCAGCATATTGAACCAAAAGAATATGAGTCGCAGCGATATTCTCACGAACTTTAAATCTGAAATAGAAGGAATAAATAATCGACTGGTAAATAACTTTCACGCATTACTTCAAATCAGCATTTTGTTCAGGTATTTGATCAAGCGCCATACGATACATTTTTAATGCTTTTGTATATTGCTTTGAACGTAGAAAAATATTTCCAATATTAATTCGCCTATTAAAAGAAAAGGTTCGCTGTTATTGTTGTTGCTGTTTTTTTTATTAAGAACAATATTTCTACTTACAAACGACTTGGTACAGGTAATAGTTTATTTTTCAATATTAAATTATATTGATTCATTGCTTCAGAATTCATACCACATTTAGCCAACATATTAGCACAATGAAGAATGACCTAGTCAGTAAATCAATATATTATTTCTCATTCGTTAATAAAACTTCAACGTCACAAAAACGAAATTATTATTTTTCTTTTCTTTAGATTAGATATTGAGCTTAGTTCTTGAAGGAATTAAAGTTGATACGTACAAATCCAGTGAGACTGAGATCGGACTCTCCGAGATTTTGTTCTTCTCGATATCGATTAAGACTTTTTTCATTTCTCACAGCTTCTTCAGATTTTTCAAGTGCCTAGAAAAAAAAGGTAAAAATGGCACGATCACAAATATAAAACATATGCTTTTCTTACTAATTTCGAATCATTTTTTTCAAATGCTAAACAACTTTCTTCAACAAGATCCAATACTGTTTTTTCCATTTTTTTAGCTTTATCTTCAGTACTTAAATAAAATATAATCAACAAAAACAAAAAAGAAATAAATCATTTCTTTCTCGATTCTGCAAATTCATGTATACGTACGTTTCTTCTTTTCGTTCAAACTGTGTAGGACCCGATAATGTTGTGCCACTACCTCCTATAGAACCCGGTATAAATCCAACTCCTTGTACTGCAGTTGTTGGTCTACGTGGTCCTCCTGTTGCGGTACCTGTTTGTAGACGACGTGATGCTGAACCAGGCGGAGCACCAACAACGTTATTCTGTTGCTGGACAGCACGTGAAGCAGTTCCTAAACGACCAGATGATGTACCTGGTGGTCCTGGTAAACCAGTTCCTTTCTTTCCGCCAAACATATTTTTCATTCGAGAGAAAAATCCACCCTAGAAAAGTTTACTACGCTTTCTAAAAGAAATCAAATCAAAAGCTCTACCTTTTGACCGGCACCCGCACCAGCTAACCCAGTCTGAAACAAAAATTTAATTGTTTTATAATAGATACATAAAAATAAAAACTTACCGGAGGAGCTCGTCGGCCATGGCTTGTTTTTAAAACTGCTTGCTGTAAATCGGTATCATATTTTAAACTCTGCAAAAAACAGAAAACAAATAGAATTGTACTTCGAATGAAATCGATTCAACTTACATCAGTATCTAACAATGGATTATATTCATTAAAGCCCGAATAAGAATCCGGTTTATCAGTCATTTTATTTTATCTGAAAAATATCTCGATATTTTCCTTTTCGTTTTCTAATCATTTTTTAAATTATTATTTCAGAATGTAAAAAACATATTTATAAATAGAACTCAGTTTTCTTATTATTATAATCAGCTGCTTAAGGTGCTGAATTTATTGTTCGTTTAGCTTGAGCTTCTATTGGTGCACTTGCCACTTCACGTGTATGTTGACGTCGATACTGTTCTACGTCAGTTATTAACTAATGGGAAAAAAAATCAAGTTTTCATTTAATTGTAGCTGTTCAATAAATAAATAATTTCATTTATTACTTTTGGTAATCGTCGAAAGTTGTTTTCTTGTAAATATTCTTTGAATGCATCAACACCGTGTAATGGAGCAAGACGAGCATTCTAGAGAAAAAAAACAACGAATTCTATTTTATCGACATAATAACTAATATTTTTTACTATTTCTTCTTCTTGTTGTCGTGTTACATTTTCACGTTCAGCTTTAACAATTTTAGGATCTCGAAGTTCGTTGTTTGTTAATGAACGTTGCCAAAGATTTTTTGGTAAATACCATGCACCGTATCGATACTTTGTTGGGTATGATTCTGGTTGTTTAACTACAACTGATGGTGGCTTTGATTTAGCAGAGCTTGGTGTTTTACGCTAGATATTAAAAAAAAGAAAATTTTCCTCGATCTCATTTAGAAAACTGAACAAATTCTATTGTTCAATGATCAATTCATATCATCCAAGTAACAAAGTATGTCCGGAATGCAATGACCATAAAAATTTTCTAACATTTTCACTTCAAATAAGAAATGCTTACTTTATTCATTGCTTAGAATAATTTGATAATAGTTTTGAGAAATTCTTTGCGAATAGATAATCCAGTGGAACACCTTTCATGTTTGTGATTATCAGAGAGAATTCAAAAGAAGCCTTATGATACTTGCCGTCATTATCCTTCTAATATCTTATTGAAATATAATATAGTATCTACTCTATAGTTAAGGTGGAATAGTTTAGTCTATATTTCACATTGTTACTGTCTCTATGGTTATAAACGAATCTATAACACAGAATTAAAGACGATCTATTCATGGTCTGTAGCTGAGAAAACGACCTAACGAGTAGAGCTGCATATTATTTTTGAGTCACGCTAAGGTCCAATAGTTTTCTTGTAGAATAAAAAAGACAAACTATAAATTACCATTTCCGATAAATTTGATTTTGCTCGTTCCGATAAGGGAAACATCGTATCCTGTGTACCTTCTCGTAGTTCGGCAGGAACCTAATTAAAATTCAAAATCATATTAATCAATTTTTTTATTCTTTCGCTTACTCTTGCCATATCAACAATTTTAATTGGAACACTTAAAGATGGTTTTGTATCATAAGCAGTTGAAAACAAATTTCTAACAACACCTGAATCAATATCATCATTCTTTTCACCACCAAGATCGTATAACCAATTACAAAATTTTTCCGAAACATTGTGAAGTCGTTCTTCCTACGGAAAAAATACATTGCCAAGTTCTTTTTATTAAAATAAAAATATCAACAAAAAATCACCATAGCTGCAGCCGCTCGTTCATCAGCAGTAGGTCCTTTGGCTGCTTCTTTTTCACGTTGTTTTTGAATAAACCATCGGTAGGGATTTTTTTGTTTTCTTTCAAATTCTTCAATATCCCATTGGTTACCAGCATCATCATAAACAATGCCAGGTCGTCCGATCCGGTTCGATGCATTTCTACTATCTGATTCTTCTAGTGTTTCATCTTTTGTTTCCGTTGTTAAATCATCAGTTAGTTCCTGGACAAATCTATTTTCAAAAGTAAACAATCAACAGACATTCACAAAAAAAGTTGTATCATTATTTATATCTAACGTTTTTTCCACTTCTGGTGAAATCATTGGTGGAAGACTATTTCCAGTATGACCCGTATCTGGTCGTGTTATTGGAATACTTGGTGATACTGAAGTAATATTTTTATATTCCTCCGCGAATGAAATTGGTTCTTCACTGTCGGAACGTAATAATTCAGCTTCGAGCAATCTTGTTAATCGTTCATACATCTTATCGAACAACAAAATATAAGCATGACGACTATAGCGATGTAATGCAACATACCTCAGGTGGCAATGTTTGATTAAAATGTTCAAAGAAAGCCATCGGATGAGTAAGTATAGTCGATATATAATTATCTATTGCTTCACGTCGTCTTTCGACTGCTGGGATTTCTTTACTAAAATATACTTGATGGTCTTTGAGACGATTTCGTGTTTTTGCTGCCGATGATTTTATACGACGAGTTTCAGAGATTAATACAGGTCCTGGACCTTTGTCTGGCTATTAATAAAGATAAGAAATGGTTATGAGTTTAGTTTTACTCAGAAAACAACTACTTGTAAAATAATATCATCATGTGGTGGTGGTAAACCATCACGAAAATCATCAAGACCATCTTTAACAAATTTCCAATTTTGTGTATTGATATTACATGGATATTTCATTTTTATTCTTTCACGATACCTATTTGAGTAGATAGAAAAATAACAATAAGAAACTATTTCTAACAACAAACTATGAGAGCATTACTAAGAGCATAAGCAGCTATTTATGCAACTTCTCACTTTAAAAGAGAATTTTTACCGGGTATAGACCTATGTTTATATTGAAATTTAAAATAAATACGTAAATGAAATCAGAATAATACAATAAATACATACCATGGCTGAAATTTCGGTGGTCGACGATGTTCATCAATCGATGGTAAAAGAACATACTTAAGATCGTTACTCATTATGCACTTGATTGACGTAAAATGAACGTATATTTGATCGATAACCCATTGAAATTATACTCCTTAGATATTTGCTATGGCAACAAACTAGTGTATTTTCAAAAAATAAATTAGCAAAAGCAGAACGTATGGTTTACTTTTAATTTACATCTAAAAATCTTTCTTCTAGGAATAAGATGAAACTAAACTGAATAAAATTTTAATAGAGGGCGCCAAACAACTGTCGCAACAGAATGATGTATATATCCAGGAGAATCATTCCCACAGTAGAATCCATCGGACTCCAACAAGGTCAGCCAGTGAATATACCGAATACCATATGTGTTTCAATAAAACCGACGAAATCTTAAGGGGTTCCTGTACACGGGCCTACAGCCAGATAATTGGTATTGGATCCAATCGGATCCGATGTTGGATTTTAACGGAATCCAACTCTGACAAATCACCCTTGCGCTCAGATGGCTCAAAATGCTTATTTGATCGCGAATAAGAAAATCTTTTTTTTCCGCCGGAACCGACAAAAGGTCCGTGTCCAGGAATCCTATAGAATTCGATAAGATCCGTTGTCGGATTCATTCACCTGGGAAGACAATATGATAGTTGTTATTTTTTTTATTTTTTTTTGTTCTTGTTATGCTGAATAGCCGTATGAATAAAATGAATATTATTCATAGAGAAAATAAATTACTTATTTCATCTGGTTTTCAATGAAGAAATCATGATGATTAATTTATCTATTGATATTGTTTTTTTCTTTTTCAATTCCATAAGAAACATTTGTAAGAGAACTTCATCTTTCAGAAATAACATATTTGAATAAAAAGAAGATTTTATTCATTCTTGGTATAACCTATCTTTATTTAATAATACTTGTAGTAGATTTTGCAAAAGCCTTTTCTTCTTTCTTCTTGTGCATTACTGTTACGAAAATCTATTATATACGTAGAATTCATTGAAAATAGATCAGACAAAACTCAATGATATTTATTATTTTATTTAAAAATACTTTATTTTGTCGGTCAGATAAAATTCACAATTATAGTTTTTGCAAACTTGTTGAGAGGTTGGACTATGCTGAGCTGAATGCGGGATTGAAAAAGTAAATTTACCAAGCACTTGAGCACATCAAGTTATTATTGTAATTATAAGCAGTTTAAAAAAACTTGAATTAGTACATTCTAATCTGTGTAAAAATAGTTTCAGAAGAAAATTTATGTCCTAACCAAACTGCGGATTCAGCTTTTTTTTACAAATTTTCATTGAAAAGAAAACAGTTAGGTTTTCTGAAGGATTTCATCAGTTTTAAATAAAAATGTTTGTGTAAGGGTAGATTAAAATATTCCTTTGATCGAAAGAGTCCAGTTTGTAATGAAGATACCAACGTTCGTTTTCCCTTGGATTGAGATGTACTATTGACCATTCAGTGATGTTTACAAATATATGTACTTTTATCGCTATGAAATCAGTATGGATTCTCGAGTTCCATGCTTCCTAGTGTAGAAATCCGTTCTGGTTTTTGCGTTTCTGTCATGACTACCCTCCGTGCCTACTGATAAAGTAAACTTCGAACTTGATGTATATTTTAAGCTTTCGACCAAAATCCGAATCGTGTCTCTGTTTGCAGCAAATCATCAGCGAAGCTATCCAAATATGGCGCACTATGTTGTAGCGGATTTGTTACAATTTTTAGCGCTCAAAGAACTATAAGAGTTGAGCTGAGAAAAATCAATCAATACTGTTTGTGAGACATTATATTCAAGACAGTTTAAAAATTTTGGCTAAATTCGATTATGTACATCTATTAGTTGGATACGACACGCTAGAAGGAACGTGAATGATTACGAGAGAATGCTACTTTCTACCAGTAGAGTTTTTTTTTTCATAAGTAGTTATCGTCATGTTATAAAAGCAGACAGTTACTTATGCAACTGACTCTAAATGAAAACGTTTACTTATCCCGCAAAAGTAAGAAATAATTCTCTTTCATTAAGAAATTAGTATTCTAATTTTAGTCGATAGTAAGAAAAATTCAAAGAGAATCGATCTATTATTACAACAGACGGAATTCTTTCGGTTAAAAGTTAACTAGATAAATTTCAATAGTGCCACTATGAGTCTCGTATAGTTCGCAGACAAATGAACATGAATAAATAATATTTCTGACAAAATATAAAATTAAAAACGATTTCTTTGTTGTGACCAAAGTCTTCAAGTCATTTCAAGTGAACAATGAATTAAAAAGATCATGTCCTTTTGTGGTACTTTTCAATTTTTGAAATTTTTCCTTAATACATACACAGTTGAAAAGTTCAATTCATAGTTGCTTATGAGAGAACCAGTGAAAACCAGCATAGTTGTTTAGGTTAATATTGCTTTTAAAACACGAGGTCTTAGTAAAAGTGGAAAAATCTCAATAGTGATCGAATCGTTGAGTTGTACACAAGTTTGACAGCTTCAAATCTAGCTCATACACGAATCAAGTAACTACGCGGACAATGTCCTTTATTTACGATATTAATTTCCTAAAGAAACGTTCGTTATTGCTTCAAACACCAGTGAATATGAGCCATTTTACCGGAGTAACATTCAAGCGCAACATGAATTGATGGGATAAGTACTAGTTTGAATTATTTCTTCTTCATGTCTTCTCAGATGGAATGCTGTTCAATAGTAGATTTCTGGAATTCATAAGTGCTTTATTTTCAATTTTAATTATTTCAAAAGTCAACTGGAAAAAAGACTCGAAACACAGTTCCATTGGTTCTGATGTTGATTTCATCATTTTATTTCATAAACATCAATTTTTTTCTTGCTTAATGAGCTTTTAAAATAATATTCAACTATATTTTTAAGTCAGGAGGTAAACATCATTCAAAAAGTCGAATTTCTATAAGACTAATGAAGTAATATTAGCATAGAAAGTTTTTTTAATAATGGTTAACTATCGTTTCAACGTCATTTAGTAAAAAAATCGGAAGTTTATTCAAGCTATGCAATTTACACTCTTTGTTTTTCGACTCGCAAAATACTTTCTATAAATAAAAGATGTTCTGCGCACTTTCTGATTGTTCGGTCGTGATAGAATCATTACAACATAGATATTCTGTATTACTACATGTATAGATATAGTTTGCTTATTACTATAACATAGGGAATATCTACTAATTGCCATCACTGAGATTTGACATACATTAGAAATAAATTGACAAACGACTCTTGCCAGTAAAATCATTAAAATCTGTCCTCGTCTTATTATGTTTCTGCATAATGATAACATTATATCTGTTAAACGAGAAAAATTTACAGATTTATTCGGCATGAAATAAGCGAAGCCATGAAGCTAATCTCAATTTATTATTTAAATAACAATGCCAAAAAAAGTAAATAGGACAGTTAGAAATTATTTTCCTAGTCATAATAGAAGTTAATTATTAAAATATCGATATTAAACTGTCAAACTTGAATTTCGCTTGCATAGTAATGAATACGCATAAACCGAAAGAAGTGAAATGAAAATTTTCTTTGCTCGTATGATCCATCAAACTCAAATAAAAATCGTTTATAAATGCTATCTTAACTCATTGACTATATTCTTTTTACTTATATTTTATTAAGAAGAAAAATTCATTTAGCAAGTCATTTCAAATATTAGCAAACAATTTACAAACTAATTTATGTTGAATCAGCGTTTGCCTATGCCTATTTATTAAGATAATATCTTTCTTCTCGTCTTTTTTTTTTTTGATATGCATCTTCCTTTTTTTCTTGTTAATCATGAAACTGGAAAACAAATATGCAAGGTTACCCGTGCTGTTCTCACGTCGAAAATAATCACCTCCACTCAATTTCCTATTGATAGCTTGTGAAAAAAAAAAAGAAATACTAATTTGCTTAATAAAAATTTTATTTATTTGTTCTCTTTTTTCTATAGAATTTCCAGAGAAAGAAATTCTTTTTTTTTGTTTGTAGCAAAATGAAAAGAAACAGACGCAAGTGTAGATAAACAGCAAGATTTGAATAAAAGACAGAAACAAAGAAAAAGAAGTTCGAACAAAAGCAAAAAAAACTAAACGATTATGAATAATGAACATAAGAGATATATTGTGCACCGGGGCAATCGCATACACACACGCGCACATATGACAAATAGAAAACAGCGATTAATAGAATGTGAAAAACCAATCATACATACAAATGTACATTGAAAAACAAATTTAAAACAAGCAAACAAACAAACAAACAAGGGTGTCGCACATCCAATTTAGACGAAGACTCATAAAAAAATGATAAGTGAGATTCACTGTAATTTCTTTTCTTTTTCTAAAATAATAGAATATGAACTGTCAACACACTTGACCGGACAAAATGAGAAAATACTGTTTTTAATACTGTGTATCGATATTTTCTGTTGTTTCGTATTTAAGTAAGGTAAATCACATATATTAATCAGCAAAAATAAGCGCCTTTTGAGAATTGTTACTACCATCTGTACTACATTCATCATCATCCACAGCCTCATCATCATCATCATCGTCGTCATCCTCTTTTATACCTACATGATAATAATAATTATATCTATTAGCAAGGAACAGAAACAGAATATTTACTTCGAAAATGATTTCCATCAGGTGATGATGGATCATCAAATGAACTATGTTTTCGTTGTTTTAACATTTGTTTATACTCCGACCTACATAAAAGTATAGAAGAACGAATAAATTATTCAATATCTTAATTATCTATTGAGCAGATGATAAGATTAAAACTTACCAACGCATTTTCTTACCGTCGATGACACAAGTTCTTTTTGGTCGAGGTCTGAAAATTACACAAAATAATAATCTATATAAGTAAAACAGGTCAGCGAGGAAATAGTATTACCTGTATCGATAATCAGGATATTTTTCCATGTGAACTTTACTTAAACGTGATTGTTCTTCATAATAGGGTTGTTTTTCTTCGTTACTCATTGCTTTCCATCGAGCACCTAAGATTTTGCTTATACTTGAATTATGCATGTCTGGGCAAGCTTTTAAAATTTTTCGTCGTTCTTCACGTGCCCAAACCATAAATGCATTCATAGGTCGTTTAATGTGATCGTTGGATGATATTGATGCTGGCGGTGTTGTACTCGTTCCATTGTTTCCATTGTTACTTGCTAAAATTGATGAACTGTTTGGTGATGAATGTTGATGACCAGAATTTCTTTCTTTTCGATTTGTTGATCCATGACGAGCTATACGAGATACGTTTATACAGTTTATTTAGTTGTGTAAGATGATTGATATCTGTCCGATGAACATAAAGCTGAGTTTGTTCAGTATCTCATTACATTTTTCTTCTTCAATTAAAACTGACAAGTGAACTTGAGCTTTTCCTTCGAGTACGTAGAAAAGTTTTTTTAAGAACAACACTTGTCATTTGATTTAACACGCATTCAAACAAAAAAATCTCATTCACATAACTTATTGATTCAACACATAAATATATTTTCTTTTCGTTTTCTTTTTTTCGATTGTGTATCTAATACATTATTTGAACAAATCGTAGATGAATATAATGATAGATACAAGTAAAATATTCAATTTACTTTATCGGCTTTTTTCAAATCAAGGTTTTCTATCAAATATTCATTAACGCGGATAACAAGGTTTTCTTATTTAATTAAAAATAGATTTGATATTAAAACGATTCGGGCAGAGATATACGTAGCTAGGCATGGAAAAATCACATTTGTTCACCATAGTATCCATTAGCACGAAAAAAGATAAAGAATGATAAATACAAAAAGTATAAAGTCTATTTGTATGGGCACTATTCTCGTTACCAATATGAGGGCATATCGCAACCTTGTATCTTTTCTTCTCATCGTATGGCCCTTTCTTCATTTTTTTTGTTCGTTCGCTTTTACATTTCAATATGTATATGATCGACTACTGTCTTTTTCCCTTTCTTTGGTTGTTTTTGTTATATGTCTTTTTTTCGTCGTATCATTACCAACCGACTCAATCGGAATGTGATTTGGTTGGACGGTTTACGTTTCTTTTTTTTTTTGACTATAGAAGACTATTTTTTTAATATACAAATACTCTCGTCTTACCTAATGACGACTCTTTGTCAATAGATACATCGCGATAGTGATGGTTGTTGCTGTTGTTGTTGTTGTTGTTGTTGTTATTATTATTATTATTGTTATTATTATTATGGCTATTATTGTTATTCATGTATACTGTCTCATTTGATGATCTTGGTAAATTTGAATGATGAGAAGGGTGATTGGATGTAGGTGGGAAACCATACATATTTAGAGCTAATCAAAAACGAATAAGCATTAAAAATAAGTTAAAGTATATCTTTTAATTTACCAGCTACAAGTGAAGATGTCAATGCGCATCGAGAAGAGCCGTTTTCTCCATTTTTTGAGTTCTTAACATTAACATAAAGAGAAGAAAAATTGCAAAACAAGAAGAAAATTTTAAATTCTACATACCATAGGATCATTGAGTACCGATGGAGCTGCTATTTTCAAATGATTTTGGAAATGAGTCAGACTCGGAACTACCAAAGATTATTACGAAAGAAAAATATAAGAAAAATCAAATACAAATAAATAAAGAAATCTTACCTGAAAATGGAGGAAAAAAGGGCTTTTCATAAAAAAGTGCCGCTTGAGACGGAAAAAGTGTTGATGCTAATGATAGATTTGCTGATGACGGTGATGGTGAACTGACCGTTGTTGTACTTGGACTCATTTCATCACTATTTGTTGACGCTACACGTGTTTGATGTCTTATTTTTGGCTTCGATAAATTTAATGGACTCGAATCATCATGATAATGATGATTATTCCTCGTTGAAGAATTTCTCTCATCATTATTGTCGTCTGCTGTTGTGTCAGTTATTTTTATTCTTTCACGTAAATGTTGTAAACTATCAATAAGACAATCAATAGTTGATATTAAATTTTCATCATTATTATCAAGTTGTTTTTCTTCCAATAATGAACGTATTAAATTAAATATCATCGTTGTATTTGCTTTGGCTGTTGTGGTGGTATTTGTTGTTGTTGCTGATGATGATGTATTCGTTGGAATTGATGATAATTGAGGAACATTTTTTTCAATTTTAATACTATTAGGTATTATTGATAATGATGATGACGGTATGGATGGTCGAGATATTTTTGATGATGGAACATTTTTGCGACGTTTTCGTTGCGGCTGATTTGCATCCGGTGGTATTTCTTTTGTTTTCAAATGAGATTCAATTACAGGAGTTGCACTAGTTGAATTTGTTTCGTTATTTTGAATGATGCTGTTGTTGTTATTAGTACTTGGTGATGTAGGTGTTATAAATTCATCATGATGAGTGTTTGACTCAATTTGATCACCATTTGATTCTTGATTATTTGATACTGGCGAGCCATTACTTGTATTGACATCTGTCAAAATTAATAGTTCGATTAGATTATATTCTTGAGAACATGAAAAATCAAACGGAACATAGAAACTATTAGAAATACTTACTGTCATTATGATCATGGGACGGAGAATTATGAATATTAACAATTTTCTTCGATGACAGTCGATTAAGCAATTGTTCTGTTTTAATATGTTTCGCTGTTGTCATTGATGACATCGTCGTTGGTCCATCTCCTGCACATAATGATGTTGTCGACGAAGATGAATCGAATTGATCAAAATCACACTTTCGTTTAAACGACATTAATTAAAGTATTATCTATAAAAATAAAAATAAAAATAAAAATAAAAATAAAATGCTTTAGTTCTGTCTCGTGTAAAATAGTAAATTGAGATAAACGAACGTACTTGTATGATTATGCTTATACCGATGCAAGTCAACCATTACACTGACTACCAACTGACAACAATAACAACGAGGAGAAAAACGGACATATAGACAGAGGAACAAGAAAGAAGACAATAGCTGCCTTATCGAATCAAGTTCACGGATCAAAATCAGCTAACACAAAAGCGTGTCGATAGCAGCGGTAGCGCGAATCATATTCAAAACAAAGACACGCACGCGTATACACAAAAGGAAAACAGAGGCATCTGCTTGCGTTCCATTGATATATAGCTAGTCATTTTCTGTTGGACACATTGAACGATAGGAGTAAGAAATAAAAAGAAAGAACAATGGAAAATCAGAAGAGAGATAGAAAGCAACTTGCGAAAAAAAATCTCTTTTATTCTTTACTCTTTTCTCTTTTGCTCAATGTTAATCGGCGCATTCAAGTGTCATGTTGATCCTCACTGAAGATAACAACAACGACGACGACGATAATGCTAATATCATCGCATCGATGCAAAGTCACAGCGTCGATTGCCATGTAAAATATATAAATATATGTATTTATATATATTCATCTAAATTTATATCAATTGATGAAAGAAAATGAATGAAACCTTACTATTGCTCTTTTTTCTTTTTCTTCTCAATTGAAATCGATAGATTTAAAGGTAAAGATTTGTTCGGTTGCTCGGACGGGTAATTTATAATACGTGAGAACCGCTTTTATTAATAAAAAAAAAAAAAAAAACGAGTAAAAGAAAAGAGAAAAATCTTGTGTTCGTTTTGTCTCTGCGTTTCCTCTTAACTCATGTTAAAAAAAGAATAAGTAGAAAAAGAAGACGAAGAAAAAAAAGTGGCATTGCATTAGCTTATTATACTAAGCAAGGATCAGTCCGTGAAGACAGGAGACACAATAGAACGACGATGTATAAATATATATATATATATATATATACATAACGCATGCGTTTGTGAATATATAAAATAATTTAATATGATTATAGGTATGTTAAAGAACGTCCACAAACAACAATCAAAAGGTAAAATGACGAGAAAAGTAAGAAGAAAAGCGAAGAAATATCTACATTGAATATATAAAAATTGAATCATCATCATCATCATCATCATCATCATCATCATCATCCGGATTGTATACGAATATGTACATGTACATGTAAGCGCATTCATGGTTGGCCTTGGTTGTACGATACACAAGCATAATTGTGAAACGATGTCAATCTTTTCTTTCCCTCCGTGTCTTTCTGTCTCTCTCTCTAATTACCTGTGTCCATCCCATTAAGTTGACAGGAGGAAAAAAAAGTCGATTTAGAACTATTATTGATCTTCTTCTCTTTCTTTTTTTCTCTTTACGAGTTGCTTCACACAATATGAGGCTGATCAAGTGAAACAAATCTAGTGAAGCGAGTAAAGAAAGAGAGAGAGAGAGAGAGAGAGAGAGAAATAAGAGAGACATACAGAAAAAGAAAATCTTCACACTTCTAATGCAAACTTTTATTGAATATATATATATATATATTTCATTGCATTGCACGCAAGTGCTTGGCGTGCGCACGTACACAACCGTAAGAATAACATTCTGCTCGTTTTAATACTCGTTTGGCTTATGTATATGTATAATATATATTTATATATGCTGCTGACAATGACTATTGATTATTTACACGGGAAGTGAAACCTTATGTGAACAACATTACTCGCCAAAGGACAGAAAGAAGAAAGACTAGAAATAATAATAATAATAATAATAATAATAATAATAAAGTTGTTGCAATTATATGTAGGTGTATGAGAAAGAAAAGAGAACGAGAGTAAAGAAAGAGAACAAACGATCGAACACGATAAGTAATATGTATGTGTATATGGCGTGTATTTTAGATATTCAATAAAGAGGAGCCTGTTTCTTCTCTCTATTCATTACCTGTATGTCTATCTGTGAGAATGACAAGGCAATGAGGTAGAAGTTAATGGAGTGTGAAAGCCGTCCAAGACGGATGAAAAATGTCACATTTTCTTTCTCGTTTTTTTTTCGTCTTTATAAATGGCGGATGTTTAACGCGCGCAAGACACTCTTTACTCTTGTTGCACTATACCCGGATTTTAGTTTTATTCACATAATTGATATTGTCACACACATACACAGTCGCAACCCATTGTTTTTACGACTAGTAATAGTTATATGTTACTAGTATTCTTTTTTTTATATGTTTGGTTGTTGAAATTTGTTCTCTCTTTTTCTTCGACTAATGATATGTTCAAACATCTACACACATATATTTACAACGCCAGCAACAACCGAAGAAAAAAAAAACGAATAAGAGGGATATTTAAATATAAGTAACAATTAGATATGTAATATATACAATTTAATATGAACATCTCGACTCGTAAAGACATAAATCCCTCTAACATGATGGTGAGACTATAGTTGCTTACCCTGTTATACAACGTCTTTTTGCACGAAGGTCTTGCCTAGTAAAATAAATCGATGATTGAATAGTATATATGATTGTCCGTATGTTATTGTCGTAGAGAAATACTTTTGCTTATTTTTCTGCTTCTGACGCTTTACTCTTTTTGTGGCTGCTGCTGTTGTTGTTGTTGTTGGGGCTGCTGTTGCCGATGTACGAATCGAACGTCAATCGAGTGTACAAAACAAAATTGTTACCACTAATAGCAGCTATGAATGTAGAAGTGGTGTTGGTGGTGAATACACCTAGGTACTGTGATTATGTGTGTGTGTGAGTAGTCGTTTTCCCCCCTCTCTCTTTTCTTTTCTATTAAGAATCTATTGTTCGGGATGTGTGTCGAGCGCGTAATATGACGGTGACGCGCAAGACTTGTTCTTTACCGCTGCTGACACAATACACTCCTCTATTTTTCTCTCTGTCTGTCTTTCCTTTTTACGCTCGACTTCACATCATCATCTATATTCAATTGCACCGTTGTGTATGCATGTACACATACCTAACACAATGCACATCATCACTATTCTACGTATAATATTCATACAAACTGATTTTGTACATAAAACATACTCATGTTTGATAAACTGCACTACTCACTTATTCTTTCACGTGCGCACACAGATATAAATCCTAGCATTCGGGTAGAAAATCGCCTGACCGACTACGATAATATAACTCGCATTGTTTCTTTCATCTTTCTTTCAAGTTGAAGAAAGATACCCTAGTCTTCTTTTTTTCTTTTTCTTTTTCTTTTCTCCTTTTTCCGACTTGACATAACACGAACAATAGAAAGACAACGATCTTCTTTTCATCCGTCTGTGGAGCAATGGCATTATTAAATCTCTCTTGTCATCAGGTGTCATGGAGAGAGATACAAAGAGAGCGAGAGCGAAAGAAAAAAAAAGTAATTTCTACTAAAAAAAGACAGCCGGAATAACAGCCGTCACCATCATCGTTACTGATTTTATTTATTCATTACAATGCATAGACAACATATGTGTAGCTTTTTATTCTCTCGAGTATATGTAACAATCAATTTTAATCGGTCTTTATTACTATAATTTGTACATCACTAGGTCTAACTTCTTCATTTCTCTACTGATCAGTGGTGAGTGTGAAAAACTTGACAATCTCAAGGATGTACATATGCATGCGAATGTGTCAATTTTCGAGTAACTTACAATAAGAAACAAAAAATAAAACGAGAATCATCATACCTGTCTTCTTGTCACAGTAACAGATTTTCTATTATTACCATTTAACATCAGTGATTTTCTCTACTCACTCACTCTCTCTCTCCCTCTCGCTACTCATTCGGCGCATCCTCTTTCTTCTTCGTCATCTTTTTCTTCGTCTTCGTTTCCTCTTTATATATATATATATATATTTTTATTTTTTTTTGAATAATGCGTGCATACAACAAAAACCTCACAGGTTTTCTCTCTTGCCTCTCTTCTCACTCGCCTCCTTGTTCCATTGTCAATTGTCCAACATCATGTCATTATCCGCTAAGTTGAAGACAGACGTGCACACGCCGTGTGTTGTGCCATAACATAGGGAGCGCCCATTGTTTCGCTTCCCGTCATCGTCTAATATTTAATTTTTTTTTCTTCTTTCTTGTCGCTTGCCTTCCACTCAAAGAAATTCAATAATAAACATGGCCAAAAGTAAGAAAGAAAGCAAAAGAGAGGACAAAGCGAAAATGACGATGATGTTGTTATTATTATTATATTCAAGTAAAAGAGAAAGATTATGTATGTCTTGAAGCATTTTAATTCAACTCTTATAAGATGAATAGGACAAACTTCCTTTTGTTTTAAGAGAAAAAAAATGAATCGTGATTACTTCGTGTATGTTAAACATTTGAAAAAGAAAAAGAAAAACGAAGTATTTAAGTGAAATATTTAGCTAGTTATTTTACCTGTCATGAAATATGGACAACAAAGGAGAAAAAAAGAGATTGTGCATAACACCATGAATAAAGCGAGATGAATGCCTAAGAAAAAAAAAAGGTGGTAGAAAATTATAGACACATAAGTAGATGTGACAATATTGGTGTGTGTGTGTGTGTGTGTGCGTTTGCAGTATATATATATATATATATAAATGCGCGTTTTGAAAAGATTTTCAACCACAATAGAGCATATATACACATAAGAGTAAGAGAAAAAAAGGAAGGAATAAAAGAGAAGAAAAAAAAGAAGAAGAAGAAGAAGGAGGTACGATTGTACAATATCGTGTGTATGCCGAAGGTGGCATGTATGTATGCATTGTCCCTTGTTTGGAAGAAAGAATGAATGAATGAATGAATGAATGAATTGTACGAATGAATGGAACTGCTCGTTATGCATTACGATCTCAAGGCAAACGAGTGTGCACAAACGAATAATTGAGGGAGAGAGGGAAAAAGCGAATAAGCGATTA